ATTTTGATCGATCGATAAGCGACAACGAAATGTGCGCTTCTTGTTGCTCGTAGTAACTCTGGCACTGATTGCCGACACTCGAACTGCCGGTAAGTCGAACGATCCTTCCTTGAGGAATAAGAAAAAAGATATGTTATCATCCTGCTCGGAGACAAGTTTGCATGCTCGCAAGTTGCGTCAAGTTATTTATTTTATTCATTGTTCATGTACATCACTCGATCGATACCCTTTGAAAATAGACTTTACGCGGGTCGGATGGGCGAAAAGGAAGTCAAGAAAAAGTAGTCGGAGGGAGAACGCGTCAAAGAGTTGACGCCACGTGAACAGATGTCTGCTCTACTACTTGGTTAGTCCATAATGAGCTTTGCGAACATTGCGATGATGCTTCGAAAGGAGTATCGATGAACCCGATGTTAGTACAGGCAAGAAATATATTTTACTATCGAGCTCGCAATAGATATTATTTTAAAGATGCTAAGTCTCTCGTTGAGGTAAGTCTCCTCGTGCGTTGCTGTCCTACACACTTTTTTCTCGTACTAATGATGCTAATACGGGAGCACAAGACTACCACCTACAATCACGTAAAGTCCTCATTTGCGAAGCTCGTGCGGAAATAGTACTTGATGATCGTGAGTCGCGCTGTTTTTGATAAAATGAGAGCATTTTACGCGATTTACTAATCATCGGAAATGTTGACTAGAAGCTCTCGAGCTTCTAAAGAAAGCCAATTGATTCTTCACGAGAGATCTCTAGAGCGTTAAATAGTCTGACACATTTTTAACGGTGAATTATAATGATATCTTTACAGCTTTGCCATTTCCACATCTACAAATAATCTTGTCTTTCGTTATTTCCCAATCGGCCTCCGACACGTTTCTATGTACGGCTATTTGTTGACATTACACCGCGTGCTATCTAACATTCCTTGATTACACTCAGCGCTAATTGAGAAATGTTCGTCGGATCAAGCAAATTTATAATTTTTCACCGTCAGTTTGTCTGCCGATGATATTTTCAGCTACGTATTGGATATTGCTTGTTGTAAAAATTAGCTGCGATAGAACGCTGCTATTCAAGAAAAATCTTATCGTCGCCACGAAAAATCGTTGCGCGTGACTATAAACGAGACAGCTGAGATATTTTTATTGTTTATCGCAGTACCAAGTGATTAGCGCAAACACGATCGCATGCGCGCACTTTTTCTTTCTTTCTTCATAGACTTTTATCTGATCGAATTAATAGTGGGACTATTTACGGCTCTCAGCAGTTATAATTATGACGCGCCCCGCCCAGATTTTATTAAACATAATAAGTGACTTCTGGCTCCGGCGGATTCCTGATTGATTTAACAGTTCTTTCGTACTATATAATTCTTCTCTGTATACCAAAGAAAATCTCACCCGCACATAAAACTGATTTATCGACAAATTCGAAAGCAACGTTAACTCGGAAGCCTCATCCATATGCGAAGCTCCGATTAATGAGTCTACAGTGACAAATGTTTACGCTTCGAGATCGTTCGCTTTCGTGGTCTGCACAAACCTCCCATCTTCCGCGCTGGATTTATTTCGAGCAAAGCCACCGAAAATAGCCAGCGACTTCCTCTCCTTTCGTACTTGAGCTTTTCAGTCGTCCGCCGACCATGCTGTCGAGATTTTTGCCGATACTCTTTGTTGCCATTCTGTATGGTTTGTATAAACACGAATACACGGCTCCAATAAAATAACTGTCGTCTAACGCTTTCGTCCTTTTTATTTTGCTGCAGATGTTGCTGCCTTGCAACAGGGTGGAAAGGCCGGGTAAGCCTATTTTTTCTTCTTGTAGCATTGCTTTTACGAGCCCGCGTGCAAGTTCCAGTGAAAACATCACGTTGAACGATTGGATTTTGAAGCGAACTCTCTTTTTTTCTTCCTCGTCGATATAAATTTGGCGGTAAAAAGAATAAAGTTACGAACATATCGTATATCGGTCCCGAGATCTGACGCTTTACTTTGATCTCTTGATTCGCGCGGCATGGCGCGCAGGATGAATGTTGCAGTTCCGTATATGCGGATTTATTTACAAGGCTCCATTTTCAGAAGTAATCAATTAAATAACCTGTAACATATATTGCAGGCAACGAGCAGTGCAAAAGAGAATTTAAAGACTCGTACTTGACGAATTGTGCTCGTTTTATTGCGGTACATCTCATCTCGGTTCCATGTGATTAGCACAGCCGTTCGCTGCTTCCATTATAAAGAGAAAAAAATTCGAATTATCTTTTTCTTTCTTTTCTCGAGCAAACGAACAGTTCATTAGGGGCGATTATCATCAGCTCGAGCGCGTGCACGCGCGTTCATATGTGCACCAAAGCCCTTGGCTTTTCAAATAACAATCAAACAATGTAATCTCTCGACCGTTTTTCACGTCTGCTCGATTGCATTGGGTAAGCGAGCCGAGGCTCCAGTAGCGCGAATTCTGAGAGACTCAATTCTCTCGCTCGTTTTCCGGCGCGCCTCGAGCTAAGCTACACACCCTAAATAAACACGCGAGAGATGCTTCCAGAGATTTGGAATGCACGCGCGATATGCTTATGTAGTGTGCAGCAGAGAAAACCTACGTAGAATGGAAATTTACGCGGCTGACTCGACACTCTATGCACTAGACTAACGGGTTTGTTCGCCACTCGATCCAGCGATGGAAAACTCGACATTATGAATTTGCAGGTACACCCGGCAGCAGCAGCAGAGAGTTCCGATATTATACGAGGCCTACTATCCGGAACCTCGTGACTTGGTGAGTTGTGCATTATTCTTTCATGTCTATGTACGACTTTGTGTACGGCACAACCTATATGGTATCTTTCACTGAAATGCTAAAAAATATCAGCTGGAATGTAAGTTGCATTCAACTCTGGGATACAATGTGTCATTAAAAGCATATCTTTTATAACTTTTATGAAATGCTGGAAAGCTTTTTCATCGGTATTAAATAAATATCAGTATTAGCCGAAGAGTGGCTTATCCAAGTAGCTTATTCAAAGTTCAGTCGTAAGCTTCAGTCGAGAACTACTGCAAGCTGCTTTTCATCAAATTATACCGTGAAAATGGTTTTCAGCTACGATCAAATAACGTACATGCGTTGAGGAGAATGGAAAGTCAATCCAAAGTGTTTGTGTTTCAGAGCGCACAGACGCGGCTACAAGAGATCGACAAGCTACGCGAATTAACAGGCGCGCTGCTCGAGCAAGAAGAACGCTTGAAACAGCTGGCCTCGGAAATCACTCCCGAAGAGAACGTCTTCGCGCCGAGGAGCCAAGTATTGGAATACGTGTTCTCACGACCCGTCATACCGCTGAACGAGCGCGTGCAACGATTGCCGTCCAAGAAAATCGACGACGTTGGCATAGCTTCGCTGACCGTGAGCGACGAGCCGAAACACAAGGTTCGCCATCATCACGGCGAGTGGCTGCTTCGCCGGCTGGCCAACAATCAGCTGCCGCGTGACATCAATTAACGGCACGCGACTCGTGGAAATGGTCCACTTACGCCCCCCCCCCCCCCACCTCCCCCTCTTCACGCAATAGAAATTGATTACGATGTATCTTCTTCGCTGCGAGAACGGAAAGTTCCTCCATTTCTCGTGCGATTCGCTACTCTTGTAACATGCGCAGCAGTAAAAATTCCATACCAGATTATTGCAATTTTCCCGCGAGCAGAAACAGAGAGAGAGAGCTTGATCGATCGACGGAGGATGTCGATACAATTTGTTTATTCATACTAAACGTACGCGTAGAGATATGATTTATTGCAGCTTTTTTATCGCCCGTCTGTGTGCTCTCTATCTATCGTTGATGTATGTTACGTTTAGAAGAGATGACTTCCCCGGACAAGATCATTTTTTTCGCGAGCAACAAATTTATTTCATTTTGATGTGCTTTCATATGCATGGAATAATTACGTATTTTCCTGGCAGATTACACGACGTAACGCTCGAATTGTTTATCAGTGTCATTTTATGGTTGATCATTTGAACATTATGTTGGTTTTACATCAATTTCAAATAAAAATTTCCAAGCCGCAAATGAAATATTACTATATTTACATTTGTAATTAGTACATATTTCATGCAAAATATAACAAAGAAAAGTTTGCTTTATTGAAAAAATTAGTAGAATTTGTCAACAGTTGTATTATGCAGTCGGCATGCACACTCTTGTTATTTAAAAGCAACATATTCATCGTTTTCCAACTATCATATAACTGATTGAAAAATTGATATATTGAAGCTATATATCGAAACGTCAGCTCAGCTACTCTCTTGAATCGTCCATCAATCAAAGAATACCGTTTACCGAAGCAAAGTACACGGCATTTTAAGTGCGACGATCGTTAAAAATCAGAAAAATTATGTATTCATACTTCAATAAACGATTGATTGCTACGTATTGATAAAGTCTTATTATTCCTGAAAAAACTTTCATAAAGGCATTGTAATTCTTGATAAAGGTAAAGCAGCGATACTCTCTTAAATACAAATGCATTCGATTCGCAGCTAAGTTCGAAGAGATTGTTTTGTCAACAAACGAATGAAAACACAAGAACGTTTTACGATTTGTAGCGCAAACAGGTTTGACGGCATTTTCTGAACCATGTAAAGAGTATAAAAAGTATCGAGAGAACGGATCGCTGAGCGTCTGATTGACACGTCATGTATATAACATCTTATACTTACCCGAACCTATATACGTATATAAAGAAAAAGTATTGAACCATGGTAGCATCGCGCGTCGGGAGAAAAAAAGTAAAGCGCAATACGCGCAACCGACAGGGAGAACAATAAAAACCTTATCGTCTTCTGATTTCATGTGACGTTTTCTTACTCGGTTTATTGGTTTACATCTACGCAACAAAACATTAAATAGTTTGTTCGTATTTTTTCGTTGAATATATAATTCACGGCACGTTTGTAAAGTGGATTTTGAATGGCAGGTACCAGAAATCATTTATGACAACTTTATATTCCATCATCGATATTATTTATTTTTTTTCTTTCTGTGTCGTTAAGTTTTACATGATTTTCGATAAAAATAAAAAATAAAACAGTAGAGTTACAATGAATTTTCGTCTAGATAAAAACTAAGTCATTCCAATTGCTATGAATAAGCAACAGGCTTTGTATAATACTTTTTTCCTTATAGGTTCACAAACATAAAAAATGATGATAAAGTGGCAAATATCGCCAGAACTATAAAACTTATAATGATAACCGGGAGTAACCGAGATTCATAAAAATTTGACAGGCCGACAACATTTTATCGCAACATTTATGTCGATTTCTCAGAAGTGACTCGTGGCTACAATCATATTTTTTTAATTTACATTAACCATTAAAATATTCTCTTTATCAGTGTATACGATTATTAATTTACATCTCCGTCGTTACTAAAATAAAGAGACCCACTCACACGCGCAAATCAAGTTGTACAATTATTTCTGAAAATTCCTTTTTGAACTCTCACCAATATAGCATTAAAATGCGTATAAAAGCGCAACTTCAAGATAAGAAGTATACATGTGATGATCAGGGTTATGAACTTCTGATCTTCATTTTTATCGGTAGGTTTTAGCACTATGAAAAACCTAAATTTTTACAATAATAATCGTACGACTTTTGGAAGGCGGCTACTGACCGTAAACGACTGGATTTAACTGGTTTACTTGGCAAAAACGAATGCCCTGGAAATAGAGATGATCAGAGATAATTTTATATATTTAATACTTCCTATTCTAGCGAAACACAACTTTTTTAGTGGTGGGTAGTCTCAGTTTTTCACTATAACCTAGTTTCTAATGTAAAGTTTTTATCTAATGCTGTTTCAGTTAACAATTTTTTTGACACGCAGTAGATTGATTATTTCTTTTTTATTTTAATATATATAGCACTAATTACGAGCTATTTTATTTCATATAGACTACGTTATATATAGTCATCGTGCATTTTTTTAATACTAGCAACTAAAAAATACATGAAGTATCAAAAACATATCCAGATTTCAGGACTACAAATATTTTTTCTAGTGTATGAGCTCGTAAAGGCTAAAGCAGATTACCAATTCATAATTCGGTAATTATTTCAGTTTATAATGAAATATTTTTAATAAATAAAATAAATAAATTACGAAAAAATGATTATTTTTATAATATTTTTTCATGTGATTATTAAATAACACGCTTATGAAAATACTCATAGTGATTTTGTATAACTATAATATCTTACACAACTGAAAAATGTACTTCATTCATTGATTCTCTTCGCTGTCGAAGCGATTATACTAAAATAAAAATATATTTTGCAATGCAACAAATGCTAAGGAGCTATCTACATAAGAAGGCGTCGGACGTCGGACAACGGACATCGGACGTGTGCCGATACTATCATTATTAGTACAATAATATATCATTTAACTATCTTTCTTCAGTGATGGTCGATATCCGACGTCCGATATCTTCTTATGAAGAAAGTCCCTAATATTTACATCGATAACGCTCAGTGCTTTAACTGTAAAAGTATAGAAAGAGAATGTAACAAAAAATAGTACATATAAGTTTATCGTTGAATGTTATATCAACGATCGTCTTCCTACCGTCATTCATTTTAAATGCAAATAAATTTAAAAATAATTTGTTTGAGACCCTCGACATAATCGCTTGATGCATTGCATAAATACATTATCCTCTAATCACATATCGATTGTAATACTTGGGAGCTGTCGTTCTTCACTCCGTCTGCGTGATTCAGTCCTTTGATAGAGACCTTCAAATATCAAATTTACGTTTCTTCATTGAATACACATTCCACATCTTCAATTAGCACTGGGACTTAAATGTCAGGTGCTTCTTGTCAATTAACTAAAATATTCGTACAAAATTTGTTTGAATTGTTACGAATTTCAACCTGTGAAAAAAAAACTGGTACAAAATATTTAAATACATACAATTCAGATGATTCGTTTGGGATAAAATGAAATCTTTCAACTTTTGGTACGTTTTTTCAATATTGTCGTTTTCAAGTACCAAGTCAAAATTTCCGGGAATTTCCCCTATAATGATAAATCGTTAAAATCAAGTTTTGTATAAATATTTATCCATAATTTATACCGTCGCAAAAAAAAAGAAAAACCAAGGAAATTTACTCCAAACTTTACCAAAATCAATTTCAGCTCTTGCACTCGATAATCGTCGGGCAACCGCGTCTTTTGACTCGGTTTTGCGTCCAACTAAACGTCTTTCCAACTCTTCTATGGATGGAGGTTTGATAAAGATGAACACTGGGTTCAATGAACTCTTTTTGATTTGTTTAACCCCTTCAGTTTCAATGTCTAGCACGCATATTTTTCCTGCTCGTTGCACATCTTCTATTGCTTGTTTACTGCAATAAGAAATAAAAGGTTGAATCAGCCGACATTAAAAAGAATGATTCATGAAAGGAAAAAATGTACTATGCACAAAAAAAACAACGTATCATGAGATTAAAATAAGTCTCACCTTGTTCCATACATATTGTCACTAAAAGTTGCAGTTTCTATAAACTCTCCTAGTTCAATTTGCTTCTGCATCTCTTCTTTAGTTGTAAAGTAATAGTGCTTTCCATTTTCCTCACCAGGTCTTGGTTTTCTGGTTGTATGAGAGACAGAGAAACCAAATTTATCTGGATACTCATCAAACAACAGCTTAATTAGCGTACTTTTCCCACTGCCTGATGGACCGCAAAAAACTATGGGACGAGGTCCTTTTTGAAGCATAATGGAGAATCCTGCAATCAAAGCAAAATAGTTATTAGCTTTATTATCACGAAAGTATGTAAAACATCTAAGGATAATTAATGAACAATGAAAAATTCCTACGACTGAAAGAAAAATAAAGGTATTTGGAGCACATTTGTGATAAAAACTTTTAACAAATCTAAAATTATGCAAGGAAGACACATAAACGACCCAGATTACTATAATCATACCTAGTCTGAGCAGTTTAAAGCTCAATCGCAATATAGAACCCGTTAGCGGATGCATGAATGATACCGTGCAAGTTGATTTAATTGAATTAGCAGCCGCCGCGCGACTTTGCAAAATTTGCCCACGTGACTATCCATGATACCTGACGGCAAATATAACAGATGAAGGTGAAAATAAGCGAATTCGTAACAACTTGTACCATTGATGATGAGCTTCATGATTTTAACTAGCGAACAGAAATTCAAAATACAAAATCCGTTCTATGACAAGATTTTATATGTGTAAAATATTGATTCGCAAAAGTGACGTCTCGGAGGCGCGCTAGCGCAAGAGTGCGAGAGAGAGAAAGAGAACAAGCAGAGCCCGCGAACGCAAGAACTATTGATACGCTGGTGCTGCTGCCAACTCGTGTACAGCACGCGCGTACGCTCATTATGAAAGCGATAAAGAACCGAGACGCTGATATGACTTAAAGACTGGGGGAAGAAAATCTTTGATAAAAGTCCTCCTCTCTCTTTCTCTCTCTCTCCACCACTTCATCTCAAGAGATGAATCCAGATGAATCTACTGTCGTGTGGCTCATTTGTCTTCGGCGCGTGGAGACAGATACAACGTGTTGCTACTTACTTCTGCTTGCTTCGTGTTTCAATGAACACAATTGTAATGCAACAAAAATTCGTTACCTTGGCTCGACACAGATAACAGTGTGTGAAGAGATGACACGTTGTTTTTTCTCTCGCTGTTGTTGAACGGCTACTGCTTCTTAGACAGGCGGCACTTTTACAGTTTCAGCCGACAATGAGACGTTTTTACGGCAGTGCGCCTGTTGCCAGGAACAGGAAACCTCCACTCTCCACTCCACTGTGAATGATGTGCGTGCTCTTGCTAATTTCCGGTAGATGACGCTTGCAAACTTTGACTTTCGCGGACTTTTTAAATTTAATCAAGGTGTACTTTGTCTTGTCTCGTATTCGTATGAATGAAGGATAAATGAATGACAATGTTTGATTCACATGTAGAATTATATATTTCAAACGATTTCAAAATACAGAATTTTTTAATGATTTTAACGTTTGATTCAAAGATTTCACTTTATGTTGGCTCTGCAGAGCTATAAATATATAATATACATTGGTAAATGGATACATACTATGTTTTAATTTTTCTTCGAACGACACTTAAAGACATTCTTTCCTGGGATATGATGTATGTATGCGTGTATGTGTGTATATGTGTATGTGTCAAATGGCAAGTAAGTAATAATATAGGTCACAGGATATAGCTGCGAGCTGACAAGCACGCGAGTATTTAATCAAGTTCACAAAGTAAAAGGTATGTATAAAACGAAATTTCACATATATAATATATCTAGCTAAATTTTACTCGCAGAGATTGGTTGTTTTGTTTGTCTTAGTTCAAGAATAAACGTATCTGTTTTTTCTCTGTTATCTTTGATTCTCTCTCTCGCTCTCTCTTAGCTTCCGTATAAAAATATATACGAATATAACAACAACCTTTTTACGGAGGCTTTATGGCAATATGTATCTTGAACATTGATCTACAGGTACTGCGAGATCAATAATAAACTTGTATGTTATTGTTATTATATAAGAAATTTAACAATTGTTTCGTATAATAATTGCATCAGTGCTATTGACTTTTAATCAAGTCTTTTAAAATTTACGATTTTTTAATGATTCTGTTGGAGTTAATAACGATTGTACATACTTCTTAATGTCACATTATAATGTACTTTTTTATACGTACAAATTTATAATAGATACGATTCAGAAGAAAATGTTCAAAACACCAATTTATATCTCATGGGAAACATTGAAGTTTCAAAATCGCAAATTGATATGTTAAAATTAATTCGAAAAATGACTAAAAAGCAATTGGAAGAGTCAAGTATAATTACTCAGCGCTATTCAAGAGACAAATAATATTGCACAAATACTATAAATTGTATAAATACATTTACGGATAGCTAACTACATTTTATTTACATGAACCGCTTTTAAATGGAAAACAAAAGTTTTATATATATATATAGTGTTTTGAAGATTTTTATTTGTTATATAAATGTAAAATGTAATTGTAAACTAAACATGAAGATAAATTAAATATCACATAATTCTGGCACTTCTTAAACTTACATGGAAATTCCAGCGAAGGCTCGTATTTGTATAGGATTTGAAAAATGACAACAAATGTATATGTACGCTTTCTCATTGTCGAAGCAATAAAAGTTGAAGCAAAAAATGCACAATCGATTGGGTGCGACTACAATATATCACCACTGCTCAGATTAATATTGGTGAATAATGGCGAGAGTCGAACCCATTGTTTGAGCATCAACTTCAGACGTGAATGTTCGCTGACATTTTGGCTTGAGTTCGGCGACGTGCCAACTCGGACATGACTACTGGACCGATAATAGGTAATCGCGGACTATTTGACATGGCTTGGTAAGTTGCTGCCACGGCGTTCTAAGTAATAAAAGAAAATATTCAAAACATATTTTTATGTACTGTATATATGAATATGTAATGTAAATTGTGAGTTTTACCTTAATAGTTAATGCATCTTTAGTGATGTCAGGTAAAAGGTTGAGAGGTAGACGATGCCGATTGACTAACCACGGATGCATCAGTATTTGACCTGCCGTAGGTCTTCGCGTTGGATCGACGTGTAACATACGCTTAACTAATTCTTTTGCTTCATTCGAAATTTGGCACCAAACGCCTGTTTCCATATCAATATATCCACGTCCGATTCTATCTAATATGTCGTTTGCTGTGTCTCCAGGTGTATTAGGAAACGGTATTCTTCTACATTAATTTCATTTATATAATTAAGAAAAGTTTTGGTAAAACATTGTTCTCACTTATGAAATAATAGACAAATACTTACCCTGATAACATGATGTATAGTAAAATGCCAAGCGACCAAATATCACACGCAGCGTCATATCCTTGTCGCTTCAGCACTTCTGGAGCAACAAAATTAGCCGTATAACATGGCGTCATGAGTAGGCCATTTTCCGCCCGAAGTTGCTTAGCAAAACCAAGATCACAGATGCACAACGTTGAAGGGTTATAACCAGGCTTGGTATACAAAATGTTTGAAGGCTTTATATCGCGATGAACCACCTACGACAACAAAAAACGTATAGCATCGCGAATTCATAGAAAAAAGATATTGTGACATAAATTTGTTGTCCTACTCCGTTATCATGAAGATACTGTACGACGCATGTTATCGTATACATAACTTCAGCAGCCTCGGCTTCAGTAAAGTTGCGTCGCTGTAGCATCCGGTCGAGAAGCTCACCACCGCGCAAAAGTTCAAGTACAAGGTAAACATGCCTTTCATCCTCGTGAAGCGCTTTCAGCGTAACAATGTGCGGATGACGCCCGTAGCGCAACAATATCTCTATCTCTTCGGCAGGGTCACGCTTTTTCCTATCGATTACCTGTTGATGGACAGCAGAAAATAGACATGTTAAGCAATCGATAAAGTGCAATAAGCAAAGAAGGCACAGATATAAATTTCGTATATTACTTACTTTGATGGCATATTCTGCTTTTGTGGCCTTGTGGACAGCCAAATAGACTGTACTGTAACTACCTTTGCCTATTTCCTGCTTAAAGTCATACTCGTCTGTTATGCTAATGGGATTAACGTAGATTGGGAAGGTATTAGTTACATTTTCACACTGTTTGTTTTCTATACAAACATTACTATCTTCAAGTAGGCACGGGGCTACGAAACTAAATCCTCGAAATAGTTCATGTGCGGTTGCACTTGGTGGCACTCCTGGTGAATCTGTAGGAATTGGAATCTTTGTATAAATACTCATTAGATCTTGAAAATTATGTCCCTGATATGATATGAATCACAGATTATGTACCTTTCGGTGTCTTGCATGTAAATTCATTATCGAAGTAGAAGGCGTCATCCTCTTGACTCACGGCGGGCTTGAATGGCGGCTTTATTTCTTTTCTGAAGAGTTTGTCCCAGTCAATAGTTTCGAAAAATACATGTTGCTTTATTTCATCAATACCCCCTATAATTGAAAACAAATCTCTCATCCAAAAATGCTCTTCTGAAGAGTTGAATGTGTACACTTACTTGAACCCAATCTATTCACAGGATTCCTTTTGAATAAAACACGCAGAAGCGCCTGCGCTTCTGGGGATATCTCTTGAGGCATACCTAATTTGGCCTTGAGGATTTGGGTCATAGTTTCTTTACGATTTGATCCTTGAAATGGCAATGCACCTGTTAACATTTCAAACTGAAAAGTAAAAAGAAATAATTTGATACATTACATTTGTTTACAGAACATCAGGATAACAGGAGTCAAACAAGAAATACCATTAACACTCCAAAACTCCACCAATCAGCAGCAAATGAATGGCCTTTCCTATTAACAATTTCTGGAGCCATATACTCCACAGTACCACAAAATGAATATGTTTGTGTGTCATCAAGCGGTTGTTTACTTAATCCAAAATCTGTTAAGGCAATGTGGCCTTCTGTATCAAGTAAAATACTGAAAAAAAGAAATAATTATCATCAAATTGAATATTTATCGGTTTCTTTAATGTAAAGAGCTTAATTATGTCTCACTTTTCTGGCTTTAAATCTCTATATATTATTCCAAGGCTGTGTACATGATCTAAGGCAAGAGCAAGTTCTGCTAAGTAAAATTTCACATCTTCTTCAGTGAACATTAGCTGTAAAATAAAGTCAATAAAATGTTAATGATTAAATTTTGATTCTCATACAAATGTCTTATATTTCTCAAACCTGTTTAGATAACCTGGAGAATAGATCACCTCCTCTTAAAAAATCAAGTATTAAGTAAAGTTTTCCTTCTGTTTGAAAAGCATAATGTAAACGTACTATGAAAGGATGCTCAACATCGACTAGAATATTTCTTTCCATTTTGGTTCTAACTCTATCTCGAACTGGAAAAACAATAAAGATCAAGTATTAACTTATTGTTTTTGTGATAATTGAAAAATTATAGAATGAAAATACCTTTCAGAGTAGCTTTTTTAAGGACTTTCATGGCATATAAAGTTCCCTTATCCTTACCCACAGTTTTTCTAACTAAAAATACCTATAATATTCAATATTTTATTAATCTTACATTAAAACATTGAAGATAAAGATTGCATATACAAATATAAATATCTCACTTTTCCAAAGGAACCTTGTCCTAAAACTTTAAGCAGTTCAAAATGTTTAGGTTCAGCTTTTTCATGTCCTTCTCGAACCACATCTTTAACTTCAATCTCATGGGATTCCGAGCAACCATTTGACTGAGAATCCATAGCATTCTTAGCTCCTATATGATCTTCTTGGCTTTCAGCGGGCAAGATCTCTGAGGTACTCTGCTGTTATCAAAAAAAAAAAGGAAAACAAGAGGTGAGCTTGGTAATTTTAATTTATTCACAAAAGAACCAATAAATAAAAAATATATTCAACCTAGCAACCAACATATTTTTTTCTCTCACATATCAAACACTAAAAGAAGAAATGAAAAAATCTAACATCCATCAGAGATAAGAAAAAAGTAAAAAAAGTATTTTTTGCGAGCGGACAATAATTGATGTATTATTAAAGGCTCACCTTTTCATTGACTACGACTTGTTCATGATTCCAGGGTACAGTGAGTGTTGCTAGCGGCATTTTTCATTAGCCCAGACCTCGTTCCGATGGTTATTTTATCCGCGTATCTAAATAGTCGTTGTTTGCACAAAAATTCCCTGTAATCTGTAACATTGAACGATACTCGAAGCCCTGCGCTCTCACTCTTGGGATAATGGCTATGAGTAATCGGAAAGTTAAGCCTCCGCGCGCATATCTTTGCTGTATATTACACACACTGCAGAACTGGCAGTAGAGAGAGTGAGAGAGAGAGAGAAAAAGAGATAGATATATATATATATATATATATATATATATATATATATATATAGAGAGAGAGAGAGAGAGAGAGAGAGAGAGAGAGAGAGGGAGAGAGAGAGAGTGAGAGGCAAAAGTAAAGCAGACGTAATCTTCAATAGTGAATGGTTCTTTGTCGTCTTCGCTGTCACTTTTCAACACATCATTTCGCGGTTAACCGTCAGCCAATGTATATGCCTAAGCCACTGTGTATTGACCACCACAATAGCACCACCGATTAAGCATCAAGTTACTTTGCTGGACATGAATACGCAACCCGCGAAGTTCAAAATCCGATTTATTTTTGACGATTAAGTATATCGATGACACGAAAGGAGATTAGGTTAAGGACTTGCATTTCGGCAAGTCGTGCCCCCATAATTTGCCCAAAAAAACTAATTTATGGTACATCTATGTTCAATCCACAATCGTCAAAAATAATTTTGATTTTAAACTTCGCAGATTGCGAATTAATCATCGGGCAGGCATGCGGGGCAGATACCTTACGCATACATACACTGTTACGCGGCTGTATGTGTAACATTCACCAAGTCCGTTCGAGCCAAATTCTTGCCTGTGATTGGTTGACTTGAGCTGATAAAAGAAAATTAAAATTAAAAATGAAAATCATAACTTTGTGAAGTGACTCAAATGACAAGAAAAATCGATATGTAAAACAACTAAATAACTTAGAATCATTGTAATACAAGATTCGTAACAGACATAAACATCGATCGCGCATAACAATAAACAAAAGATTAAGAGACAATAACACGGCAGGTGCTGCAGCAAGATTAGGAGAAAAGGATTAGCGATGGGCTTAAGTGCAAATGTAAATAAGGCGCACCACATCGAAAACGTATAAGAGCGGGCGAGCTTGATCGGGTACTTCTGCTCTGGTCATCCAACCACACTTGACGTGAAGATCTCCGATAGCGAATGAATTTCGCCGCTAAACGAGAGAAGTTACACAAGTATTCTTTAACGATTTTCTTTCGAACCAGAGCGAATTGACTTAGGGTATTGGTGCTTCACTGGACTCCCGTGACCGGATGACAAAAGAGCCCAATACGAAAAAACAAAAAGATTGATTTCATTCTTAAAACCGATTGAGGAATTCCCTGTTGCGACAAAGCTGTTGGCTCGTCGACGGAAGCTGAATCGGCTTTACGCGCATCTTGCTTCTCGAACACGAAGACATCGGGTCTATATAAAATTCTGACCTGCCGGAAAAGATCGCACAGATTCTAACTTAAACAAAAAAATAATTACTGAAGGAAAAAATTAAGCATATAGTTTTAGACCGACTGTACAAAAATAAAAAAAGTACATGTATAATCAGTTATTTATAAAGTTCCAGATCTCATTTAAAGGTATAATATTAAGTATAAATTATAATTTTATACTTCGTAATTTTTAAATTTATTATTTTAGAAAACATGTATGATCTTCAATATTAATTATAAAAATATAAAGTAATACATGAAAAGTATGTAATATATTGCCATCTGGTTCACGAATTTAAAAACAATCATGGTAAATAAATTAAATAATGAAAAACAAGAATGTAATTAACTTACATTGAGTCCTTTAGTAAAATGTTATCCACATTGGATATATGCACTGATATTTAAGTTCATATACCTAATAAAAGTATTTCAATTTGTAATTTTTTATTATACAGAATGCATGCATATAACAACGCTACAGATAAAATATGTTGTTAATTACTTAGACTAATATTTAACAAGTTTAGATTACTTAATCATCTAATATTTCTCAAAAATATTGTCATTCAGATTAATATATAGCAACTAATATCTGCGATCAAGAATGCATCAATAAAACGCATATGCAAATTAGTGAAAAGCTGGAAAAAGTAAACGACATGGACACTATACATTCGCGAAGTATCGTATCATAAATTAGAAAAACTTTACATTATCACAAATAAAACTTAATTTTCTTCTTGAGAAAACCGCCGCCGATTATTAGTGATATCCCCTTTTTATATAAGGTTGTGATGTTCATGTTTCGGTCATTTCGGAGTCTTTTATACACATATACCGTCTGGGCATCAGTCTTAACGTACGCGATTATACCGACTCTTAACTCTCTATAGTTAGTTAATAGTTTCTCAACGCGAGTATAAAATCAAGTCAATTATTCATTTCGTACTCCGAGATATCTGCAATAACGAAGATGCAATTATTTATTGGAAAACAATATATTGTAGATATTGATCAGCTGTTGGTAATGCGCGACACATACTATTTGGTTTATTCACAGTTTCATGATAGTGTCTTTTGCGTGCTAGTGCTACTACTGTCCGAGAGGCAACACGAAAAAAATCGAGAAGAGAGAGAGAAGAAAAGAATAAAATAACAGCAGTAGTGCTGTGCCTGCTGAGTGCTGACACGACGTCGTATACCATCCAGCACTTTTGGTTGGGTGTTGAAGCAAATCGAACGACAACGACGGACCGTGACCATAGTGCACGATCAGGCACGATGCAGTAGCGGACACACAGCTGGGAGTCCTGACGACAGCGATGAGGACTATCGTCCTCGGAGGACAACACTCGGCGTTGATTATTTCCAACGCTACGAGCACTGACACTACTCTTTACTTATCGACAAAGTATGTCTTGACGTACTGCTACGGCCTTTTACGATACATCGTACACGCATTATAACGGTGAGCAGGTGGCTATACGAAACATGAATCAGTGCGTCAATCAATTGGATTAGGAGAAACGTCTGCCAAGTGCTTGTGTGCGTTTACTTACCTGTGATTCAAATCTTTATATTCTCTCATCTCTGCTGCAAATCGAGTTGCCAAGGTATCAAGTACAGCTTTTATTATCATTATTCTTTGTGTTTTTCTGATAAGTCTGCAAATTTTACTGTGCTTTTGTTTCCATTTTTCTTTGTAGTTGACGACATGATTGTGCACTCTCCACAGTTATTTTTTGTATGTGTCCGTATGATTACACTTAAAAGAAATAACCCTCAGTATTAATAATGAAAACTTTGAAACATGTAAAGAAAGTACTTACCTTTTACTCTGTATTTGAAGGTTTTTCTTTTATATTTGGCAAACATCCAAGTGCTCACTATAGATATAATCACTTTGTTCATTTAGCTATATATAGAATTTAACCATATATTTGCTATTCAAGTTATTGATTTTTCATCACAGTGTTTGTTGCTCCATTTTTATCAAAATGGCAGAAATCAAAATGGATCAAGAGACAGTGTATGGGACACACGAAGACAGTCATGTAGTTATGTCGGAAAAAGTGCAGTCACTAGCTGGTAGTATATATCAAGAGTTTGAACGAATGATAGCTAGATACGATGAGGATGTTGTCAAAGAACTCATGCCATTACTAGTCAATGTGTTGGAGTGTTTAGACATTGCTTACACAGAAAATCAAGAACATGAAGTTGAATTGGAGTTACTGAGGGAAGATAATGAACAACTTGTTACACAATATGAGAGGGAAAAACAACTTAGAAAGACTTCTGATCAAGTGAGTTTTTAAATTCATTAACTTTTTCTGTCATATGCTCAATAAAATATTAATTTCAAAATTGTTTGTCACAGAAACTTCTAGAGTTAGAGGATGCAGCAGAAGATGAGCGCAAAGAATTACTTTCAAAAATTGATAGTTTAGAGTCTATAGTTAGAATGTTGGAGCTCAAGACTAAAAACTCACACGACCATGGTACAAATGTCAAAGCCTCCAATCAAAGAAACACTCTTTCCAGTAGAGTAGATTATTTTGAGTTTATTTTTTTAGTTATGATTTTTTTCTGCTTTTATTTCACAAGATAAGAGGAATTCCAAAATTCATTTTAAGCATACCATGCTTTTTATGTCTATTTTTGTTCAGCTTAATTTTTTCAATCATTTTCATTTTATCATATATCAATTACTATTATGATTTGCTTTTCTATTTTTATTGCCAATTGATCAACTCATTACTATGCAAATTAGGTTACATCCACGTTATACTTTTGATGACTAAATTCTACTTTCAATTCTAGTGGTACGTCTTGAAGAAAAAGAAGCAGAACTAAAGCGTGAATATTCTCGATTGCATGACCGATATACCGAACTTTTCAAAACTCATGTCGACTATATGGAGAGAACAAAAATGCTGGTTGGAAGTTCGGAAAGATTAGAGAACTCGACGTCCAGCGCTCGTGGTCCTAGTCGATTACCTCCTCTTGGTATGCAACATATGTCACGTAGTTCCGGCCCTCTTAGCTATGGATTCCAAAGTTTAGAGGCGAGTATGAATGCCGAAGATATTCCCGAGGAAAGTCCACCAAGCGGTGAAGATCTGAAAACGGAAATGTTGGACAGCAGCAGTGATATGCCTGTTGATTTGTCTGATAAGAGTCCGATGACAGAACAGTTGCCACAAGACAAAATTGCTGAAAAATGTAGATATAAGATAAATCTTTGATCCTACTAATAATATTATTCATATTTATATGAAACTTATTATTTAAAGCTGTAAGTCCTGAAACAGAGCAACCTTCAGTAGCGACGACGCCAACGTCTCCTAAAGTAGAAAAAGTAGCAACAACTCCAGGCGGACGAAGTCGCACGGAAAGAGAAGAACGACGAAGTGCAAACACTTTGTATCAAGAGATCAGCTTTCAAGATGCCGACGCTTTGGGAGAAATGGATGAAGGAGCTGATATCACAGGTATGTATAGTATACAGAATTTTATTCTTATATTTTATCATCAGCCAAATGCATGAAAACTAACACAGTCAATATATTAACAGGAAGTTGGGTTCATCCAGGCGAATATGCTTCATCTGGTATGTGTAAAATATTATTAAGATTATAATTTTTGAATTTCCTTCGTAACGATGATTGTCTTAAAAAAATGATTGAATAGCAAAAGAAACATTATTTTACGTGACGTTTATTTAACAATTAGCATGTTGTTTTTTTCATACACCTATAAATGTCTTTTAACAACTCCACCAAACTGATATCTTATTTATTGTTTGTGACAATGCTGTATCCTGTTCTCATGAAATCTTCATTAAACGATGCATGCAACGTGTAACTTACATCTGCGCAGTTAATGACAACTTTTTCGGTAAGGAATCATAATCTTCAAGGTTAAATAATACTTGTTTTCGATGTTATATAAAGCTATTTTTGTGAATATAGTTATTTTATGACTTGACAGATGTTTGTAAATAAGTTAAGATAATTGGTAGTTATTTGCGTAAAACAATGATCTAATTGAGTGTATGTATGTCTTGTAGGTATGGGCAAAGAAGTTGAAAATCTCATTATGGAAAATAATGAACTGTTAGCTACAAAGTAAGTTTAGTTTACCAAACGTGTAAGTCTGTTCAATCTTCTAGAATCTAACTAAATTCAAAATATTTTTAGGAATGCTCTAAATATTGTCAAAGATGATTTAATTGTCAAAGTCGATGAATTAACCGGGTAAGTTGTTTTATCTTGAAGTTTATTTATTTTGTCATTGCAATAAAATAAAATTTTAATTTTAGGGAACAAGAAGTACTTAGGGAAGAAATAAGAAGTCTCCATCAAACGAAAGATCGTCTGCGCCAGCGTATATTAGCATTAGAAGAAGAACTGAAAAAATTAAAAGATGAAGCGGAAGCCGCTACCAAAGCAACGAAAAGCGACGACGAAGAGGAGGTTCCTTTGGCCCAAAGAAAAAGGTTTACGAGAGCTGAGATGGCTAGGGTACTGATGGAAAGAAATCAGTATAAAGAAAGATTCATGGAACTTCAGGAGGCCGTTCGGTGGACAGAAATGATTCGTGCTAGTAAAACTGATCCGGCGAGCATATCTGGTCAAAAGCAAACCTTTTGGAAATTGTAATTTTTTTTATTTTACAATGGATCACACCTATTTAATAGTTTCAAAGGAATAATCATATCTATCTCTCTGATTTAGTTTTAGTAATCTCTTTACGGGTCCAGCAGATCGAGGGCCGTTGGTGCGTGGACCTCACATTCGCTACAGCGCACCTGCGAATCAAGTTGTACCAGCAGGTCCAATGGATATGATGCGTCGACGTCAGCTGAAGAGTCGTCACGATTTTCTTGATCAAGGAGACACCATGTGAGGATAATGAATCTTTTCAATTAAAATGCGCGTCGTTTATATATATATGTATGTGTGTGTGGGTGTGTGTGCAGTTATTTTTAATTAGTAACTTTTTATAAGCTTCCAGTGTTTTTTGTGTACTGTGAATGCTGCTAAACTGTTTTATTTTATTTTATTGCACATTTTTCTTTAGCGATGCTTGTTATGGTTTCTATATAGAACTAAATTTTGTTCATTTATGTGTAGTACGATGTTGAAGTGGATATTTAGAATTTTATTTGACTGTAGAAATAATTGAAAGTATACATAATTTATATTAGCGATGCGTTGTGTGAATAAGGATATCGATGTTATTCTATATTTTATAAACGCTTTGTTTATACTTAAAATGATACGAAATATATAAATAAGTTATGATACAAGTGTAAAACGTATAATTATTATTTGGACAATTGCTGTACAATTTTGCTTTTGGAATCTTTTCTCTATTCGGGATCTGCACTTTTATTTCCACCCTGCACATCAGAAAATACAGCTTTTACTTATCGTAACAGGTAATATCACTTTACATTTCTCTTGAACACTCAGTAATAGATTCTCTCATTAACTTTATCGTAACAAGATTCTTAATAAATTTTATTTTTTTGATGCAATTGTGTGTGTGCTGGTTCTCAACTAATATAACTTACAAAGATAAAATGTCATGACACGATTCACTATGTGTGATTACAGGTCATCAGAAAAGTTGGTAGCAAGACGAGCAAACGAAAGAAAGGAGCAATACCGACAAGTTAGAGCTCATGTTAGAAAGGAGGATGGAAGGCTACAGGCTTACGGTTGGAGTTTACCGGGCAAACCCAGTGCTCCCCAACGCCAACCAGTACCAGTGCCAGTTTATTGTCGACCGCTGCAAGAGACTGAACCTGGGATGAAGGTCAATATTTCAGACTAAATTACGTTTTTTCTTTCTGTACTTTTTTTGTCGACGTACTAATTCAAACTACTATTTTTTTTAGATATGGTGTGGAGCAGGTGTTAATCTAAGTGGAGGTAAAACGCGCGACGGCGGCAGCATGGTTGGTGGAAGCGTCTTTTACGCAGCCGAAGCCCAAGAAACGAGTTGCGAGAACAAACCCGAAGATGCCATTGAGCATCTGGACAAAGAGTTGCAAGAGAGTGAACAACGAAGAATAGAAGCCGAACGACTAGAAGAGCAATTGAGCTCATACGTATGGATCTGCACGTCCACGCAAAAGATGTCGAAAGTGACTGTGATAGACGCAAACAATCCAGCCGAGATCCTGCAGGCATTCAACGTCTGCCAAAGCCATTTATTATGTATTGCCAGTGTGCCGGGTGCTAAAGAAAGCGATTATGTCCAAACTGCCACAGACGCTACCGAAATCGAGAGAATCGATGATAATGCGGAAACTGCTCTTTCAGTGGAATTGAGTCAAGCGGAAGCGAAACAAATCGAAGATGAGTCTCCATCGAAGAAAAGTAACGAGGACGAAGAATCACAAAGTCAAGATTTTGATGCAGAAACAGAGAATCTAGGAAAAGTGAGCTTTGTTAAAAATGTTCTACGGTCGAATTCTTCTCAAGTTAATGTAATAGACGATGATGAAAAAACTGAGGAAGATGATAGCGAAGATGCTCCCATAAAAAAAATGTCTTCAATTCAACCGACTATGTGGCTTGGAGCTCAGGATGGCTATGTGTTCGTTCATTCTGCCGTTGCCAAATGGTCCGTGTGTTTACACTCGGTTAAACTGCAAGACGCTGCTCTTGGTATTGTGTAAGTATCGAAAATAATAAAAAAGAAAATGTTCACTGATTGATGTAAAATTTTTTTATAACTGTAGGCATATCCAAGGTCGAGTACTAGTCGCTCTTGCCGACGGCACTGTAGCAGTATTTCGTCGAAGTATCGACGGCCAATGGAACTTATCGCAACACCACGTGATAACGTTGGGAACTCCGCAGCACTCAATCAGGTGTATGAGTGTAGTCCTTGGTAAAACCGTTTGGTGTGGTTATCGCAACAAAATTCATGTGATCGACCCGGTCAAACTGACTGTCGAGGTATTTCAAAGCTTCGATTACCTAATAAATCATACAAAAATAAGCCAACAATATAGTAAGTACGAGAAATGTGTGAAAGTAAAAGGTGAATATGGGTTGCAGTGCACCGTTGACGCACATCCACGCCGCGAGTCTCAAGTTCGACAGCTCGCTTGGCTCGGCGAGGGTGTATGGGTTAGCATACGATTAGATTCCACGTTAAGACTTTATCATGCTTACACTTATCAGCATTTGCAAGATGTTGATATCGAGCCCTATGTCAGTAAGATGCTTGGCACTGGTAAATTGGGATTCTCATTTGTACGTATTACTGCGTTACTCATCTCATCCAATAGACTGTGGATTGGCACGGGAAACGGCGTTATCATTTCCGTACCTCTCTCTGAGAGTAAGTAATTGAATTCTGCTTTGCTTTTATTAAGAGTTAAAAGAGAAAAATATTAAGTAAACGATGATCTTTTAGGTGCAGGTGGTTCAATGGCTGTGACACGTGTTCAACCCGGCGCTGGTAAAGGCGACGCGCCAGGAGTGGGTGTAAGGGTTTTTACTACCGATCACGGAGTTATAACTCCCGGTAGTTTCATTCCATACTGTAGCATGGCTCATGCACAACTTAGCTTCCACGGACATCGCGACGCAGTCAAAATGTTCGTTGCTGTACCAGGTATGATAATGGAGTATTCCAATATCACGTGCTTGCTAATTAAAGCTGATGACTAACCGATAAATGTTCTGATTATTTGTAGGCCATGGTGGTTCTAGCGCAGCTTCAGATAATACGCAGCCAGCAATGCTTGTTTTATCTGGGGGAGAAGGTTACATTGACTTCAGAGTTGGTAAGCAATTATACTGATTTCCTTCTCTATCGATTAATAATGAGAATAATTGATTAAATGATTGACTTTAATGATAAAAACCATAATCGTTGGAAAAAATGTATCACTAAAAATCTCTTTCGAGAAGCAGCTGTGTTTTTAAAAAATTGCTCGACGTACTTATCATTTTAGCGGATGAAGCTGAGGATGAGAGTGATGTGGCAACGCATCTAATTGTGTGGCAATTAGTCAGGTATGCCCCCAGAGAGTACCAGAATATGCACATTAAAACTTGCTCTATGCCAATCGCATATTGTACATAGTTTTTACGCTTAACCATACGGGCATGTCTGTCAATAAACAAATATTAACTTGTATATTTAGAACAGTGACTAACATTAATAACAAGCTTAATTACCATTTATATCATTGCAGCTGGTGATTAACTGCAAAAAATGGAATGGGAATGGCACGATTAACTGAAATTTAGTATCTATAATTAAAAAAATTATAAATTGCAATTATTTTCACGCATAATAATGTCTAATCATTCTAACATTGGTTGCATCAACTCTCATTGAAGCTAGCTTAAGTAGAACTTAAAGAGCTTAATTTTGTAAAATGTAAAGAAGAAAATGAAAGTCTATTCATTTTCTATGCTCTCTGGGGGTCGGATTTTGAAAAATGTCTATTGCGTTTAGACAGAGTATTTCTTTGCATCTAAATTAATATCACGGAGATTATCCAAAACTACATTTTCAGTATTTTAGAAAGGAATTTAAGATTGTTGATTAAACTACTAATTTATGAAAATGAAGGTGTTACTACGTATAGAAAAATCTGGAATTAAAGTAGATTGTTACTTTTATAGGTGACGGTGAAGAGACGATGGAAGATTCGTCAAGTCGAACGTCCACGATAGTAGCATCGACCGCGGAAGAGCAAGGTGAGCAAAGCCATCTGATAGTATGGCAAGTGCGTAGTCTGCCGTCAGTGACAAACAACGCCTAGTCCAACAAATAATTTTTCGGAGAAAAACAAGGAGTTCCTTTATTAATGGGTGCCTGGCCTAGCTTTTTCTTTCGTCAATGACTGAACTTGGCAAGGAGAGACATACATGTGTCGTAAACTCTTCGTTGTTTTTTTTCTGTTTTATTGCCAAATTTCTCGAGAGCACTCGACCTACACGCGTTTCTCGATGAATTTTATACTGTGTACTACTATACATATAGCCAGGTTTGATAATTCGACCATTGTAAACAATTGAAATGAACTTACTTCCGTTGGAATAATATTATCATCGTGCGATTGATTATTATACCGTATTTTTGTAACTCTATAATTATGTACGCCATACAGATCTGAATTGACTATATATGTTTTATTTAGTTTTTTCTCAATGATTAATTTTCGTTTTTCGCCCTCTGACGGATGGGAGATTATTTAGATGAGATTTTTATTAATTATATCCAATTTCGTATCAACAGCTTCAAACGATGATGATTTACGATCGCTATATAGTAATTCCATGTATATGTATATTGTGTGAACAAGATTTTTTTGCATAGTTTATTTATAAAAAATTTAACCAATACAATGTGTAAATGCTTAATGCTCTATCAATGAATATTCAATATGCGCATCAAGTCGCTGTTTGCTTAGATTAGGAACATTAATTATTGTATATCACAAAGATATTATATTTTTTATTTATGTAACAAACCAAGTAATGAAGAATCATTTATTATTTCTATTAATCAAGTAACTTTGGCATTACACTACCTTATATATAAATTAATCAAGTTTATAGGGAAAAAACGAGGGTTTTGTAAATACGCAATGTTGATACTAGTAAATATTTGTTATGTTGTATAGTCTTTTTCAAAAGAAACAAGCGAGAAGTGCGCTAAAAGGGTAAAGCGCTTCTTTCTTTTCTCTTGTGAAAAACGATTCTGAATCTCTTACCAAAGATGCAGATATCGAGCGATAATAATAATAAAGAAAAAGGAAGCATAGACAAGAATGTTCAATTCGTTTGTATACCTATCGTCATCAAATCCTCGAGACATTTTTGGATATCTTAATTTTGAAAGGCGATCTTTTTTTGTGTGGATTGGCGTGTAAATTAATTGTGATTTCTATGTAACAAGCGGGCAATTGTGTGTAGCTGATGCGAGTCGAAAGTGATGGTGAAAAATAAAAAAAGCGATCTATGAAATCTCTATCACTACAGAGTTATTATCTCTCATTCAATGCCTATTATATTGTTGTAATTAAATTGAATCGTGTAATTATTCAACTCTCTTTTGTTTTCCATTGAAAATATAGAAGAAGGTTACGTAAACTTATTAGTCCCGTGTGTTGGATAAACACTATATCTTGATCTCAATTAAGCAATACTAATTCAATGTAAATTGCGACCGATTAAATGAAGACGAACGTGTACGATAAGTAAAAGTAAATCCAGCGGTGATTGATATTGATATTTATAAAATATCTCGAAATCAAATAATCCCGATTGATAACAAGTTTACCATTGAACGACAAAAAAAAATGTTCAAATAAAGTTGCAACTAAAAAGTTAAGATAGAATAACGACGGATTAGATCTTCCCGATGTTAAAACGAGCACTGCTGGGCGTGTCGTGCGGCAATGTACCAGCAAAACAGCAGCAGCAGCGTCGAGACTTATTCCCCCTCTACTCGTGGCAACAATTGCGAGTGAATAAAAGGTCGTGCTATCAGTGTAGCCTCAATCAGCCGGTTAACGCCGCAAACAACGCAACTCGCAATAGAACTACCTTGCTCCAGCGATTTTTCAACAACCTAGCCGAGAAAATGTCGAGAGATCCTGCCTCCGATCAACTAAACAACTACAAGAAGTCCGTGAAGGTTAGTTGCGGTCATTTACATTTTTCCTCCTCTTTTTCCCAGACGCGCATCGTGCGAGTAAATCTGTAATGACACACGTCGTCATCTGAATACTGGCCGTGTTTTCTCTTTGTGAAACTGACCTATGCAACCTGTTTGCTCTAACGCAACCCATTCTATGTGTGTATGATTGATGCGCGCACTCACTCGACACGAGTACTTTGCTAATAAAAATCACATTCACTTATATACTCATTTTCCTAAGATATATGCAAGCTCTCAAGGCTACGCAAAGTTACAAAGTGCTCTTGCTTTGATTTTTTCACGGGGAGATACCATCTCTCTTTCTCTGTCTTGTCTCTCCTCTTTCTCGTGCCGGTCGTTAATAACTCTCTTGGGAAACGCTAAGTAAGACAGTTTAATTTCTGTATATGCCAAGCGCTTGCAGGACACTCCGTTTATTAAAACGATGATGGTTTACGCAGAGGATTTTCATTTGAAAAAGAGAAGTCATTAATATAACGATGAGCGAGCTGTCAGGTGGGATGTCTATTTTTTTTTCATTATCCTAGTACTTCAACGCTACGATAATGATTTATTTGTCGATTCGCGGCTTATCTACTTCGCATACATCTGTATTGCCAATGCGGACGCAGCCTCGCCGTTCCTTTTACAAACGGCTGTTCACGCAGAAAACTGGAGTCTTATCTTGACCGAGTGAAAGTCGTTTTTTATCGAGCGCAGATCAAAGTAAAACACAGTTTTCCGAATTTCTCTTGTCCTTTACTCCACCGAAACAAATTAAGATAATCTCACTGGAACGAATTTGATGTCGATACAAATAAACGGCTTATCTCGTCCGTCATGTAATATTTTGGTACGTGCGCACATGAACGCCAGGATTGATCTCTCAAATACAGCAGCGTCATTGTTTTTCAAGATAAACTTTCAATTTGAGGAAACAGAGCGGCGGTGGACGGGCTTCAAACGGCTTATTGGTGGTCACATACAGCTCGCTTAATAACTCCTCCACGTGCTGTATCTTTAGTTGCATAACAACACGTGTTTCAAAGTACAAAATGCACTTTTTGCAAATGTAAGATTTTCAAACAGGACAGGTTGTCGTTGTTGTTTGCATTGCTGATGCGAATTGAAAAGAAAGAGGATCGTTTCCCAATTTATCGACGCATTTCGTAAATTCAGTGTTTAATTTATAAGTTGACGAAGAACAAAAGCTAAATCGAAATGCCGCTCTATTGTTTGTGTCAAGACGATATCCGTGGCAATTAAATTGTTGCTATTCTCATGCTGTTTTTCGCGAGTGTCGCAACGTACCATCAGCTCCGAACGGTGCGCGGCCAATTGCAACGTTATTTTTTTTCGCGTAATCGTCCGCAAGCGACACGGTAGCCTACATCAATTATGCGGGCTTCCCATGAAGGTAACCGCAAGAGAATTCGCGCGCAATAAAGTCGTGCCATTCGATTTATCGACTCTATGATTATTACGCACTTTCGATCAATCTATTCTTACCGTCCAGTTGTAACGCCCGCGCAGCTCAACTTTCCGGCTGATTTTCAACTGATACCAATAATTGGTCATTTAGAACAAACGCCTTTGAAGCATCAAGACGATTTCAAACTGTTCAAGCAAGACAATTTGCGGTGTTTTCTCCCGTCTCAGCTTAACAAATCAGCGAAATTCACTATTCAGCCGTAGTTACACGTTGCATCTACAATATATCGCGTCGAGCACGTGACTGAATATTTTTCACCTGCACGCAATAAATGCGATCCGGATTTGCTCGCGCTGAACCTGAAAAAACTCACGAAAGCAACACAGGCGAGTTAATTGACGAACAATCGTCTCGTAGGACCCGCCAACACTTCTCACCGCAAATGGAGCGCCGATCGCCAACAAAAAGGCCTCTCAAACTGTTGGTCCGCGAGGACCGCTTCTTCTCCAGGACTTTGTCTATCTCGATGAGATGTCGCATTTTGACAGGGAAAGAATTCCCGAGCGAGTTGTGCACGCCAAAGGAGCTGGTAAGTTGCGCGGAAGTGTATTTTCAATTTTGTATGCTCTCAACGATAACAACAATCAAATGGATATCGCGCGTTATTTTTTTTACCTGTACAACAGATAAGGCACTGGCTGTTTTCAAACTAAACAATGATTATTTTAGTATTGCATCGATCAATTCCGAGTTCTTGCTAAAGTTTTTCACGAGCTACGCGGAAATGATAAATACATCTTTTTTTTTCAAATCATCTTCTGTGCAATCGGTTTTGCTCTATACTTGTTCTTTAGTTTGGGCCTACTACGCTGAAAATAACTGATTGTACGCGGTTATGCACATATTCATTCGAATGTCTGTTTGAAATACGCATGTTAAGCCAATGACGAACGAACGTATACTTCGTTTTATCTTGCAAACAAGGTTTCTTTAAATTTGTACGCGTTAACTTTTATACGATAATTCGTGTAAATAGAGTGTGTCGAGTTGTTAGGTGCGACTTACTTGATTTTATTTGTTGAAATCTTTCGTCAAATAAATGTAGGTATGGCTGTGCGTCTTTATTTCAGTTAATTTTGTGACATTAAGGTATATTTCTGTGTAATTATGAAATTCAGATTTCAGATATATATGAGGAGGTGATGGAATAAGTATTTTATATCCACTTCAAAATTTACAAAACAAATTTTTGAAAATAATTAGTAACAAAAAATTTATAAAGAAAAATTATACACTACGACTGACTCAAAATTACTGGAATACTCATGTTATTATTATGATGAACGAAGTATAAAATTAGCAACTCAAAGAACAAGAATTAAAAATATTTAGATTCGTAAAATAAACAAAGCGATGTATAAATGCAGTAGGCATGTTATTGTTATTAAAATATTTAATAGATTACCGAAAGAGCTAAGTTTTATGTGGCAATATAAAAATTATCAAAAAACTAAAAAAACAAATAGTATAAAATGTAGAACAACATCTAGATAGATTTGAATGTTCTTTTTAATAGTGAATTTATTTTAATAGCATTAAACTTGTTTTACTTTTCTCTTTTTCTTAAATTAAGTTTACAGTATTTATAAACAACAGGAAAATCCTTTTCTGCAAACTGGTGGTTAATACCATTTAATCATCAGAATATTGTAGAATGAAATAAAAATAAAAATAATAGATGTATGAAAATTAAGCGGTACTTACCTTTGGCATGGATAAGTAGTAGTATAAAAGTAATAAATATTTAATGGGAACATTTTTTTATGGTTTTTCATACCGCTGTAATTATTAACAGATACCTCCAGCAACTTTAAGATTACTTATTATTATTGATAACATATTCTTTTGAATAGCTGAATGTATTAAATGTATGCGTTTCTTATTAATGAGTTTTTGAAGGTGATAACATTTTTGGAAAACCTGGTTATTTTCTCAATACCCAATAGAAAATTGTAAAAATTTATCAACCGGTTTATTTCATTAAAAAATTGAAAAAAGCGATTTCATACCTTTAATAACTAAAATTAATTAATAAAATTAATTAATAAATTAATTAATTAATAAATTTATTAATAAATTCGCTCAGAGATTGTATAAAAAATAAAATTATGTTCCGAAAAGCTGCAATTTTTTAATTAATATGTGAACCAAGGATTGACCAAGGCTTTTAAAAATAGAGCCAATGGAGCAAAAACTGATTTGACGCGGGCAGTGCTCTAATTACAAAAGCCTGTAATTGACAACAAAAGAATAGTGGTTTTTCCCACAAGCAATGATTTCCTCCAAGGCAATACTTCACCGCAATTTAAATAAAAGGTCGATGCTTAGAAAACCAATTGAATTGTTCTGACAGGTGCTTTCGGTTACTTCGAGGTGACTCACGACATCACCAAGTATTGCAAGGCTAAAATATTCTCGAATATTGGTAAGAAGACCCCGTTAGCGGTGCGCTTTTCGACCGTTGGTGGCGAAAGCGGATCCGCCGACACCGTCAGGTACACGTAGAATGATTTGAGAAAAAGAAAAACTCGATAATTAACGTGTCTTTTCGTACAGAGATCCACGAGGATTCGCCGTGAAGTTCTACACCGAGGAAGGAATTTGGGATCTGGTTGGGAACAACACTCCCATCTTCTTCATCAAAGACCCACTGTTCTTCCCGAGCTTCATTCACACGCAAAAGAGGAACCCGGTTACACATCTGAAGGTAACGTAATAAAAGCTGCGTCTTTTCTCTGCGTGCTCGCATCGCGCACATGACGATCGTTTGCATATACACGCAGGACGCCGACATGTTCTGGGATTTCATCACCTTGCGACCAGAGACTACCCACCAAGTGATGATACTGTTCAGCGACCGAGGTATTCCCGACGGTCATCGTCATATGAATGGCTATGGTTCGCACACGTTTAAGCTCATCAACGATAAAAACGAGATGGTTTACTGCAAATTCCATTACAAGGTATCTCTAGCAGCTTCGTCCGATGCTATCGTCAGCTTTAGATGCGCGTGTGAAAAGACGGAACGCTTCTCCTCGTTTTGTTGACGTTTCGTCATTGACTGCAAACTAATTGCTCTGTGCGTCTGTTTTCCTCGTTATGTGAATCATGAGACCGACGACTATTATACCGCAACGCTACTGCATTTTTTCATTTAGTTTGCCAACCAACGCTGCGCCGAGTTGCGCCAAGTTGCGTATCGCTAATTTGATTTTCCTCGGATCTCTTGATGGCTTTCCTTATTGATAATCAATTGCAGCACGCAATCGACACAAACGAATGAGCGAGAAAAGAGAGCCCGACGAAATGATTCGATTCGTGTTCACAGACCGATCAGAAGATCCAGAATCTCTTCCAGGACAAGGCCGACCAGTTGGCGTCATCCGACCCGGACTACAGCATTCGCGACTTGTATAACGCGATCGCGAGCGACAATTACCCATCCTGGACGTTTTACATTCAAGTGATGACTGCCAGCCAAGCTGAAAGCTTTAGGTGGAATCCGTTCGACCTCACTAAGGTACGTGATCACTGGAATCGCCGAGCGTCTTGTGAACGGCGGCTGATAAGGGCTGACTTTTTGGCTGTAAGGTCTGGCCGCACGCGGAATTCCCATTGATACCAGTCGGCAAGATAGTGCTGAACAAGAACCCAGAGAATTACTTTACCGACGTGGAGCAGGCGGCCTTCGATCCAGCACACATGGTGCCTGGTATCGAGCCAAGCCCCGACAAGATGCTTCAGGGTCGGCTGTTCGCTTACGGCGACACCCACCGACACCGACTTGGCCCCAATCATCTGCAACTAGCCGTCAATTGCCCATACAAGGTATATACACCTCTACCCATACGTACATCGCGGCTCATCTCTCGTTGCTATTGTGCACATTGCGCCTATTCATCCGCTCGCGCGCGAACGGATTTGGCCTGTTCTATAGGTAGTTAGCGTCTATGCGCGAGTAATGAGCGCCCATCTCTCTCTCTCTCTCTCGCTCGCTCGCTTGCTCTGCCGAAAGCGGGCGCTATTTCGATGCAAATATATAGGTGCTTTGATGGAGTTGCATAAGTTTCGTCGAGCGCTCGTGAGATGACTTTGAAACGAGATTTTTAAAATGACCCGGCGAGCGGCGAAGTTTTAAGAGCCTCGAGCCTTATTTATGGTGTTTTCAATATAATTTTTTTTTCTTTATTTTTGCAATCAGCAAACACGGAACGTTTTTCTCGGTCAATAGTCTTTCGACGCGGTTGTTTTGCTTCTTCTCCGAGATCGCGTCGTTGAGAAATCTGCCAGGCGCATTGCGAAAGGAAAAAAATTTAATAGTTCGCGCCGACGTATTTGGAAATTGCGTTGGAGCCGCGAGCCACATTGCCGCGCGCGTGAAAATAAAAAAAAAAAAGAAGATATATATTTTCACTGTAGACGAGCGCTACAATCCGCCTCGAGCTGAATCGAACGGCTGCTCACGCGCGGAGGTGTTTCCAACAGCCCCGTTATTGCTTTTTTTTGCACAACGAGTTTTAATACGTGACTTTGATCGCGCGCGCTCAATATTCCGCGGGAAATCTCCGAGAAGCCTTTGGCGAGTCTCGCAATACAAGCCAGTTTTGCTGAGGCGCGCACGTGTGTGTTCGCAGATGATGCCGACGATAAATTACCAACGCGACGGCTTCATGGCGGTGAACAATCAAGGCGGCGCGCCCAACTATTTCCCTAACAGCTTCGGTGGCCCGGAGGAATGCCCGGGCGTCACCTCGCCGGCCTACCACGTGAGCGGCGACGTCGACCGTCACGAGCCCGTCAACGAAGATGATTACAGCCAGGCGACCGACCTTTGGCGTAAGGTGCTTAAGCCTGACGAGAGAGACAGATTGGTCTCCAACGTCGTTGGCCATCTCAAGAACGCGTCGAGCTTCATTGCCGAGCGTGCCGTGAGGAACTTCTCCAATGTCGACGTTGAGCTGGGCAGAAGACTCACCGAGGGACTTCGCAAGAATGGAGTGCACGTGAACGCTTTAGGCAAGACGGCCAATCTGTAAACAAGCAAAGACTATCAATTCCGCGACCGAATTGTGCTTCTCTTTGTCACTTTCTAAGCTTATCAGTTTTACTTGTATTATCGTTGTGGTGGTTTTTGGACAATAAAAAGAGCATTTGTATTTTGATATATAACAACAGTCGGACAATGTGATTTCGCAAAAAAAAAAAAAGACACGCGGAGAAGGAGATCGCGGGAGAGAGATGCATCGCAGCCGACGCCAACTTTCACCACGCACGACAGTGTATACTGGAAAACTGGTCCGCTTCCCCCTCCACTAGCTCTCGGTCCATTAATTGGCCGCTTGTCAAGTGGCGGTCTTATCTTCCCCTGGGTTAATTACTGTCCCCCCTTCACTGCCATTCCTGCGTCGAAACAATAAAAAAGGATCGACCACGCGCAATAAGCGCTTAGAGAGGTTAATATCCTGGCTGGCCAAAAGCTTCCCCGAAGCTCTAATTATAAACTTGACGATGACCCCGCTGCGAGCTGAGCGCCGAGCACGTCGATATTGTCCTCTCGAAAAATCGATTCGCCGGCAGCGGCATCCCTCCTAGCAGCGCCACTGCCGCCGCTCTCACTCGCGTAAACTCGATTGACGAGCTTGCGAGCGCTACCGCGTGAACTTGCGAGATAACGAGCTTGCAGTAGCTGCAGCGGCGCAGGGCTGCTAATTAGTCGATGAGAGTCAAAGGAGCGAGCGCAGTGGAAAGAAATTTTTGCACTACGCTCGTTCGTTCAGCTACCAGTCTAATTATAAATTCGCCTGACTCGCCAGAGTCAATTAGCGAGGATGCGCTCGCTCGCTCGACCCGACGCGACTTCGTGCTGTGTGCGCACGGGGGAGCACGAAAAAATGGAAAAAGAAGAGCGCCGAGAACGTGATCTCCGCGAGGGACACGAGTGTCGAGCGACACGCTAATGTTTCAATCGATCTCTACCCTTCCCCCGAGCTCTAAACACTTTTGTACGTGCGCGAGGGGCGTTAAGTGCACCCCTGTTATCTCTTCGTCTTCCTTCTTCTCCCGCTTTTTTGCTTTTTTCTCCCCTGCCCACCTCCAGTCCGTTCCCGCCCGCCGACGAGCGAGCAAAATACACGGATCGTCGAACTTGCACGTTTGATTTTTCGAGCGACAGATTGGCGGAACGCACGTTCTAGATATCTATCAGATAGAAAGAGAGACAGAGAGAGAGAGAGAGAGAGAGAGAGAGGCTGACGAGTCGATCGCATAAGCGCAGTTCATGACGTCAAACCAACGACAAGCAGCGCGTACGCAGTGTCCATTCAAGCTCTGCTTGCCCGCACGCGTGTTTCGACAGACACGATGTACCGTTACACCGACGAGCTACATAAGAGCCAATTATTGAGCCCAGGGACGCGTAGCTTGCGAAAGCCCACCAGTTTCGATTGTTGCTCGACAATGATCCGTATCGCTCTGTACCTTTCGACTTTGCAGCGTCATACCTCTCCGAGGCTCGTTCTTTCGTGTGGTTGCATCTCTCCTCGCCAGCGGCAGAGCCTTTCAAAGCCATTTTTATTATTGCCCCCGTAAAAAGACGTCGATGATACGTACGCATAAATATTAACGGAGTTGTTTGCGAAAAATATTATACTTTACGCGAGGCTCTCTCGCCTCTTCTTTATCAAGCGTGGCATTGAGGCGCGGATTAATTGACTCGTTAAAGAGAAAAGCAGCGGCGTAAAGGAGGAAAGGTTCTCTGGCAAATCGGCACCCAAGATCGACTCTTGCTCGTGGAATAATATGCCGTAAGCGTCGGGATCGAATTGCCGAGGCGCGAGGAGAAAGGCAGCGCGAGCGAGGCGAGCGCAGCGGCGAGCAGGAGCTAAGCGTTGCTGTGTGTGTGCAGTTTCCGCTGCGTCAACATTAATAAAGATCCGCGTGCGCGCTCTTAATGACAGCGCGTCGGCGGCGAGAGAGTGAGAGACTCTTAAAGCGAGAGGTCAAAGTTCCTTTTTTTCCCAGCACAGCCCCGCTGGAGCGGCGTTTTACGGAGCTTCTCTCGCGCGACACGCGGCTATAGGATCAAGCCTACGACACAAAAACCGTATCCTTGGCGTCTTCCTCGCTCTCTCTCTCTCTCTCTCTCTCTTTCTCTCGGGCAGACGGCGCGTAGCGTTTTGGCCATAGAAAGAGAGAGAGAGAGAGAGAGAGAGAGAGAGAGAGAGAGACAGGGAGAGCTTGCAAGCTCACAAGCTTGCGCAGGCGCAAGGGCGCGATCGATCTGCTGGCTGGCGGCGCTAGCTCGCCTGGCTGCTGCCATTTGACGCCGGAAAAATGTGCAGCCGCGGAAAGTATGACCGCGCCCCAAGAGCTTAGCGCTCCATGCAGCGGAGATGCTCTCGCGCTCGCGGATCGATTATGGAAGCCAGACGCGCGCTGCACCGAGCGCCGACCAAGGCCTCGTCGCTCCGCGCCCAATTACCGCTGCCTCCTTTCCCCCTTTTTTTTCGGCGCGCGGTCGGACGAAAGGGCGCCGCGGATTCCGGCGAGCCCGACGGCAGAGAGCGACGCTTTTCGCGAATTCCAGCGAATGCCTTGCAGCCGAGGCGCGCGGGGCGCGCGGGGCGCGCAGCAGCCGGCTACGTTTGCCGACGACGCGCTGTCTGCGAACGGAGAGACCCGATTGGCGGACGGTTGGCTGATTTCGCGCCGGCGGAGAGGCCGTTTGTCGCGCGAGAAGAACGAGGAGGTGTTCCGCGGTATAATCAACAAGTGATCAACAAGCATCGATGGACTGCCGCGACTCGCTGCAATCCCGGCGCGAGGCGCGCCACGGATTTTCGCGATTATCGCTGATTTGTGCGCGCAGCGGCAGCTGTCGGAATCGATACGTTTGCCGCTGCCGCGCGCATACCTGTAGCGGGCCAATTTGCGTGCATCTGCGCGCCAACTGCAGCCGGCAGCTCGCCGCTCGTGAATCATTTGGGCGTCGCGCGAAAGGAAGATATCGCGCCGCTCGCGGACGTCGACTAGCTCGCTGTGGCACTGCGCGGCCGATGGGCCAGCCGAGAGACGCTCGGGATTCGCGGGAATGCACGTGGCGCCTTGAGGAGCAAGCCGCGCGCTCGCGTTCTCGTCATCAAACTCCATTTTTCGAGCGCGTCGCTTCTGTGAAAGTACCGCGTGTGTTGACACACGCGCGAACCTTCGCACAGTAGCATCCTCGCTCTCGCCTGCTCTTCCAAGCTCCGCCGAGCGACAGATTGCTTTCGCCTAATTGAGTCTCTCGTACATGCACGCGCCGTTTCTTTTTCGACAAATTATACGTACAAATTATACGTGCAAGGCTGTCCGGCCGATCGTTTCTTTGCGCAATACGTCGCAACCACGTTTTTGCAAATAAGAAACGGGTGCGCGAGGCGAAGGCGCTCGACAATTAGCCGTCGCATCAATTAATTGTCCTCTTTTTCCCGGTGTTGTTTGCCCGAACAATAGGCAGCCGCACGCGCCGCATAATAAAACAGACCCTCGAGTGGCGCGTCGCGAAGAGCGAGCCCCGTTCGAGTCACAAGCGCGAGCGAGCGCGTGTGCGCGTGTGGGGCGAGCTCGCTGCAGATATTGCGTTAGTTGCCGGCGTATAAAAGCGAGCGCTCGGACTCGCCGACGAGCCACACGAAACGCATCAAAGATGAAGGTGAGTACTCTGCCGCTCGCTCCTCGCGTCTACACCCTTCTTCTTCGCTCTTCTTCCTTCTCTTTTTATTTCCATCTCTGTTGCAGCTTCTCCTGCTGTTGCTACTGCTGTTCGCCTGCGGCTGCGCTCACGGTGCGTATTTATCTCTCTCTCTCTCTCTCTCCCTCTCTTGAAAAAGAAAACGCTTTCAGCGGGAACGTCGAGGCCCATTAGTAGCTTCTCTCTTTCCGCGCGCCGGCGAAAATAACTTTGATGTGTACGAAAAATGCGTCAAGCTTTATTTCAGATAAATGCAACCATTTTATTGTTGTTTTTTTTGTCTTTATTAAATTTAACACAAAGTAAAATGAACTGTCATGGAGCACAAATCTCAGGAGCTGGGTGAAATTAATTCCGACGAAAAGCCTAGAAACTCGTCGCGTTCGGGAAAGAAAAAAGGAAGATAAGAAGCGAGCTCTTCAAATTAATTAACATCCTTCACTCTTGGTGCTCCGGAGGAATGATAGGATAACGGAGCGCGAAGCCAAGACGACTGTCGAGCGTCCGTCTGACCAGAGCAGCCTCGCGTCAAAGGCTAAAGACGTGCTCTTCTTTTTCCTACGTCGAAAAAAGCAGTCGTTCGAAGCGAGCTATAATCGCCAGTCCGTTTTCGCGACAGATTTTACTTGTTCTCTACGCACTGGTGAGCGAGCTTGTTAACTTCGCAGGCGGCTTGTGGAAATCGGGGGGTAGCACTGGTGGATACGGCGGTGGATATGGCGGTGGATACGGCGGAGGACATAAAGTCATCAAGGTGATAAGCATCGGAGGTGGCGGTGGCGGCTGGAAATCCGGAGGCGGCGGTGGATGGAAGTCGGGGGGCGGCGGATGGAACGTCGGAGGCGGTGGCTGGAAATCCGGTGGAGGCGGCTGGAGCTCCGGCGGTGCGTGGCCGAGTGGCGGCAGCGTCGGATGGTCGGGCGGATCGTCGGCTTGGCCGAGCAGCAGTGGCGGCTGGTCGAGTGGCGGATCGTCGGCGATCGTTTGGCCAAGCAGCAATGGCGGATGGTCGAGTGGCGGTGCTAATGTTTGGCCGTCGAGCTCGCCTGCTGCATGGAAACCCAGCGTCGGCAGATCCAAGTGGCAAGGAGCTTGGTCTGGATGGCCGAGCAGCAACGCTGGCTGGTCCACTGGATCTTCGGGTGCGTAGTTTCTTTGTTGGCGCATTATCGACCATCTCTCGCTCGAGCTCTGTTCACCCTCTCGCAGTTCCTAACGAACGCCATCAGATTTATGTTGGGGTGCGCTGAATCGATGCAATCAGCGAGAGCAAAGACCGTTTGAGCTCGCGAGCGCGCTCTCCTTTTCAATCGTTCTCTATCGTAAGCGTTGCGTTCAGATGAAATATGTTTTCGCGAACTATGAGTTTTTTTATCTTCTATGTAACTTACGCAACGCCTCCATCATCCTCTCGCACGATTTAGCTGTATGTGGCGGTAAACGTTTGCGCGCACGAGCGCAATTAAACCCATTCGCGGAGTCAATTATCTCGTGAGCACACTGCCATGGTGGGCACTCGTACAAGCAACTCTTGAGAAAGTAATAATTGTTTAGTAGTTTATAGTGATAGATTGCAGAAAAATTGGCGAGAACAATAGACAGGATTTCGTTCTATAATTCGATCGGCATTGACGTCGCGTACGGCATCCGACTTTTTCACACGAGACATAGTTAAGTGTTTCAATCAGTTATCAGAGGAAAACGACGAGGTAACAGATCGCGCCAAGTTTTTTCTCTTTCTCTCTCTCTCTCTCTCTCTCTTTCTCTCAATCTTTTCACTTGAAATTTACACAACGCTGAACTTTGTTAGAAACAGAGTTTCCCCATTCTCCCATTCTAATTGATTAGAACACGAAGCTGGAAATTCAAGCTCCCATTGGACGCTTGAAGAGATTGGAAATTGAATTTCGTGCAAGTTTCGCGATAAAGAGGAATTCTGCCCTCGCCCATCCTGTCGTCGTCGTCGACGCAAACTCCTATAATTGACATTCAATTTATCAATCTACTGTACACACGTATACACACGAGGCCAAGTTTTTACGTAAATAAATTCGCGATCGTCGAAAACGAGATTACACGCATGAATTTCCATGCAACTAGTGTCAGTGCAGCCGAGGACAGCAACTTTGAAAAAACTTTCTCGTAAAACAAGCCCCGCGTAGTCGAGTCTTTGCCTACAAGCAGCTACAACGTTTTTTTCTTTCCTTGAAATTTCGAACAGAGTCGAGTGAGAATTAGGTATACACGTGGAATAAGCTCGCTCGAGAAAGGGATTGATTTTCAGTTTCGGAAAAGAGGCCGCGGCGGATAAAAAAATTCTTAACGGAGTTAATTTGTCACGAGAAGTTGGCAAGGGTTTGCGCTCGGCGCGAGCGAAAGTAAAAAAAAAGGTTTAAACGAGGTGTGTTTCTTTATTCTTTCATTGCAGGTTGGTGGGACTAAGGAGGCAAGCGGAAGTAAGTAGAAGAAGAAGAAGAGGAGAGCCGTAGCAGTGCAGCCGCGGGGCGAGTTTCCACGCCGTAAAACTCTGTATAAAAATTTCACTTGCTTGAATAAAGAGAGGAAAAGCACACTGCTGCAGTCGTCGTCGTCGTCGTCGTCGTCGTCGTCGTCGTCGTCGGGCGAAAAACAAGGCGGAGAAAGAAAGAGAAAGAGATAGAGAGAGAGAGAGAGAGAGCGCGGAGTTTCTATGGAGGCAGAATGTCAATAGTCGTGTCGTGTTTCCCTGCCGCGCGTCCCCGCGGTGCGCGCTCGCGAAAGGAAAAAAAAACTTGCACTTGCGAGTTTGCACCGCGCCTCGGCCTGCGCGGGATAGCCCTGAAAAACAAACTTTTCGCTTCTAATTGTCTGCCAATTTTTCCTTTCCGCGCGGCTGATTCCGCGGAGAGAACAGGTAGCGCCGCTTTCAATTAGGCTAATTTTTCGATTCGCGCACTTGGCACTCATTAGGACGGAGGGAAAGAGAGTGCCTTTTTTCCGTCGAACTCTACCTCCGTAGATGCGGAACGCTCCGGCAGTACGCGAGCGCACGATGACGCCGATTACCAAGAGAGCAGATTGACCGGCGATACGTCCGGCGTTAACGAGCGAGCAATCGAATTAGCGCGGATTGCTTCCGACCTCTTCCCTCCCTCGTTCTCTTGCATGTATATGTACGCGGTGCTCTAGCCCATCCTACACAACCCCTTTTTGTGTCACTCGGCCGCTTCCATAAATCAACCTTCCCCCATGCTCCTCTCTCACTCTCTCTCTCTCTCTCTCTCTCTCTCTCTCTCTCTCTTTCTCTTTGCATCGCGATTATATTTCGCTATATATATATATGTGTGTGTATGTGTGCGCGCGCGCGCGTGTGTGTGTGTATATATATATATATATATATATACATGCCGACACAAACGATGAGCTGGAGTACGCACGCCCTGGAATTTTAAATAGCCAGCAGTGAAATAGGGAAGGGCGCATGTTCTGGATTCCGATTCGATGTATCTATATGCCCTATAAGCGATATACGCGTGTACACCCGCGCGAGCTTTGTGGAATTTTGTGGCGTTCTCCGATTAAGACGAGACGCAGCCGCACTGATTATCGGTTTAGTTTGTCATTTTCGTATTGTTGTCACGTGCGTACGAAAGCTCGGTTTCGTTTTTGTTCGTTTTGCAGAGTGTGCCCGCAAAAAGAAAAAGAAGAGCAAGCCATCACCTGTTTCACACAGCTGTCCACATTTTTGTACATTCTCTCGTCGTCGATATAAAATAAACAGGTGTTTCTTGACGAAAAATGCGCCTTGTTTGCTTTGCAGCCTTGCCGACGCGACAGCTGCGTCCCAGCGTCAAATCCCTGGCCATGCATACCTGCATATTTGAGCGACGCATCCTTTCAACGAGGAGAATGACTCGCACCGAGAGTTAAAAGAATCCTCCTCGAGCGCTCCTTTCCGTCGAACCGGACACAACCAGCCGCGAGCTACGGCGAGGAGACGCCTGGTCTCCGCGAAAAATTGCGCGCGTGATAAGGCATCAAAAAAAAAAAAAAATGTGCGTGTTGAAAGAGAAATCGTCAGTGGCACTACTGGCGCTGCCGCGACGGAGACGACGATCAATGTTTCCGTGCCGCGAGAGCGAGTTGCACACGCCCTTTGTTTCTTTTCTCTCTTTTCACACAGCACTTTTTCTTGGAGGGTCGAGCTGCGAGCTGCGCGAGAGAGAGAGAGAGAGAGAGAGAGAGAGAGAGAGAGCGCGAAAAGAAAGGCAGATTGGAATTGCGGATTAGAGCGTCTGCGCGCTGCAGCTCGCTCATTCACAGTCGCGCGCGCCAGGCAAGATGAATTTTTCGCTCTCGCGTATATACGTGTTCAAGAGGGCCACTGCACTTTTAATTACGTCGCCCATTGTTTCTTTCGTTCGCTCTGTCATGGATTTCTTTTCTTCTCTTCGAGTGTGTGTGTGTGTGTGTGTGTGTGCACGCGGGCACGTGTTCTATTACGATTTATGGTGTATATGTACATATCGCACGCGCTCTAGTAATCGGCCGTTATTCTTCATTCGAGCGAGAAAGAGCGAACTGAGCTACAGAAGCGCGATAGAGTTATGAGGACAAGTTCAATGTTGCTTCGAGGATTACAACGCTTTTCTTCCCATTTGTCCTCGCGAACGAGGCTTCTGTTTCTTCCAGACAAAAGCTCATCCGTTTTTCCTTTTATCGTAATTGGAGATTTCGTGGGAAAAAGCTCGCACCCAGCCACCCCCTGGCCTCTCAGCCAGCCCGAAAAAGATTTCTTTTTGTTAATTCATAGCATCCAATTTTCAATAAAGTAGCCGCAAGCTTTCTGTTATTTTTTTCCAGTTACTTCCGCACTTGGAGCAAGTCCAAAAAAGAAACTAGCTGCGCTCCGCTATACACTACGCTACCGCTGCTGCTGTGTGGTGGCCGGGAGCGCGTTTCTGTGTCTCGATCATTAAAAGCCGCCCGTAGAACCATCCGCGAGAGACTTATCCACTCTCTGATTTACAACGTAAAACTAGAAGCCATTGTACTCTCTATCTCGCCTGACTCATCGTGTTTCCTACCTCGTAAATCATATTTTCCTACCATTATTGCTGTCGAACAAACCTCGATACGTCTAATTTCAACGTTCTTTTTTCGTCGGTCGTACATCGTCGATAGAACCGACCGGTAGAAGCAAAAGTACCAAGCGCAGTGAGCTGTGAAAAATCCTCGACTGCATGCATGCGCGTTTCGCGTCCCATCGGATTCTTTTTTCTTTTTTTCTTTTTTATTTCACAGACAGACTCAATAAAACATCGCTCCGCAGAGGGTTATTCTGACATTTGGTCGCTTAACGGATATCCGCATGTGGATTAATTAGAGGTCTGCCGCTTTTTCCATAGATGGGCGTGACGTAGCGTTTGTTTCGTGGGCAGTAATAAGAAGACCCCGAGAGATATTTTGCAGGGCGCAGGTGTTGCACCCATAACAAGCGTTTTATTTATTCGTTTACGGCGGTCGTTGGGCGCTTTTCTTTCTCTTTTCGAAACGTACGCACGGCAGAGACGGAAAAACGCTCGTACGTTCGTTCTCGCGCAGCAATTGCAATTTTTGCAGGGCGAACGCGCTCTTTCGACAAAGCAACGGAAGAATGCAACCGGAAGAAACAAACGAATAGACGGGCTCGCGCCGTAGATAAGCCGCGCGCTCAGCCCCCCGGAAACTACTTAGAGCAACGTCTGGGCTGGTATATCGGCGAAGGCGGGCGGACAAGCGAAGAAGCAGGAGTGGCGGCGAACAATTTGCCGAATTGCCGAGCAGAAGCTAATGGCTTTGTCGAAGGCTCGAGCGCACGCGTGTAATCGTTTGCTCTCGACACACAGGCGAGCGCTGCTGGCCCGCGGGTCGCCTGAATGATTAAAGAATCGCAAATTGATTGGCCATTGTGCGTACGGCCAGCGCTGCTCCCGAGCGCGCGGCCTGGGCTCCCATTAGGAGCTGGAAGCACTCGGGGGCCGGGCGGCTCTCCGCGGCCGTTTACCCGACAAACGATCGCGCACTCGAGCAGCCTCGCCAATTGTTCCCCGATCTCTCGAGCGCGCGCGCGCACCGCACGCGAGGCAGCTCGCCGCTTCCTTCGCCTCGCTCCTCTCCGCGGCGCCGCGTGCAACGCGCGCGCGAGAAAGGCGGTGGCAGCGCGTCATCGGCGGAAATCTGCGAGCGCGCTTCCGTTTCTCGCTCGCTCTCTCTCTCTCTCTCTCTCTCTCTCTCTCTCTCTCTCTCTCCGGCTGGTGCTGGCCCCGGCCGGGTAGCGCAACCCTTGCAGCGCGCGCGAAAGGGGGGAGTCGCGCGCTTGAAAAGGTGGCGGCGGAGGGCGCCTGCGCGCCGGAGCCTCGCGAGGTTCTTGCTCTCGGGCCGTCGTCAGTAGTCGCGGTGCCGAGCGCGGCGCGTACCGACGCTTCTTTCCAGCGCGCTCTTCCGCACCCGCTTGGTCCTTTTGCTCGTCGCCCAGCGACGCGCGAGGCGCAGCGCACGCCGTGCACCGGTCCGCCCTGCGCCCCAGTCCGCGGGTCCGAGCGCTTCGGTGCATGAGCCGGCGAGGATGCCACTGACCGGCGGTCGCCCGCTCGCTCTCACCGCTGCCTCCGCTTTCATTCAAGGTAACGTGCCCACGCACCGTGCGAAAGGTTCCTCGCCAGAGGCGGCGCGCGCGACTCCACGGCCGAGTGAAAACGTGCCGAGGCGCGCGTATGTCGTGAATGGGCTGCCTCGCTTCGCCCCTCCCGCCCGCTCGCTACGTGCTTCGATCGCGGAAGCTCCTTTCTCCGCGCGGCGCGGGGCCCCATCCTCGCGTCACGATCGATGCAGCCTGCTCGGCCCGAAAGAAGAGGACGCGATCGCAGCTCGGCGATTGTCACGCGCACACAGACACACTCACACTCACACACACGTACAAACACACTGACACAAGCGCACACCCTGTATAACCAACAAGTTGCAAGCAGCGAGCTTGGTATTTGCTCGGCTAATCTTTTTATCCGCTCGGCAGGCAATATCCTCCGGCGGGATGTTTGCTTGCGCGCCTTCGCTGTCCCAGAGGCGATAGCGAGAGAGAGAGAGAGAGAGAGAGAGAGAGAGAGAGAGGTAAGGATCGATAGTTTATCGGCGCGCAAGCGAGGCAACCCTCTCTCCCGCGATTTTTCCGATTCCTCGCGTGCCATTCCACCGACGACGACAATCCTCCGCTATTTCTGCCTCGCCGCAGCTATTCCGCAGCGCGCTAATTCGCGGAGAACAACGCGCCATGGATTTTTATGGACGCGCCGGAGAGAAGTTGCTTTTTTTTCATTTTTCGAAATACAACTCTGACTCTCTCATTAAGCGTTGCACAATGTCGTCGAGGGAGGGAAAATAATGAAAGAGAGAGAGGGGGGGGGAGAGGGTGCCTGAGGGACTGACTCTGTGTGTACAGAGCGATTGCTGTGTGCGAGCGGGAGATGAAAGGACGCTTAAAAAGCGCAAGCAGTTCCTTTTTTTTGTCGTCGCTCGTCGAGCGATGGAGGGTTGGTGCACGCCAGAGGAAACTAATTGACGCCGCGTCAGCGGGAATAGATAAGACGCTGCTGCTGGCGACGTCGCCGGTAGAGAGAGAGAGAGAGAGAGAGAGAGAGAGAGAGAGAGAGAGAGAGAGAGAGAGAGAGAGAGAGAGAGAGAGAGAGAGAGAGAGAGAGAGAGAGAGAGATGCATCGAATAATCAATACAGCTGCGGAGAGAGCGAGCATCGAGTCGAGACTTTTTCAGCCGTGCGACACGTCACAGCTGCGCCGAGGAATTATCGTAATCAGCCGCTATATCATTCGCGGGGATCGATCAAGCTCGCGCCTGTGTGCACGACAGGAAAAAATTGGCTCGATCAATCGTCCGTCCGGTCGCGGCGCGACGTATTTATATCCCGCGCCGAGGATTATCAAGGATCGATGCCTTTTTCGGGGACGACACTGAGCTTGTATGCGACTCGACTTTGCCTCGAGGCGGCGGCGACGACGACGCGACGGCAAACTTTGCTTTCCCACGACTTGTTGCCGAGCGCGGCGACGTCTCTTTCTCGGCGAATTGCCCATAAGCTCTCTCGCGCATTACTTCGTTAGGACTTGTTGCGTCTTTTTCTCGTCGCGTAATGACGAACGACACTGGATCTGCGGGCCACGTATACGTGCACACAAATTTCCAGCGAGATGTCCTATCTCCTAACTTGTTGCTTGTGCGCGAGCATTGACTTTCAACTCAATCGCGTTATACCTCCATTTTCGGCGAGAGTGCTAAGAAAGTTTGGCGAGAGCTCGGCGACAATGCGGTAATTGGATTTGGCTTTTAGTTGGCGCAGACGTCGAGTCGACTCCCACGGCGATATTAGGGTTAGCAGGGCCGTCTGGGGACAACGCGTTCTTAGGCCTGTATCGTCATTCTTACCAATTTGTCGCTCGTTAACGAGAAACTTTGTGATTTACGCGCGACTGTGCGAGCTACGATGTGCTCGTCGAAAAGTCGTGGGCTTCGCCAGCGTCACGCCTCGCACATGGGGAAAAGGCGTTTCAGGTCAGCGCGTCCACACACGCACACACGTCGGGTGAATTTTTTTCCCTCGTCGTCGCGGGAGTGCATGTAATTTGTAATGACAGCCCACTTGACATCCGCGTTAATATCTCTTCTGCTGCCTGGTGAAAAAGAACGTTTTTAATGTTTCTCGCGCACTCGCCCTTACAATTTATCTCCTTCTAGTGTAAAGTTGGAGAGGATAATTTTGCACTTCGCGCAGTCAATTGAGAAAAAAGGAAGGCACTTTTTCGCTCGCTCGGGAAACTTGGATAATTAGCGTGGGCTGCCGTGGAAACTAATTGCAATACTTCAACTTTGGGCCAAATTGATTAGTCAAGTTCTGAGCGTTGCAGCAGCAGCAGCAGCAGCAGCAGACTGACGCCGAGCAAAAAAATGGTTGTTGCAGGCTTGCTCGTGGTGCTGGTGGCGCGGTCGGGGCTGTGCCACGGCTTCGACGCCCACCTCCGTGGGCCAAGCTTCCTCATCGAGCCACCGTCGAGGGTCGAGTTTTCCAACTCGTCGGGTGCTTGGCTTGATTGCGCGGCTACCGGCAGTCCACCGCCGAACATCGATTGGTCAACGGCCGATGGATTGCCCGCCGGCGATGTACCTGGTGTTCGAAGATTGCTCAAAAACGGCACGCTCGTCTTGCTACCGTTTCCCGCGGCCGCTTACAGGCAGGATGTTCATAGTGCCACCTATAGGTGCGTCGCTAGCAACAGCGTCGGCCGTGTTCTCAGCCGTGACGTTCAAGTTCGAGCTGGTGAGTATGTGCGAGTCAAGTGGAGCGAGTGCGAGTTTGGTCGGACCCGTCTCTACTGCCATTTGTCTTTTTATTACTCGCGCTGCTGTTGTTGACAATAGGATATATTTTTATTTCATTTTTTTCTTTTTTAAGTGTCGACGTTGCCAGGTTTTATTTGCAAGTCAATTTGTCGACAGAAACAAATACAGAGCGAGCAATTGTTTCATACTTTTATTTTTTTTAGTTGACTAAGTGTTATGGTGTAGATCGTGATTCCGTCAGGATGAATGCGAGAGTACTCCAAACGTTTTTTCACTTGCGAAGTCTCGCCGGCATTTGTTAGAAATTCTATTAGAAAGTTCTCGAGTGCATAGCTTTTTTTCGGAAACATAAAATATCACGTTACGTAACACATTGGTGTATCGTTCGTCAATTTTTAATACGGAAATCCCCGGAATATTCTAGCCTTACATCTTTGATGAAAAAGAATGAAAACATTGATTGAAAAGAAACTTTTGAAATCAATCACGAAGTACACAACCGATCGTTCATTTTTGCGAGCTTCAGCTCTGTTAATTATACTTTGAGAAATAGAAAGCAGACATCATCAATTCGCCGTTGACATGTGGAGTAATCGAAATACAATAATTACATAGGAATAAAATATGTGTTTTTTCGAAATTGTTTAACAAGTTTTTTACCAGTCGAAATATCTATTTCTCACTCCGTCTGCCGTTTCTCTCTCTCTCTCTCTCTCTCGTCTATTTTTTATCGGATATTGGATTTTAATCGGGCACTCTTCTCCCTCGAGAGAGGGAGAGGCTGTACATTCAGAAACTTTTTCATCCAATATTTTTATTCGCAAGGTCGCGTGCGCATATAATATATACATATTCTGCGTGGCCAAAAGAACTTTTGAACGACGATGAAAAAAACAAGTATTCTTTCTTTTTTAAGCGAGAACTTAAGATGAGAATTCATAAGCGGAAAGAGCAACTTACAGTCAGAGGAAAAGTCAATTCAAAAACTTTGCTATAAATATGCAAAGGTTCGAAAACGAACTCTCGTGACCGCATACTTTTTGATTCCTATTCAAAGCCTTCTCCATTGTAATTTAACAATCCTTACCCACTTTTATGATGAAAACAGTGTTATTACTTTCGCGGCTGAGAGAGCTAGAGAGAGAGAGAGGGAACTCTTCAACTTTCATATTCCGCGAAGCATATTATCAGAGTAATTACTGAAACTTCATCAGAATGTTAAAGCTCTGCACTCGTAAGCACACAACTTTTTTAACGAAGGTATTTCCACGCTGACGATTCTCAGCAATTCGTTATTCTAATGCCGCAGATGACAAGGAAGAGGAAGAGGAGAGTTTGAGTTTGATTTTGTTTCAACATTATATTGTAACACTTATCGTGGTTACATCGTGCATTTTACATCGGCTTACACTCTAGAAAATAATTAGCGCGTTATACTGCATGCAGTTCACTCACGTGATTAAATTTTTATTGAAACGCGAGTTGACTCAGGAAGCACTGTACCGAGTTGATTATAGAGAGAATATCAATGCGAAAACGAAAAATGAGATAAACAAGTAGATCTCGAGCTGTGCATATTTGAGCTCGTACCAGCACGAGACGAATGGGATACTTTGCCCGGCGGCGTTCGCGGAGCACAAGAGATTACAAGATTAATCAGTCAACGCGCATCTAAGAAAGGATTAACGCCGAGACAATCCTTTTCCATATCGCCGGGACGAGTTGGTTGTCGACCAACAGCAAACTGTTCTACGTAAATGCAAGTGTGAGTCTGTGTGTATGTGTGTGTATGTGCAGTGGTGGCCCAGGCGTACAAGGTGGAGGTGGAGGTGATAGGAGGCGCGTCGCGCGGGTGCACGGCGATCCTGCGCTGCGTGGTGCCGAGTTTCGTGCGGGACCTCGTCAGAGTGGTATCGTGGCTGCAGGAGCCCGCGTTCTACATCTATCCTTCGCTCCAGGGTGGTAAGTGCCGTGCCGAGGCAAGGCCTCTCGCAGGTCTTCGATGGGGCCGCCTGTAGATCTGACCGCCTCTCGCCCTGACACAGACGGCAAGTTTCACCTGCTGCCTACGGGCGAGCTACTCGTGCACGGCCTCGAATTCGCGGACCAAGTGCCCGGCTACAGGTGTCGCACGATGCACCGACTGACCAGGCAGGTGGTCGTCAGTTCCATGGCCAACGTGCGCATCGCCGATCACCGCGGCGTCATGCCGCCAGTCGTCCTCGACCACTCGGAGAACGTGCACGTCGCCCAGGACGAGTCCAGCTCGCTGGTGTGCGTCGCCCAGGCCTGCCCCGCGCCCGAGTACAGGTACCTCTATCGGCGACCTCGTCGAGCCGAGTTGTTTTGCGGAGCAGTTGTGCCGCCGCGGCCGAGTTTTCGAATTTTCCAAGCCGCCCGCTCGCGCTCGCCGGATTACACGCTTCGCTCGACTCTGCCCGCTCGATTTCGACCACCGGCAAAACTTCGATTGCCTTTTTCACGAGCGATTGAGTCGCGCGCAACCAACTCGGCGAAACAGCGAGCTGGCAAAGTGTGCGCCTGCCAACGGCAATTAGTGCATCTGGAAATTCCGCGGTTGGCCGACGTCGCGGAAGGTGGCTTCGCGAGTCACGCCTCGGGCGCGAGCGATAATGCCAAGCCGCGCGGCCGAGAAAAGTCGAAATCCGCGGCGAGCTCCTCTTTTCGGGCCGCCGGCTCGGTCCGAGGGCGACGAAGCGAACTGACGTGCGCACGCGTGCACCCACGCAGGTGGTTCGCTCAAACGGGCGCGGAGCCGATGCTGGTCCTGCCTGGGCCGCGCACGCGACTGCTAGGCCCGGTACTGGCGATCGAGGCGGTCACGCTGGAGGACAGCGGCACCTATCGCTGCACAGCGTCCAACCCCGGCGGCGAGGCCAGCGCCGAAGTGAGGTGAGTCGACGCGGAGCTCGAGTGCCAGGCGGAACAAAGCCACTTTTTGTTGCGGCGGTGCCGCGGCGCAGATTGGTGGTAACGGCGCCCCTGCACGTGGAGGTGAGCCCGGCGCTGCTGAGCGTCCACCTGGGCGGCAGCGCGGAGTTCCGCTGCGAGATCGGCTCGCATCCGCAGGCCGGGCCGCACTTCGTCACGTGGTACAAAGACGGCCGACAGCTGCCGGGCACAGGGCGCCAGTCGGAGCTGCTGCGCATCAGCAGCATCGGCCGCGAGGACCGCGGCATGTACCAGTGCATCGTGCGCCGCGCCGAAGGAGACACGGCGCAGGCATCGGCCGAGCTGCAGCTCGGCGGTACGTTCCCTCCTCGCTGGGCCGCGCGAGCCGCAGCCAGACGATCAATAGGCGCGCGCGCGCTTTTTCTTTGCAGACGCGCCGCCAGTGTTGCTGTACTCGTTCATCGAGCAGACTCTGCAGCCCGGCCCGGCGGTCTCGCTCAAGTGCTCGGCCGCAGGCAATCCCACCCCGCAGATCACTTGGGCGCTCGACGGCTTCCCCTTGCCCGGCAACCAGAGGTAGCGTACACGGCTGGAAGCGCCCGAGCTGGCAAGCGGAAAATTGAATTTTTTGTCCAGGTTCGTGATAGGACAGTACGTGACGGTCCACGGCGACGTCATATCCCACGTGAACATCAGCACGGTGGTGGTGGAGGACGGTGGCGAGTACTCCTGCACGGCGGAGAATCGCGCCGGCAAGGTGACCCACGCGGCAAGGCTCAACGTCTACGGTAAGAACGCCCGTGCCGTCTCCGCTTCCTCCGCTTCCTCCGCTCTCCTTGTGCTTTATTCGTGCGCCCTTTATCTGGAGCGAGCGGAGCCTCTCCCCAACGGCCTAATGAGCCGCGGCCCCTCGCCGACCAGTGCGCTTTAGTATCTCCTCTCTCGGCGTTTTCTTCGAGGCTTCATTGATTGACGTCGTCGCTTCGCCGTTTTGCCGCGCGGCTGCCGAGCACGATCTTCCGAAGGGACTCTCGCCAGCCATGCTTTTCGCGTCGAGCCTTTTTCCTTCTTGCTCCGAAGGCATTAAGACATTTTCCATTCACGGCCGACAGGCGTCGAAAGACTAGGATGGCGAGAGGAGAATGCATATTATGTGGCTGTGAATGATGGTCGAGCGCGCGCAGCGCTCTTCCCATTCATTAGTTTCGCGAATAAAGTTTTGAATTTCCCTCTGGTGGTCGCGTGCAAACTGGAGCAGTGGATTATATCGCGTCCATTAGTAGGCGCGACGACTGACGTCTCGAAACTTTTGCTGTTCAATTTAGCGCCAAGCGGGACATTTTGGACGTCAATTCAGAGACGACTTTTGTTTCGGACGCGCGCGAGAGATAACGTCGCGCGATTATTATTGCGAGAGAGAAAAGTAATTCTGCGAAAAATACGATCTTTCTCGCTCGGGTGCGTGCAGACAAATATGTAAACAAGATTTGAGGAAAAGAAGCAGGCGTCGCCTTCGTGTCCTTGAGGGGGAAAAACTCGCTTAAAATGCGGGATGCCCACAGGATATAGGATTTTCGACGAGTTTCTCACGGAAAGAGAAAACTCACAGTCAACAACTTTTTTTATTTCCGCGCACAAAGCCACACGTAGAGCGGATGGGACGAAGAAAAGCAGAAGGAGAGCTCGCTCGCAACGGACATTCGCTTCGCGAACTTGCACTAACACACACGCACAAACACTGGATTATCGCGGCGAATTCTCGTGCACTACGCGTGGACCAATTCCAGCGGGAGATTTTCCGTAAGTGCTAATGAAATGAATAAACCATTAGCCTTGGTCCGTGCCAGTAGAACAACCACGAATATGGTCAGACGCTCGAGCTACTATTTTTTCCCTTTTATCTGCTTCGTGCTCGACGGCAATCCTGTTGGGTATACGAAATTAGCATAGTAGCAATCATGAGCGCGAAGCTTACGAGTGGCAATTTGCTCGGTCGACTGATAAAAGTAAAAGAGGAGGAACGCGGAAGGAGGGGGAGGGGCGGGGAGGAGGCACTGTCCCCGGACAAATGCACCATACAAGTATAGCAATAGAGGTGGCGCGCGAGCGATAAGACACGTCAACGCGCACAGCTATATCATCTACATCTGCGCGGAGGCATTCCGATTTCCTGACTGCAAATCGAAAACAGAATATCGCCGTGCTCCGTCGACTACGTTAGCAGCGGCAGAAAAGCCCTCCAGCAGAGATATAATATCAGCGCCATTCAATCTATTCCACGCGGGCTTCCCATCCTCCGACTTCCGGCTTTCTTTCCAATGGGCGCGGCGCACCCGAGCGGCGGGCCAGCGTCTCCCGGGCACGTTCATTAGCGCGAGGCGTTTCATTGCAGGACTGCCCTACATTCGGCTGATCCCCAAGGTGACGGCCGTCGCCGGCGAGACGCTGCGGCTCAAGTGTCCTGTGGCGGGCTACCCCATCGAGGAGATACGCTGGGAGCGCGGCGGCCGCGAGCTGCCCGACGACCTGCGCCAGAAGGTCATGCCGGACGGCACGCTCATCATCTCCAGCGTACAGAAGAGCGTGGACAGCGGCACCTACACCTGCTGGGCCAAGAACAAGCAGGGCCACAGCGCGCGACGTAGCGGCGACGTCGCGGTGATCGGTAAGTCGCGCCCTCTCGTCCCGCGCCCTGCCCCCCCACCCCCAGCCCCACCCCCAGGTTCTCCCGTCGACGACCGTCTAGGTGGCGAGGCCGCGGCGAGCCACACGCCCGGCAGCAGGCCCGCACGTAGCCCGCTGTTAGCTCCGATCTCTGCGGCCGCGGATTGCCTGTGCGCGCGCGCTCAACGAATCAATCTGACTTTGCAGTTCCTCCCAAAATTAGCCCGTTCACGGCAGATCACGAGCTCCACCTGGGCGAGCGCACGACGCTGACGTGCTCGGTGTCACGCGGCGATCTACCCTTGACGATCTTCTGGCTGAAAGACGGTCGCACGCTGGGCCCGTCCGAGCGCGTGACCGTGACCTCGGTGGATCAGTTCAACAGCATCCTCATGATCGAGAGCTTATCGCCCGATCACAACGGCAATTACTCGTGCGTCGCTCGTAACTTGGCCGCTGAGGTGTCGCACACGCAGCGCCTCGTGGTTCATGGTAATCCTCCACAATCCTCCTACGGAACAAAATCACTTTTGAATTGTGTGGGGCCCCGCCGAACACCCCCCTCTTCGATATCTATATTCTGCTGGATATATCTCTACGTCTCTTCTCTCTCTATCTCTCTTTTTTATATTATCATCTCTTCTATATATAAATATATATATATTCTATATCTATCTATTTCTCTTTCTCTATATATATATATATACATATCTCTATATCTCTCTTATTGTGTGTGAGCGTGTGGCGGCATCTTGGCGATGAGAGCAAAGTGTATTAGCGAACAGAGAAATGAAAGTGCATGTAACACTTAGCGCATTACGTACGTAGCAGTCTGACCAGGCAGAGCAGCGTCGCCGCGGGCATTCGCCAGCAGACACATTATCAGGTGAGAGCGCGTGCGAGGAGCGCCTGTGTGCGTGGGATGCGTGCGAGCGAAAGCGATGACGAGGGGGGTCGAGGCGGCTTACACTGTGCCCTTTCTGTCTCATTGTTTCTCACTCTCTTTCTGCATACATTGTACTGTGCGCATTTGGCCTGCACGGCGGGGCCGACGGCAAATATCTCTCTTTATTACCCTCTCGCCAGCAACGAATGACCGACAAGCCCGTCGCCTCTCTGCGTTTCAACCTATATATTATCTTCTGCCTATCTATACTGTTGTACATATATTCTCTATATATTATACATATCATCGATATGTGTGTATATACAAATACTTGCAATACTACGTATCTACACACGTGATTGTACTATGCTGCTACTAAAAACTGTCTTTATGATTGCGTTACCTATCGTCACCGATTTATACCTATATATATATATATATATATATATATATATATATATATATATACCTTACGTATTACATATGTATATCTCTATTGAATATTTAATCATGCATAATTGTAAATAACCTTACGGCTTGGCATCGCAACCACCGGCCGAGGAGAAAAACTAGCATTCTCGCTCCAACATCCGGCCGTCGCGCGGTGGAGCAACGCGCTACGGCAACGTATAACTGAGTTTAAACATCCAAAGCCCTCTCCCCTCGCCCGGGGAAGCAGCGTAGGGGAAGAGGGATGTTCACTCGAGCAAGCAAAGTGGATTTTTGTTACTATCCGATTGATCAGAGCTGCAAATTTCACTCGGCAATGACACTCTCTCTCTCTCTCTCTCTCTCTCTCTCTCTCTCTCATGGTGGATAGTCAGTCATGCGCATAAATCTGAATATACGAGTTCTCGCACACGCGTAGAAATACTCTAACCGAGATATCACAGAGAGAGAGAGAGAGAGAGAGAGGAGAGGGAGAGTCCCATGCGGCCACGCGCGCGTATGAATAAATTTACCTCTGAAGTTGCGCGCACGCGGTTAAATATAAGAGGCTTTTGCCGAGGTTCGCGAAAATACCGAGTGGGAGCAAGAGGGTCAAGGGATCGGAATAAAAATCCGCCTTATCAAAGTGCTTTCTTACGAGCCGAATGAAATTCCTGCTCTCTGTCGCGCGCCTCGAGAATTCCATTGTGCGTCACGTAGGCTCTGGCACTTTGCATGCGCGGCGCTACATGCAAAGTGGCGGCAGTGGAAAAGGCAGCCGGATGCCGGCGCAAGGAGCACATGGAGCGCCGGTGGTTGTTGCCAAGGACTATGAGGAAAGCAACGAGAAGATCGCATATATATCCGAAGGGCCGACGCAGCGGATGCGATTGCGTGCGATCCCGCGTTGACTGGTGGATATATACGCGTGGCTCCATTCTATAAGTCTGTCCGACGCGCGACGATCCGTCGAGTCTGGCGCTCTGTCTGTATCTGTCTCTGTTGAAAGCGTTGTTATTCCAGTACCCCCTATTATTGAGCCATTTAACTTCCAAGAGGGACTGAGCGAGGGCATGCGGACGAGGACGGTGTGCGGGGTCGCGGCCGGCGATCCGCCGTTAACGATATCCTGGCTGAAAGACGGCCAAAATCCTTTTCCACTGCCATCCAAGCTCGCCACCGTCGTGCAAGTATCCCAGCTCGACCTCTATTCCAGTCTCCTTAGCATATCCAATCTGGCTGCCGAGCACTCGGGTGACTACACCTGCGTCGCCGCGAACCCCGCCGCCGAGGTCAGGTACACGGCCAAGCTGCAGGTCAAAGGTAATTCCGACACCTACCAACCACCAACGCCACACACATACCCTGCGCCTTTCTGCCGACAATTCTTTGCTTTTCTTGCGTTCGGTCCCCAGCTCTCCCGGTTCCTGCCCACCTCCCACCCCCTCTCGCACTCTCTCTCTTTCTCAGCGCAAGTTCGTGGGCCGAAGGCCGAATGCCTTTTATGCCATTATTATTCACAGAATTCAACCACTCTCTCCCTTTCGCAAAATTAATCCGCTTACAAGCGCCTGCATTCTCTTTGTACGCCCATAGTAGCGGACGAATACCACTGGGACTGAGAGAGCGTTGGAGAGTATATACCTTTAATTTCGTCCTTTTGCAACATTTAATCGTGATACTTGAATAAACAGCTCATTCGCGCCTCGCGCTTCTATACAAAGAAAAACAACATTCTTTTTGTGTTATCATCGTTCAATTTTTATTGACTTTTCAGTTGAGATCGATCCGTTCTTTTCGAACAGTATACCTCCAACAAATCCTAAAAACAAGATTTTTTACCTCTCATTGAAACCTCAAAGTAACGAACCTTGTTTGACATACTTGGAAAAAAGTTAAATCCATCCAAACCTTCAACACACAGTGTGATTATTACACTTTTACGTTGCTTTTGGCTACTTCTATCTCTGGGAATGCGTCGGTATACTCGTGGATCCCCTACGTATCGAAAAGAAAGGTTTTTTGCTTGAACTTTGACAAAAAAAATCATAAAGGTAACGAAGTTGCACCTTCCTTTAATTTGCAGCAGGTCGTCTCTCACCCTCTATCTCTCTCTCTCTCTCTCTCTCTCTCTCTCTCTCTCTCTCTCTCTCTCATCTGTCTTTTGCATGTGCCGACCTATATATTTTTTTTCTCCTTTTTTCTCATCACTCTCTCTCTCTCTCTATTCTCTTCATTCACGCGCGACTGGGTGAAAAATCGATGTTGATTACGAACCGACAAGTAATCCAGTCTTTTAAAGCATGCCTTGTTTTTAGTGATTTTTAAATGTATTATTGAAGTACAAGGCCTCTCACGACAAGTATTTATGTCTCGATATCGTCTATCGCTCACCGACCCCTGGCTGATGCTGCGCTGGACACACGCTGGAAAGACGATATTTAATTTGGTTTTCTTTCGATAGCATGCTTCTTTGTCTGCGTTATTTGACAATTTTTAACAATTTTTCACATTTTACATCTCTCTATTGTTCTATTTGACTGTCTTTTTTCAATAATCACGTCTTTTTTCTCTTTCAATTTGCCTGTCATTTTTTTGCCAACAAAGTTATAAAGCTTCAAATTTTTCTCAACCTCTCTAAGTGTTTTTTTAATAATTCTCGATGTTACAATAATGAAAAATTCGACTCATTTTACGCGTGGTACTGGTGACACACGCACAAGCCTTTCACGTAAGACAAACGCGGAAGCAGTAACAAAGTATTAATAGAAGCTTTCACGTTTGATCGCTAGTACCACCCCTAAAAGTAGCAAATGTGTAATATGTATATAATTGACATTTTTTGATACTTATATTATTCTCTGGGTAGTTGTAGATATAGCATCGCCACATTCTGTCTTGCTATCTTTTTTCAAATATCTAGTTATATATACATGTAGCTTAGGCGAAACATCGTGTAAACAAGTTTCATAAAGCGACTGTATACATCCTACCGCATAAGTTTAGAATCCTTTCGAAAATTGAAATCCTTGCAATTTTCACATACGCGTTTCATCTTGAGTATACACAGAGCCCCTAAACGCTTATATACTTCTCGTCATGCGGTTCAAAATAAAACATGCATATTTACATTTATCTTCCCGCGTACCTTCATATATTTATTTTGTAAATATAAACAGCAACTTGCTACATGTATATACATCTTGGCTTCACTTACTCTTTTTCCTCACTTTATATATATATTATACTACTTTTTATCTGTCTCTTTTCACCGTCTATCTATCTCTACTGTTTTATACACGTTCGAGCTTACTCTGCTCTTTTATCACTTCGCTATATATCGTATGTGCGTGTGTTTGAAACATATATTGTTGAATTTCCAATTCACCAGTATTTCGCTTGTGCAGCGTTTTCTTTTTTATTCACAAAATATACTTTGAAAAAAGAGTACGTAGAACCTGTCAATCTCTCTCTGTACAAAAAAATCCGAAACCCGTCTCTCTTTTGTAGTCTCCCGCTCACCACGCAAGGCATTTAATCAGATGTATTTTTCTGAGCGCTCGCTCCTCTTTTGTTCGTGGACGCGGTGCTATAATGAATGTCAGTTCTTTCCTATCGCGCAGAAACCGAATCATCGAAATGACGCGTTTTCAACCTCGTCATTATTTCCTTTTGTTTGCGCACGCTTTGAATGGGGACGGAAGAAAAAGCTATAAACATTGTGTCTGTGTGCGTGTTTTTTTTTTTTTTACTGCGAGCGACCATGAAACGATACAGCTTCTCTGGGGCGCGATTGATACTCATTAGCGAACGGGTCGACTGATGACAAGCGAATGATTAATACGACTGTAATTGCATCCGATAACTATCGATAACAGCTTCGCGCTACGGAAATCTGATGACACTCTAGCGCAGTGCGGCGCACCATTTGCCGAGACACTCGGCGTATTTACAGCGCGCGCAAGGGAACAATACGCGTTCGCTAATACTATTCCAATTATTAAGGACGCCATTAATTATTTTTGCATAAATATGCGCCAATTGAAAAGCTATTGAAAAGTAGAATCGCAAAGGTTCTGATAATGGCTGACGTTTTTCTTGCTTATCATCGCTTAACGGCACCTGAACAAATGTCTTGTGTGAAATAGAAACTCAATTCCTCGAAAACCTTTTAACCTCTAACTAACCTCAATTTTTTCTAAACTTTTTTAATTTTCTCTCATATCGCTGACATTATAAATACATATAACTATACTCGTTCGTTCTTTTATCACGAAAAAATAATTTCTTCTTAGTCTTTAATCATCAATATTTTTTTTTGCTTTTGGTTTCACTTTTCTTTCAAAACTCAAATATACAAATTACTATTATCTCGTCATTACATCTATATACCAATTTTTTTAACTCTTTTTAATTATGTTACGAACTTTTCTTACCTAAAATTCTTTAAATATATATTTAAAAAAAAAACAACAAAATGTTCACTCGGTGAACGAAAAAGAAAATATGTCATATTTATTAGAATTTTTTACAATCTCCTTTTTTGAAACATATAATTATCTTTGTAATATTATAGATATGATAACTGTTTTTTAACATTTTTAATGTAATTTCTTGTACATATAAAAAAAATTTCTGTTCTTATCTCTCTTACTTCTTTGACTTGTAAATATACAGAAAAGTAAAGAAAAAGAAAAAAAAGAAAAATAAAAAGAAAACCTCGAGCTTTTGTACGTATATATCTCCGTGTTCCTTCTCTATCTCTCTTTCGCTCTATATATACTCTATATATCTCAATAGCTCTACTCTGTATTTGTATTATAAAAGACAATAAAAAAAGAGAATGTAATTACTGTCAAAAAAAAGAGAGAGTACAAGCTCGAATGCACTTTAGTGTAGTAGAGAATCGAGCGAGCGAGCTAGATAGAGCAATCGAGAGCGGAGGTGCAGGGGAGATAAAGCGAGATGGGTTGGTAATTTTAGTGCCGCCGCGTTGGACCGTCGAGCCGAGCGACACGAGCGTCGAGCGTAACCGACACGTCGCTCTGCACTGCCAAGCGCAGGGTGTGCCGACACCCAACATCGTCTGGAAAAAGGTCATCGGTACGGTATATCCTTGCCAGCACCCGTTTTTTTCACTCGCGTTCTTTCGCTTGAACAACATCCACAAGCAAGTAATGTACGACAGGTGACAAGTCGGGCGAGTTCGAGGAACTGCGTGAGAGGCCGTACACCAAGATTCTGAGTAATGGTACGTTGCTGCTGCAGCACGTGAAGGAGGATCGCGAGGGCTTCTACGTGTGCCAGGCCAGCAATGGCATCGGCTCGGGCATCGGCAAAGTCATCCAGCTCAAAGTCAACTGTAAGCCTCCAGGGAAATACCTACTCTCCGTCCTTGCGCGCGTTTCTCTCTCTCTCTCTCTCTCTCTCTCTCTCTCTGTTTCTCTCCTTTCGTCGCTCTATAAAAACGTCCCCCCAACCCATAGCCTCGCCGTTCTTCGCCGCGCCCTCGAGGCTCGTCACCGTCAAGAAAGGAGACACCGCCACCTTGCACTGCGAGGTCCACGGCGACAAGCCCATCAGCGTCAGTTGGTTCAAGGGGGGCAAGGATGAGATGAATCCTTCCACCAACTACAGGTAAACTATTTTTTCCACTGTCTATTCTCTCGTGTACACTCGCGCCTACTTTTCATCTTAAGCTTCTTTTATGCTCATTTGGCATGTAATTACCTTTATCTTCCTGTATTTATCAATTGTTCGTAATCTGTGGATTTTTAATCTTAAGAATAGCGAATCACTGATATTCTTTGACTATCCACGGAAGTCATCGAGTTATAAAAATGCCGAGTTATAAAAGGAAAAAATGCCGATGAATCAAATTTTAAAAGCACCATAAATGAAAATGAAAGCTTCCGGTACGCAAAATAAGTCCGTTGTCGCGGGCGAGTAATGAGTTTATTTCTGCGGCGTATACATAAATACAGAGTGACGGTGAAACAAGAGTCAACACCGGACGGCGTAGTGGCGCAGCTGCAGATCTCCTCGGCCGAGGCATCCGACAGCGGAGCCTACTTCTGCCAAGCGAGCAATCTCTACGGCCGCGATCAGCAACTCGTACAATTGCTCGTGCAAGGTACATAGCCCACACACACACAGGTATTAATGCGAGCGGCGACGACGCAACTTTTATAGGACTTGTTGGACCTCAACTTTTCCTCCTCGAGGAGATACTTACGCTCGCCGAGTTTCCGTCAAAATCGAAAAATATTGGCAAAGTTGGACGCGCTGCCGTTCTGAATACATTGCGCTCTCTCTTTCTCTCTCTCTCTCTCTCTCTCTCTCTCTCTCTCTCTCTCTCTCTTTCTCCCTCTCGGACAAAGTCAATTTCCACGAGGAGCGCACGACTTTATTCCGCTTCGACATCTCTATTTACTGCGAAGTTAACTATCCGGCGTCAAGAAATTCGCACGGAAAAGCCGATTCAACATTAATGTTGTTGCGCGGAGGGCCGCGAGTGCTCGACCTACTTACCGCCGTTGGAAAAGACCGCCCCCCCTTTACCGTGGAAACGCGTCGTCCCATCCTCGCCAATCCTTCCTTTCATTCCGGAAATCTTGGACGAACTGCGATAGCCCGGCGAGCAAAACAGGCGCGGATTTTTCTTCGGGATGTTCGCGAAAACAAACTTTGAGAAGAAGCTGGAGAAAAGCACACATATCGGTTTTTTTATCGAGGAGAGTACAAGCATCAGCGGATGCAAGTGGCAGTAGATGCGAGTTAGCGGGGGGATAGATAGGCTCGGGGGTTGGTAATGCACGTCGGATGCAATTTCCTGTGCGGCTTGCTTCGCTCGCCATTCTCCGCTGAAGGCCTTTGACTCTGCTTGGTTCTGCTATGTGCAAAGAGCCGCCGATGGCCCCGAGCAATCTCGAGACGGCGATGGTCGCGAGCCGCAGCATCAACGTCAAGTGGCAGCACAAGGCGCAAGACACCAGCGAGGTCAGCAAGTACATACTGCAGTACAAGGAGGCCGACGGCATGTGGCAGCAGCAAGAGCTCACTGGGCCGCCGCTGCCCTACGCCGCGCTCATCGACGAGCTCAAGCCCGCGACCAGGTACACCATCCGCGTGATCGCGGAAGGCCCGGCCGGCAGGTCGGCTCCGTCCAGTGACCTGCTCGTCAGGACCGAGCCGCAAAGGCCCGCCGGGCCGCCGCTCAACTTGGCCGCCAGGGCCCTGTCGTCGTCCGAGGTGCTGGTCAGTTGGCTGCCGCCGCTGCCCGAGCTGAGGCACGGCGACATCGAGGGCTTCAACGTTGGCTACAGAGAGACCAGGTGAGCGCGCGTCGCTTTTTTGCCCCGCGACCGTTCGGCTTCCGTCGAATCGAGTTGCGAAAAAAAGAGCCAATTCGCGCCGGCTTTGCCGAAAAGCAAACAAAAGTACACGCGCCCACGGTAATTGAATCCCTAGATTCGTTCGCGCTCGCGAACGCCGAGTGTTTTACGCATGAAATTTGATTGCTGGAGCAAATTACATCCATAGAGAAGCTGCAATCGACAGCGAGCGAAAAAAATAAGCCCCGAAGGCGCGCGGCCTTTGGTTTGCGCTTGCCGCGGCAAAATTTAAAGTTGAAAGCCGGGCGAAACGTTAATTAAAAAAGTTAATCCCAAATGACGCCAGAAGCTATTTGAACAGAATTAACGAGTTTGACGATGGGAGGTCACTTACTCCCGTCGGCTTTTATTTTTTCTTACTTTTTTATTCATTAGTGCGTGCGAATCCGTCGTTCGCGTGCGAAAGTGGGTGGAGCGCGCGCGCGCGCGCATCTCGTCGAATAAACAAACACGGCGACGAGGTGAGCGACACCCGCGGACTGACTAATGACTGAACGAAAGTAACCGTTATGACGGCAGCTCGTCGAACCCCTCGTTCAACTTCACGTCGGTGCCGGGAGACGGCGAGGAGGGCGGTGCCGAGCTGCGCCTCACCGGCCTGCGAGCCTACACGCGCTACACGCTGGTCGTGCAGGCCTACAACCAGGTGGGCTCGGGGCCACTGTCCGAGCTGCTCACCACGCAGACCCTCGAGGACGGTAAGTGCGGCGCGCAGGCGCCCCAATCGGTCGTCGTGGTGGCTAATCGAGTCTGTACGTGGACAGTTCCCGGCGCACCGCCCGAGGACGTTCGCTGCGTGGCCCTTACCTCCGAGTCGCTGCAGGTCTCCTGGCAGCCACCGCCCAGCAGCCACAGCAACGGCATCATACAGGGCTACAAGCTCAATTACGAGCCGATTCTACCCGACAATTGGCCCGGCGTCGATGAGATGGAGGTGAGTTTTGCCTGACTCGGTGTGCTTCATACCTACTAACCAAATTCTTGTTTAACGATTACTGATTTCGCCTGCACTCGCCGGAAGTCGCGCGCATTCCGATTAATTGGGTCAGATTCTGTAACTGAAAAATAGTTACTAGCCGCCCCTTATCACTTTCATAATTCTTACTTACTTACTTCACTGTCGGATAATTGCTGTTTTGTTGCGTACTTTTGTGATAGGAAGCCCGTGGCTCTTTCTTCTTTTAATTACCTACACTTACGCGGTTACAGCAGATGTCAAGTTTTTACGTTATGATCTACTAAATGATCTGTATTTGGTTTCTCTAATACGTGAATAAGCCCTTGTTCGCACGTTGGATATTTATTATTTACTTATTGTATGCGTCACTATAAAGCTAGCTAGAGAGCTAAATATTTGGATGTGGGCAAGAAATTCAATTAAAAGTTGGTCCCTCGGGTAGAGCTGTTCATTATGACGATTGACGCTCGACAAGATGAAAGTTCTCCTACTCTCTTTTATCAACTATGTGGCGATATATAACTTACTTGGCTCGCTCGAAGACATCCATGCTACTTTCTTTTTCAACCGAAATACTCTCGCAACATCGTCGATCTGTAGACTGCGGCGAGAGTTGCGCGCGCTCGGTAAGAGGGAGAGAGAGAGAGAGAGACGCTACTGTTATTATCCAACTTACTTCTTCAGCGCGCGCATTTCTTCGTCAGATTCAGGAAAACAAAACGACTGACCAATATCTACTGCGTTCATCTTCAACTAGCGAAGCTTTTCGTCAAAGTTAAATCAGATTCTTCAGATTTTTCATGGCCGTCGTTACTTTTCAAACTCACTTGACTCAATTTTCCAGTCGCCCGGATGCCAAAAGAAATAAAGTGCTTCTATGCAGTTCACAAGAGGCATTTATTGGAAAATTATTTTTCGATGAAAATACAATAATGGAAAATAATATACGCTTTCTGTAGAATATTGAGCTCTGAATGAAACGAAGTAGACAAATGCAAATCAAATTTCATGTATTGACAAAAAGTTACAGAGTTGTTTAATCCATTATCCAATATATAAAAGATAAAGTACGTACGCTTGTGTTTACTACATCGACATCTCGTCTCAAAAAAGAAGTGAAGATTTAATTTGAATAGAAGAAATTCATTTTCTTAAAATGTATCTTCGTATTAAAAAAATATCTTGGTCAATATGTCAGCAATCATTTGGTTCGACAATATATATTTCGCGTCAGTTTTGTGTTCTGCTGTGCAATTGCGAATAGAATAGTGACCTATGTAATCTGTAAGTTGACATTGTAGCTGAAGTTTTTGCGTGTAATCTCCTCGTCGCAGAAGTCGTGTGCCATCTCTTGGTTAGCATAGTTTCATATTGAAAGAAGCAAATACATGCACTACCAGTACAAAATCCATAGGTAGACAAACATTGAAACACACAGTCATAGTCATCAAAGCAGATTGAAGTCGCATCATGCACTCGGTAGAATTTGCCTTTATTGAGCTTGAAAACACGAACTGACGTCGACTCATCACTATACTGTGCCTCGACAGCAAGCGATGAAGCTACGAAGAGTAGCAAGATGCTAAAAAATAACTGCATTGCGCGGATACGAATGAACACTGTGAGCGTGAACTTTTGTTTCCCACTTAGGCGCCAGTCGAGAGCCAATTGTTTTACCGAGATCCTACCAAAGCTTCCTGTACGCACGAGAGTCTTTATTCCACTGTGCATTCAGATGCTATATACGATTTTGAGAAAGCCATTTCCTTATCAAATCAAGCATAATGAAATAGGATACGTAACGAGTCAGCGAAAAGTGATAAGCATCAATCGCTTTTCGCGGAACCTACTTGATGGACAGTTTTATCAACCGTGTTTCGAGTGATGGGGACTTTGATTATTATTCGTGGAATTGAGAGTCAGCACTAAAGTGCAGGGACCGTGCTGGAAGGAAGACCATCGTTCCTACATTTGCACACGTGCGCGCGTAATCTCGCTAGATACGAGAATTGGTATGCAGCGGTCATTTGAGCAGAAAGGTCTACATTTCGCGTGTCCCAGGGCAATTGCACCAACTTTTGCTGCTGCTCGTCCTCGTCGTTCGGGACTCAGACTTGTCTTTTTAATAATCAAATTAAACCCAACGCTTTTCTCATTATTATGCTCACATGAATATCAGAAATTAGCGAGTTGCTCTATTTTCTGCAGTGCACTCTATGGAAGGGAAGTAATAAAGAAAGCAAAGTCCATTGTTTAGAATTCAAACGGAAAAAAGAGAAAACGAATCAACTCCATTAGAGAATCGTCCGCGACGAAGATTCAGGTCAAAGCGCATCTCTCTCTCTCTCTCTCTCTCTCTCTCTCTCGGAAATAGCGTCGTTCGTTTTACAATAAGCGCTTGATAATTATTTTCCTAAGGAATAGTCGCTCTACAGACGGAATCTTGATGCACTCGGAAAAATAATTCCTCCGTCCCGGCAGAGAAATCTTCCTCTCTCTCGTTTCGTCGAAGTGAAAATCCATTATAACAGATCGGTCCACTGCTTACTGCAGGAATTGAAAAAAGAATGGGGTTTTTCGTGTGTTAAAGGTGCGGAAAACGAGTGCTTTAACGACGGTGCTTACAGGCCTGCGCAAGTACACGAACTACAGTATCCAAGTGGTGGCATTCACTCGAGTGGGCGACGGCCAGCCGACCCGTACAATCTACTGCCACACCGAGGAGGACGGTACGTATACTCTCTCTCTCTCTCTTTCTCTCTATCGAAATCCATCGGCGACCTCATTTCTCTTTTGCCGAGCGAGCAAAAGGTAAAAGAGAAAAAAGAAGCAGAAGAGTCAAAGTCGCTAATCGATCTTGGGCTTTGACACACGTGTGTTGCAGTGCCGGGCAGTCCAGCGGACATAAAAGTCGTGGTGAGCTCACCCCAGGCACTTTTCATCTCTTGGCTAGCGCCACTCGAACCCAATGGCCTTGTCACCAAGTACAACCTCTACACTAGGTAGGCAACCTATATACAATGACTTATTTGCTCGCCACCATCTTCCGATATATAGACTCTATTATGGCGGATATATATTATCGATCTTCCTTTGATCAAAGGCCTTTCTCCCTATAGCCCATTTCTCTTTTATCAACCTCTCTTCCTCTCTCTCTCTCTCTCTCCCTCCCTCTAACCGATGCTCGTCCGCCGATATCTTCAAGTTTCGAAATAACCGACGCATACCTCGCAGCAAGCAAACCCACACTGCTTTCAATTTTTATTCATGAAGCTCTGCCGTAGCACTTGCCCGCGTTGTATTTATGATTTCTTTTTGCATATCGATCCGTCCCGCCCTCCGCGGTATTTACATTTTTACGTCGCGGAATATTTTTCGCTTTCGCTCAGCCTCTATACGCAAATTTGGCGTGAATAATTTCGACGTTTCTCACGTGGCTGCGTGTAAATTGAATGATAACGGATTACCATTCGGGCCGATCAATTATTTCACGATTTTTTCGGGGAGACGAGCAGCAAATGGAAGATTCTAATTCGTTTATGCTTTGATTTGAACTCGCTCGTCGGACGCGCCGCTGTATCGTTTATTAGCAGATTAGTAGTTATATTCGTATTGCGCTAGCGCTACGAATACCGGCGGACATATTTACATATAGGCGAATTAACAGCTGCGTGCTGTCATTGATATTTGTTATATCGTTATGTATCCAAAGCTCGCTTATTTGTGTTTTAGTGGATTTATTAAATCTCAAAAATATAGATTTGATATTCAACGCATTGTAAGCATTATCTGTGCGCAAAATTTTTACTCGCTCATTTGTAACTTTCATTTTTCTCAATATACATTCACTCAATATACATTCATCGACAAACAATTATGCGTTACTGTTACGTTTTGCACGAGTTCCGCAGTCGTTATTCGAGCAGACTATACGCTACCATACATGCTGAGTTATTATTCTCACTAGTTGAATATGAACGAAAAGTATCGAGATCGAGTTTGATAATTAATACCCAGAAGTCTGCGTATGAGCCTCGATCTCACAGACGAGAACAAAATGATACGTATGTACAGCACGCGAGCTTGACTGCTGAGCATCGATTAATCTAACGATAAGTTCTTACTGACTCTCGTTTCGACTTCCAAGAACCGGACAACTCTAAAGTCGTAAAAAGCTCACGACGTAAACTGATATTTTGAGTTTTATGTTTGTTATCATAAAGCGTACGGGAATGATCTCTGGAATGAGTTTTATCCATCGGCTACTCGTATAGGATATTTTCAAACAATTTAACTTAATAAGGGCACATTACATGCAAAGATTTATTTTTTACATCTCATTGATCAGATATTAAGTTTTATTGGTTGAAATTGATTGTCGAATAATGTAGATTTCCCCCTTGAAAATCTAATTGTTTCATTGATATTTGAAAACAGAAAACAAACGCTCTTTCAACTTCTACATTATTGCATCGGCGATAACCGATTCAATTCTTCAGACTTTCGACGGTATATTAATATTTGAACAGAGCTTATCTTCGAAATATTACGGAATGAGCTCGTGATATTTGCAGTGTAAGAATCTAGGATAAAGAAAATTTTAGCGAAAACCAGTAAGTACCGACACGTCGGTAATTACAGGTTTGAATCGTTGGGTAGATGGCAGTAAATAACAAGAGTAATTACTTTAGAAAGGAATTTTTCACGGTCGACGCTGTTCGCCAACTGACCATTTGCCCGTTCAGATGACACAAGGGGAGAACTAAATTGAAGTAGTCGTAATTGAGTAGCCCGTGAAATTTGGCCAAAGTAAAACCGTGTCGGCGACCCCTCTCGAGCAAACTGAAACGAAAAAAAGCGGCAGTTTGGCGTGAGCAGCGTTAAAAAATTGACAAAACACACACACGCACGCAGAGTGGTGGACGGCCGCGAGGAGCTAAACCACGGCAAGCGCACGCTGCCCGCGGGCGACACGTACTTCGAGGCGACGGGCCTGCAGCAGCACGTGGAGTACCAGTTCTGGGTGACCGCGAGCACTCGCGTGGGCGAGGGCCAGAATTCCAAAGTGGCCGCCCAAGTGCCGACGAACCGCGTGCCGGCCCGCATCACGTCGTTCGGCGGCCAGCTGGTGCGCCCGTGGCGCGGCTCCGTCACGCTGCAGTGCAACGCCGTCGGCGAGCCGTCCAGTCGCGAGTGGTACAAGTCCAACCTCGAGCAGGTGCGCACCGACTCCAGCAGGAACATCCAAATCATGACCAACGGCGAGATCGTGTTCTCGAGCCTGCAGCCCCAGGACAGCGGCAACTACACCTGCCAGGTGGAGAACTCGCAGGGCAGCGATAGACTCCACTACCAGCTCATCGTTCAAGGTACCTCACCGGCTGACTGTCCTGATAATCGCTCGCGCTATACGGCGGAGAGAGCTTTTACGCGCGTGCCCGTGCACTGACCCAGTTTACGTGACGAGCGCCCGCTATAGTATTCTATTTGCCGCCATAGCCTTATACCATGCAAATGGGCTTTCGATGAAAAAGAAGGGAAGGACCGAGTCTGTGCCTCTCGCGCGTGCTCCGTGTTAAAAGTTCTTTCGGAATAATAACAACTTTCATTCGGCGCGCACGACATCGGAAAAAGCTCGAATATTTTACGAAAAAAAATAGTGGGCGTCCATGCAATCCACTTTTCGCTTCGGAAAACAACGCGCGCGACATCAATTTCTCAAAGTACACACGCGGATGGTGAAAAACGACACTTTTACCGAAATTATAAAACGACGAGAGAGATAGAAAGGAATGGATGCGTACATTGCAGTGCCGCCGAGCGCACCTGTACTGTACATATCGTCATCGACGTCGTCATCCATCCTTCTGCATTGGAAGCCGGGCTACAACGGCGGCGCGCCATTGACCAAATACACTCTGCACTATCGCACCGCTGCACACGGCACACTGGAGGAGATGCAATTGTCACGACGCGCCACCAGCCACGAACTCAAGGTACGCAAGCTCCAAGCCGACTCGAGAACGCCGACTCCGGCTAGCTGTCTTCGGATCGCGCAAGCTCGGGTATGCAACGTTCACGACTGAAAAATCCGCAGGGCTTGCTGTGCGGCAACACGTATCAACTATACCTGAGCGCTCACAACAAGATCGGCAGCAGTCCAGCGTCGCCGGTGTTGTCGGTGCGAACGCAAGGCCAGCCACCGGGTATACCACCAGCGGCGGCGTTCCTGGCGCCCAACTCCACCTCGCTGGTGCTGAGACTGAGCGCCTGGCCGGACAACGGCTGTCCGATTCTGTACTTCGTCATCCAGTACCGGCCGATCAACGAGTTCCACTGGACGCTCGTGTCCAACAACGTGAAGATGCAGAGGCGGTTCGTCGTCACGGGCCTGGCCTCCAGCTCCGTCTACCAGCTCAAAGTGGAGGCCTACAACGTGGCCGGCAACAATCAGGCCGAGTTCACCTTCGTGACGCTGACCAAGGAAGGGGGTGAGTCTCGCGTTTTTGCCGCGGTGCGCAGTGCGAGAGCAAACGAGCAATGCTTCGGTCCGCAGCGGCACCGTCGGAGATGTCGGAGCGCGGCATGGCCGGCGTGGTGGCGTTCTACGCGGACCTGAAGATCATGCTGCCGCTGCTGGTGGGCCTGGGCGCGCTGCTGCTGGCCGCGGCCACCATCACGGCGCGCTGGCGAAACAGTGAGTTGTCCGTCGGCTGGCACGGCTGACGCACAGTGCTGACCTGCCAGGGCCGCGCGCCGCCGCGTCTTGTTGCAGGGTACTCGGGCGAGCGCGTGCAGCGCCCCATGAAGGAGTCGCAGGAGAACCAGCAGAACGCCGAGACGCAGCGCGAGCGGTACTATGCGACGATCCACAAGGTTGCCCTGCAGGCCAATGCTGGCCCACCGGACAAGATCCCAGGTGAATTTCTCGTTATAAGTCGTAAGACAGCCGGCCGACGGCCGTCACTGCCGGAGAAGCGGAATTAAAAGGTAGGCAACTGGGCCTCGCTTGGCGTCAATGGTTTACAGAGACGGCGGAGGATATCTCTCCGTACGCTACGTTCCAGCTGTCGGAGGGCGCCGGGGCCGGCCTGGGCGGCCTGGCTGCGCTGGCCGATCACTCCGCGGGGGCGCTCCACCCCCAGAACACCCTGCTGCACAGCTTCATGTACCACGAGCACGCGATGACCGAGGGCTGCGCCAGCCCGCCGCCCCAGACCACGGTGAGACCACTCTCCTCGCTATTCCCTTCTCTCGTCGGTTGGTCCTCGCTGGCTTTGCCCGACAGACCGCGATTCGGGACAATCGGGATTGTCGATACGAACGATTGTCGAGTGCGCCGACGGGGCCCTTTGGAGAGCGTTGGGAGAATTGACGCCGAGCGATCGTTTGCGCAGACGTTGAAGAGCGTGTCGTCGCGTCGACGTCAAGCCAGGAAGCAACACCAGGGCGACGTGGAGAGCGACGAGAGCGAGTCTGACGCGGACCAGTTGACCAGCTCCAGGACCGAGAGCAGCAATCAGCTGGACGCCGGCAAACTCAAGCACAGTCAGTACTCACGATGCGCCCTGCCTCTGCCCACTTTTTACTGACCCGCTGTGGCCAATGTCGGTTTGCGCGTGTTTTTCCAGTTCGAGCCGTTTCCGATTTCATGTACCACGGCACGTCGAGCACCTCGTCGGACATCTCGCCCATGTCCGAGCAAAAGTCTCTGCCCCGAAGAGGCCGCTCCAGGTAAATATTTAGGCCCTGCTTTGTCTTCCCTCCCCTCGCCTTCTCTCGCGTCACTCGCGAGCTTCATCTTTCCGGTAGTTAATGATTGATTTTTCTCGTCGTTATCGGTAGCTCTTCATTGGTCGAAATCCTTCATCCTCCCGTCCATCTCGAACGCATGTAACGTCACTGCGAACCCGATCGCTTTCTATTTTCCTTGTAACGACCAACGAAAGCGAAAGAACCGACGGAAAAAGTCGTCCTAACTGCCGAAAGAATATTTCGCCTGAGGCAGACAAACAAACGAATAGAAAGGAACGAAACAAAATGACTAATCGTGTGCGTGAAACGCCAAATAACCAACGAGAAGATGGCACGTGCCGAGCAGGAGCTCGCTGCGCACGATCCTACCGCCGGTGTCGGTGGCGGAGACGGGCTTCGGTGGTGGTAGCGGAGCAGATCATCGCGGAGGCGGCCAAGCCCAGCAGCAGCAGCAGCAGCAACACCAGGAGATGAGCGAGGCCGAGTGCGACGTGGACTCGTTGAAGAAGCTGAAGCTGGGCCTGAGGAGCACGTTGTGGTCGAGGCCGGCCGGTCAGCAGACCAACAACCCGTCGTCCGACTACTCGATCGCCGTCTAGCCCTCCGTTCAGCACCGGCAGCGGCGCCGAGCCAGGAAGCCCTAACGTGAACTCGGACCCCGAGTCGCACACCACTTCTCTTTATTGTAAATACGAACGAGCGCGCCACGGGCCATTCTTTCACCAGCGTCTCATACCTCTGTACATTGTCGTCCTTTTGTATCGCTGCATCATAAAGCGCAACGCCCCCACTGCCCCGTCCTCCCCTCGTCCCGGAAACCCAGCCCCGCCACCGTCCTTACGCAGGTTTTCATCGTTCCGTGAGCGCGATCGCTATGGGCATTCGTATTTGGAACGAGACACACACGATACTCACGACACCGAGCGGCGCGGTTAGCCGATGCGCGTCGCCATTAACGAATTATTATCGTATATATCTATTGCACGACGCAGAGTGCTCGAGCGAGAATGAACCGAGAGATTGTATGCGAGTGCAGGTATGGAACAAATCAAACGTTTTATTAGTTGATTTCTATACATATAAATATATAAATAATATGGCTGTTGATACTATTATTACGACTATTACGACATTATTACACATTACTAACATTACCATTATTGCATTATTAGTATTTTATAATAAAAGGAAAAGGGAAGCAAGCAAGTCTGTACAAATATTGAAGCGCGATCCCGAGTGGATGTGGCGCGAGAAGCAAGAAATTCTGCCCGCGCGACGGCCACGTATCTGCGCGTCTGACTTTCTGTCAAAGAGTAATATAATTAACGATTAATCGAAGCGCGCGCGCGCGACTATTTCTAGAAGACAACTCTTTCATTTAATTTTTTTAATGTAAAATTTTTAGCAAATTCTATCGTATAATTATATATATATATATATATACATATATATATATATAAAATCGACGCGAGGAATAAAAGAAAGCGTCCTAGACAATGTTGTTTTTATTGTAAGACTATTCAAGTGCCAAACGATTTGACCCAAGGACTAATCACTCTCGATAAGAAGAATCACCCGTTTTTTAAACGCATATGTAACCTTAAGGTCCCTTCTGATGACGCTGATTGTGAGTCGAGCTCCCGTCGACGGACTCAACGGCCGAGACTCTCGCGCGCGTCACCTCCGTGCGCACGATGACAGTGCTAAAATGATATTTTAGCATTGTCGCCTGCGACTACGGCCAAGCAGCCAGCAAAACACTTGCCTACCGAGCAGCCTAATCGAATTTGATTTTCGAAGAGCGAGAGTCCCGTCGGTTGTATCCCGTCGGCCTGCAAAGTTGGCCAAACGATCACTTCCAATTCCAAACACACACGACTGTCTTTCAACGAAAAGAAATCCCAACATATCCGCGGAAACGGTCAAAAAGTCTGCCAAAAGAACGTTTGATAATCAGCTGCATGGAATTACATTGTATCTCTATATTTTGTACCTTCGAAATACGTTTTTATATCTGTCCCCTACAGTTGCGTTTGCGCTGGAGTGATTAACCGCTTGGATGTGACTCTTCGAAAGGCTGATAATACGTATCGCACGAACGCGCGCGTCTAAGGCAAACAATGGCGCCTTGTCCGTTTTTATTATTAGGTGTTATTATGCGAAGCGACAATTTGCAACTCGGACAAGGTGCGCAAGAGCATAATCGCGTTTGGCGAGCTGTTTAGGGAAACACGACCAGTAGACGATTACAAATAATATCGACTGTACCTTGATGAACAAAAGGATTCGATTTTGCGAAACCACGTTTTTCTTTTGGCTGGGACGCCGTTCGCCCAACGTTTCATCTTGAATGTACTTGAACGACGAATACGCATGGCGTTTCCGCAAAAGTATTGTATGTCGATCTTCTTTTGGTCGATTAAATAAATTGACATCGTTTAAGGCAACATCACATCGACATTCTTCATTCAAATAATACGTACCCTTCTTATCCTTCCTGACGATTTCCTTCTTCACCAGAATCGATTAAAAATAATTCTTCACTTCTCGATTTCCATGACGAGTTAATTGCTAGACGGAAGCTGCAAGGGCAACGGGATAAATCAAGCCCTCGAGTAGTTCGAAGCCTCGAAGCCATAATGCGAGAATCAATCGTGAATATCGGTGGTGCGGATCAACAAGCTCGTGCAAAAATGTGGAAAGCCTCGGAATTGGCGCGAGAACGTTGTCGACACGTAGACACGTCAAAGACGCAAAGAGAGAATAATCGTCGTAGGAAAATCTGTTTGCGAGATATTTTATTGCTGCGACGAACAAACGAAAAAAGACAATGAAACGAGAAGGAAAAAAGAGTGGCTTCAAGTGGCATTTAATCGAGCGAGAGGTCGCGCGATGATGGTTGGAAGGTGGGCAGAAGAAAATAGCAGAAGTCTCGGCGCCGAGAATAGACGTGGCGAGCCAGCAGCGAGAGAAATAAAGAAGAAGATGGCCATCCGCCTCTTTTCTCAGTAGCTCGTCAGCTCGGCGAACGTCGAGTCCAAGTCGTCGCAGATATACTTAAACTTCTCCTTCTGCTTGCGTAGTCGCTCTGCAAATTATTCATCGATTTGTCGTTAGAGCCTGGCGCGCGCGAGCAAGATGAGCGAAGGGGGCAGCTCTCTGGTTCTTACCTTCCCTGAGATCGAGCTCGGCCAAGTACGACTTGACGGACTTCTCGGCGAACAGCGCTCGCTTCTCCGCCTCGTTCAGTCGCGACTTGAAACTCTTTAGCTGGCTCTTAAACTCCTCCACTCGCTGATTGGCCTGAGTGAACGACAGAGAAACAACGAGCAAAGAAATGCGCCTAGATCGCAGTCGAACGCGCGACTTACCTTCTCCTCCGAGACCTCCAGAGACTTGAGAATGTTGTTCATTATGAAGAGTTTATCCTCTTTCTCTTTGATCATTCTGCTCGGCGGCGAAAAAAATCAACCTCATTCGACAGATCAATCGGGAGGCTCGCCTCGAGACGGAACTCTCGCGCGAACAAAAGAGCTAAAGAGCGAAAGGGCGAAAGGGCGGAAGGGCGAGCAAGGGACGGGAGGTGGGGTGCCAGTGTTTGAGAAAAGTATTACGCACGATTCGGTGGTCTTAACCCTCCTCTCGACGGCTTCGAGCTCGTCTTCGACAAGGGCCAGCTGTCTGGAGATGGTCTCGGACTTGTTGTCGGCGTCCTCGGTTTCGATCCTCGACTCCTTCAGCTGCGCCGTCAGCAGATCCATTCTCTCCTCGTCCAACTTGCTGCGATTCTCCAGCACCCTGCAGATTCTATGGACAGGCGCACGCGCGCGAGACAGGGATAGAGAAAGAGAGAGAGAGAGAGAGAGAGAGAGATCAGTCGAGGGGCTGCTCGTCAGTCGGGCTCGGGCCAAGTACCGCTTGGTGTCCTCCACTGTGTGCAGCGCTTGGGCGAGCTTCATCTGGGCGACGTTGCGACGCTCCTCCGACTTCTCCAGATTCGCCATGCACTGCTGCATCTTGCGGTTCAACATGGCCAGCTCCGATTGCACCTGCGCCCGAAGCAAACTGTCCTGTGGCGCTTGCCAGTCCTCGGAGGCAGCGCGCAGGCTGCCGGGTCACCTACCATGAAATAGGCCTTCTCCTTGCAGGCCAGGCTGGCGTTCGACTGGCCGAGCTGCATCCGGCTGACCTCCAGATCGGCCCTCATCTGCGCGAGCTTCTTCTCCAGCTCTTTCACCTGGTCCCGCAGCAGCTCCTCGCGGCGTTTGGCCTCCTTGGCCTGCTGGTCGCACGAGTCCGCGCGGTCGATCGCCAGCTCCTTCTCCACCTTCAGCGTCTGCAGCTTCTTCTTTATCGCGTTCATCGTCGTGCCACAACTGCACCGCCACTGCGCCACGCTCGCTTTATAGAGCCCGCGGGACTCGAGAGCGGCAGCGCGACCAAAGCGACCAAAAGGAACGCCGCGTTGTGCTGTTTTTGTTGCTCCGCTCTCGCCGCGCTCGCGTGCGACAGATTCTTAGGGCGGAGATCGGCGATCCGTCGGGCTTCTATTTTTCTGCTGCTCGGCCCCACTCCGCTCAAGAGCAGCCCCGACTAGTTTTAACTGTCTGCGCTGCCCGGCAAGCCGGCAAGCGAGGTGTACAGGAAACCAGGTTTAAATCAAACAAACGCGACAAACGAGATTGTTCTTTTATTACGAATAAAGTACTTGTATTGTCCATTCAAGTTACATATGTGCATGTGTCTTCGTAGATCGATGCAAGACGTTGCTCACGAGCGCTGCAGTCTTCAGTCCCATGCGTGATGCGTGGCGACGGCACATTCGTTAGCGAAACAAAGCAAGGACAACGGCAATGAACGCGATCGAAGGCGAACTCGCAAATATAGCCGAAACGACATCGATACATCAAGCTTTTTGTAGCGCCGAGCGGTAGAAAGAATTGGCACACGCGCGCGCGCAAAAACGTTGCGTCAGCCAAGGGAAAAAAGAGAGATGGCGAGGCGGCGCAAGTTGGATGAAAAGAAGGGCAGTGTGCGATTTTTCGATGAAACGTAGAGAGAGAGAGAGAGAGAGAGAGAGAGAGAGAGAGAGAGAGAGAGAGAGAGAGAGAGAGAGAGAGAGGAGAGCGCGAGATGAGCGGAAAAGTAAAGCTGATCTTTATCTGTGATGCGTAATTTCGACGAGGAACAGCTCGGCTAGAAGCCCGTCATTTCGGAGAAGGTGAAGTCCATGTCGTCGCACAGCGCCTTGTACTTTTCTTTCTCTTCTCGGAGCTCGTCTAGGCATGCACAAGAAAAGAAACGTTGATCGAGCGTTCGATCGCCTCGAATAAGATTAGGGCCAACTTACCTTCTTTGAAGTCGACCTCCTTGATGAGCTTCTTCACGGTCCTCTCGGCAAGCACGGCGCGCTTCTCCGCCTCCTTCAGCTTTCTCTTCAGCTCTTTCAGCATTTCCTTCATGTCCGCCACTCGTGCGTTTGCCTTGAAAAGATAGGAACGGTCTAGCCGAGATGGATGCAACGCGCAAGCGATTTTGTCATTCGACTGCTTACTTTTTCCTCGGACACGACTAGGGACTTGACGATATTCTGCACGATGAACAGCTCGTCCTCGCGCTCGATGATTTTCCTGCAAAACAAAGCGTCTCCCTGGTCAGAAGAGGCTTCAGCACAAATGCTAACGGCCGCGCGAGAAATACTAACGCCTCGCTGGTCTTGACGCGCTCCTCGGCAGCCTCCAGCTCCTCCTCGACGAACTGTAACTTCTTCGACACCTCCTCCGATTTGGTGTCGGCGTCCTCGGCCAGTAGCCTCGCGTCCTTCAGCTCGGCTGTCAACTTCTCCATGCGCTCCTCGTCCAGTCTGTTTCTCTCCTCCAGCACTTTGCACATACTGCGAACACGCAAAACCGGTGAATTTCAATGGCGACGAGCGAGCGCGGCCAGGAGCTCTTTTCGGTACCGTCTGGCATCGTCGTTGAGCTCGGTAGCGCGCGCGAGTTTGATGGTGGCAGACAGCCGCAGCTCCTCCTTCTTGAACAGCTGGGTCTCGATGTCTTGCACCCTCTTGGTCATCGAGCTGCGGTTCTGCTCTGCCTGCAAGTGTTATGCACCAGTGAGAACCGAGAAAGAACGTTGTGTAACTCGCAGTGCGACCAGCTTCAGCCAACGACCAGAGTGCGGCTGGACGAGCGAGGTGGAGGACAAGGAGCGCAGCGACAGCATACCTTCACGTAAGCCTTCTCGCAGCGCTCGAGCTCGGCGCTCTGCGACTCCAGATTCGCCTTGGCGGTCTCGTAGTCCTTCTCCATCTGCACGAGCTTTTTCTCGAGGTCGCGCACCTCGTCGAGGAGCTTGTCCGCTCGAAAGTTCTCCTGCTTCTGCTTCACCTCGTTCGCCTCTACCTTCTCGTTAGCCAGGTCCATCTCCTGCTTCAGCGACGCGATTTTCTTCTTGATCGCCTCCATCTTTTCGCCTCTTTTCTCCTCGCTTCTCGCTCAAATTAATTTAGCCGGCGGGGCCTTCGCTAATCGATCACTTCGCGTCAGGTGCGGGTAACGATAAAAGCACCGCGACAACCAGCAAAAAAACAAAATAAATAAAAGAACCAAGTAGGTTAAAGCCGAGAGAGATTCGAAACACGACAAACGCTAATTCTATTAATTGATTGGATCGGGCTATCCTCTATATCGTGGCGCGCGAAAGCCAACTGCAACTAAGCTAACAGCTTGATGGGGCACTACTCCGTGTCCTCTTCTCTCTCTCGCTCGAAATGCGATCTGCCGCTGGCGGGCTATTTTCGGCAATTAAAGATATCGGCACGCGCACGCGACGAACGTCGTTCCTCTTTTCGCGCGCACGACTTACTCTGCGATTAAAAGTATTGCGGATCCACGCGTAAACACGAGCTGCTGTTCTACCTCTTCCCTCACTCTTCCACAACGTTTTGAATTTCCCGCCACTGTCGTCATGCTGCAGAGCTTGACAAATTCCGAGAGCTTGCGACACGCCTCTATATAAGCGAAGCAAATCGAACTTCTCTTTTTTTTCAATTTTTCATTTTCTGTGTCAACCAAATAACGCTGTTGATTTGACATATGATAAGGAATCACTTGAAACCTTTTGAACGTTATTTTTGCGCCGCATAGCTTATTCATGTTGCAACGCAATCGATCGACACACTGCGACGTTTTTAATTTTGAATTCGCTTGAAATCTGCACGAAGTTCAAATGCGCGGATAGAATTTTGCTGACTGAGCGAAAAATTCTCGGCAACATTTTATGTCAAAATATCAAACGAGCTTTTCATAGATAATACATGCCTAAATAACTTATGAATTTTCATTCTGAACAGAAAAAAAACAATTTAAGTTTCTTTTTCACAGGTATCACCAGAACTTCTTAACTAAACCGTTAAAAAATCAATTTAGCTTGGATTAATTATCTCTCGGCACGGGACGAGCAACGACAGATTATGCATTCAAAAAAATGTAATTGAGGATTAATCTTAGGGTTCCGCGAGGAAAAGACAATGGTTTTTCAACGATTTTTTTATTTATTTGTAATAATTTGATTCCAATGTATAAATAAGCTTCGCTAGAGCGCAAGTATAAAAGAGATCAAACGGACGACACTGCTTGCGTTAACTCTCTCTCGACGAGTGACAATAAAGGTCTAGAACAAAGTTTTATCACGTGTGAAAATACAAAGTTTTTTTATGTACGTTCTGCCAGTTGACATACATCACAATCGCAGATAGAATATTTTATTTATTTCTTCCAATCAAGTTTGACGCACATGATTATTATTATTATTTATTATTTTGTTAGAGTCAGAAAAAGAGCAGTAGAAATTTTATTATAAATGCTGTGCCAACTTATTCCCTATAATATATAGAGAATTAATTGTTTATTTTGTGCCGCTTTAAGCGTAAAAAGATTGCGTGTTGTTGTTTTGTTCAATATTAAAAAAAACTGGAATTGCATTACAGTGCGTATAGAATGTAACATCGATTTAGATAAATTACTTTTTTTTGACTAATTTTTATATAGTCTATATGATATTAAGAAAAAATTTGTTTCTACAATATATCATTAGTACAAAAAGACACTTCATCAGCACAGCACGTACGAGTACTGTACTTTTAAGCACCCACGATAAGTCATAATAAATACATAAGAAATATTCGCCTCGTTCGACATCGCGTGTAGAACTTTTACCCTATGGCTTGTAACTTTAAATATCTTTTTGACTTTAAAAAAGAAGGGTCGTTTGATACTTAACGCTATCTAAGTACATACAACCCGTGTAACAAATATAGAAAAACATTTTGATTGTGACAAAAAGCATAGCAAAAATAATGTTACAAAACAGTTTCGAAATTGTAACCAGTGTGTATAAAGGAGACGTAATGGTCCGCATGATTAGAATATAAAAAAGAAAATGATATTGAAACATTTCTATAAGCGAAGTTGTTCTGTATAGTGTTGCATTCAATCGCGCCTGTGGCATTTATGCCGCCACCCTTAATACTAATAATATAAATGAGATTGTAGCAAAGTGAGAGAGCAATAAAAGAGAAGTGCGCATGGACTTTAAAGTGATGTTTTCCTGTTATGTATTAAAAGTTGTAAAAAAAAGAAAAGAAAGTAAAAAAGCTCCTTAAAAAAAGTAGGATCGTCATCTCGAGAGATTAGATCCAGTATCAGACTCTATAGCAATCGACATTACGTAAGTTGGTGTAAATGACAGCAAGACTTTCACGGCGTCTTCCCTTCCAAGCGCACGAAGTTGCCTTATGAGACTGCTGACCGTGCATTCGGGCCCCGCGCAATTAAGTATTCTGAAAAGCAAATGTTCAAAAATCAATTAGCAGCTCGCCAACAGCAGCTACCGTATCGCAAGTACATAAATATAACCAAAAGTACCTTATAGTAGGACTATTGATTGTACTGTCAAATTGAGCAACTCTATCGCCTAATCCAAGTCTAACTGTTAATAAGCACCAATCCCTGCCAAACGAGTCGGGAGGGTCGAGCAATTGCGCCAATCGTCTTTGAATCGCCGCTTTGATATATTTTGCTGGCTGCTTAACACCAGGAATGCAATTCTCCATAGACGTTAAGCCACAGCCAATGATATCCCAAACACTCTCTCTTTGACCATTAAATGGATTCTTAAAACACGCCTCTTGAAAACTTCTCTCTAACAGCGCCGAGTTTATAAGCGCCGGCTCCCACGAGTGTATGACCTTATGAAAAACACGACGCATCGATCATTCAGTGGCTCGAGTGAATAATAACGATTGAACGTAACGTTACTATGTAAAGTACCTCGTCGTAATTTCGCAATTGACTCGGGCTTTGCCAATGTCTCTCTAATAACAAACCAGGCGCAACAACTTCTATAGCCGCGTCAACGGCGTCGACAACAATGCTAAGCAACGAGAAACACTGCAAGCCCATGCCACGTGGACCACGAACCCACACTTGGATGCAACCTTGCTCTTCTTCCTCTAAAGTTATTAATGACTCACACGGACCCAAACATAATTTTGAACCTCGCCACCATTGGTACAGATCGGACTCCCCCACATGGCAATCCCATGATTGCGTTATCTTTCGCAATTGTACCTGTGAATAAAAGTTTAGTAAAAATTTTAATTCGAATAATTTAAGTAGCAGTACTTACTTGCAAATGTGGGAAGATAGGCAGCAAATTATACAATCTGGCTTCCATGGGAAACAGTCGAAAACCTACGTGCGGTATCAGAAGTATATTAGACGACGGCCACGAATCCCACAATCCTGGCAATCTTTCGATGAGATTTAAACTCGGTATCTCATATTCTAATTCCTCATCATCTACTTCACACTAAAATATTCATCAACAATTTAGACTTGCATTACGAACGTGAGCGTACTATTTTTAATTGATTTCACTTACCGGAACACATAAATGAAAAGCCTGTAATACTTGTAAGGCTTGATTGGCTGGACAAGGACATCGAGCTTGAAAATCTTCCACGGTGTAAACGCCTGTTGTGCGAATACCTAATCGGTTTTTCTGCTCTGGATTCAATTGCCAACCTATCACGTCACGCCAAAGCCAATCTAGATTCAATGCATACAAATCACCCGGCAGTATAAGGCAGTCTCCGCTAGCCTGTAATGATAAGGCATGTGTTTTTACTATATTAGCTTTTGGAAAACTAATCTGCTGTAGATGCTTTGATAGGTACATACTTGTAACTGTTCTCCAAGCTGTCTGCAATGTTCCGAAGATATTAAGGGATTTACTTGTCGAACTTGATTGATGAATCCCTTGAAATCTAATAACTTTGGAGGTTCTTCCATTAATTGCATGTGAACTTTCCACGCTTCCATGAGGCCGCTCCACGTCAGATCTTGTGGGCTCTAAAAAAATAAACATTCATATAATATTTGAAACAAACTGACAAATTCAGCAGGCTCTTGCCTCAAGAAATTTCGATCGGCAATCATTCAAATAAGTGCGAAGTAATTTTATTCCAGGGCAAGACGGATTAGTGGCATCGAGAGCAACTACTTGAGGTTCTTCGCCTAATAACGAAGTGTAATCTTTTAAAGAATTTAATAGAGGCCCAAGAAGATTAACACCATTCGTACTGGTCGGAACCGGAGGGGGCTCCGGAGCGTATGTTCCAACTAAGATGATTTGTACTTCGAAACACTTTCCAGCAAAGCCTGTACCATATTTTTAGCGATTAGTCAATCGAAATAACAAGAAAAATGCTGGTCAATAGCACTTGAATTACCTATATTTTCAGGTGGTATGCGATCCATAATAAATTGCAGCCAAAAGCGCGCTTGCTGCACTTGAACTGTTAGCGGCTGACGCAAACTAACGGTGATTAAATATACTTGCATTGGTTGATTAACCATTAATGCCCGATGATAGGATACTAAATAATCTTCTCTTCCGCATAATTCCCAGAATACGCAGTCGCCACCTGTAAAGTAGGGAATTGTTTAGTATGAACGTTTTTTTCTTGGATAAATATAGCATGAACACAAGCTTGCAAAGCTTCGACTGACCTATATTTCCTCGATTGATCTCAACGCCAATTGTACTTTCATATTCGTTGTCGCTATGCTCAAAACTAAGGGAATTATGTTTGATTGGGACGTCTAATTCTATATTTGGATCGCGCTAAAATAATCAACAAGTTTAATAATGCAACGAATATTTGTTGTAAGGCAGTAAAAAGATGGATGACATACTTTTCCACTGTAATTCTGATTTTTCGTCCTTTTGAAGAAGCCAAAATTAAAAATACTACTTCTAAGAGAATTGACGAGTGAAGATTTTCCTGACGCACAGTGACCTAACAAACGAATATGTAGGCAATCAATTGGTCTTCGCGTGAATTGCAATTGTTTTAGGTAAACTTCTCGGTGATTTGACTGTGAATCGCGAAAAAAATTACATTTAAAGCTGGTCAAATGAAATATGATCAAATACAAGCCATATCCATGCACTCACATTCCTCAATTTGTCCAACAAGTTCGCAATATCTATGTGTCCGTATTTGATAGCAGTAACATCCGCTCGGATACCCCGATTAGTTTTGTCAACATCACAGCCAGCTGTGCACAAAAATCTTGCGACATCAATGTGACCGAATTTCGCCGCAATGTGGAGTGGTGTCAAGCCATCCTTATTAGTCGCATCTAAGTCTATTCCATGATCTACTAATAAAGCTAACACTCCCTCGTCACCTGACTTACATGTAATATGTAATAACGTATCTCCGTTCTGTAATATTATCAAAATTTTAATGTAACTCGGAGAAAATTAACTTTACAAAATTAATGGAGACACGTAAACTTACAAAATCCTGTACGTCTAGAGGTACTCCTTGGCGTAATAAACGCGACACAGTTTCGATGCATCCACCTTTAACAGCATTAAGAATGGCTTCATCGAGACCCTCAGAAGCTTGTGTTTCCTGCGTGGCAGTGTAAAACAAATGTCACTCATCTTGTCGCTCGTTTATAAGCGATCGAGAATCGTATTTATTGCGATAGAAACTAAAAAGAAAAAATAATAATAGGGGTGCATGTTGGCCAGTTCGCGTTTCCAGTGGTTTCATTGAAAAATTAAAGAGTCACCAAATTTATTGGTTTGTAGCACCAAAGCTTGATCAATGATGCTTATATTTATTCGTTGTATATATAATCTTCGTCATAAATTCTAAATTTTTTTCATAAGTTAACTATAATCAACTATATTACAAACGATTGCTAAGGAATGTAAATCGCATTAAAAAAAAATTCGCATTATCACAATCTATGAATCCACTGTACACTCAACTGGTACAAAATAAAAAATTATTAATCTCAATATGCATATTGAGCGAAAATTAACATGTGCATATGTACAAAAAAATTTAAAAATGATAAATTCAAAGTACAAAGTGGACAAAAATTAATGTACACAATTAATGAGTACACTAATATATATAAGAAAAAACACAAGTCGTAAAAAAGCGCTTTAGAAGAAGAGAATAAGTCAACTTCTGGAATTCAAGAACACACCGTTACAATCCAGGGATGTGTCAGGCAAGATTCTGCTGTTCCTCTTTTTCTACAAAAGATAAAAAAATTATTTAAATTCAGTTAACATAAATGTATTGTGATAATTATGCAAAGAAAAATAATATAATACTTACTTTGGATCCTTAATTAATAAAGATTGTATAAAATTCTTAGCATATTCAGAAATATTTGAAAAGTATTTTTCATCAAATTGGTATTGACATGCTGCAACATTGGCATACGTTTCTTGTTTATCATCTCCTAAGAATGGTGAAGCGCCACTAAGTAGAATATAAGTTAAAACACCTACAGCCCATAAATCAGTCCCTAAACTAAGTGGTTCATAGTTAACTATTTCTGGAGCAACAAATTCTGGAGTTCCAAAAAGAGCTCGGTGTTCTGAACCAGGTGTCAATTGATGTGACAGACCAAGGTCTAATAAACAATCGTAATAATTTATTAGATGTTTATTATTGAATTTATGAATTTATGATAAAAATCTAGGTTATTGAAAATCACCTATCAATTTAATGTTAGGCATAGGTGGTGAGGAGCATAACAGAATATTTTCAGGTTTAATATCTAAGTGTGCAACTTGATGGGAATGCAAGTGACTTAGTGCTTTTAAGACTTGTCGAACTACATGGGCAGCTTCAGCCTCATTTGATGGCGTCCAATGAAACAATTCTCCTCCAGTAATTAATTCCAATAATAATACTACAGTAGTGCCAGTATCTATTACTTTATGTAAAGATACAATGTTAGGATGCCTCAGCTGAGCTAGTAACCCAGCTTCACGAGCTGAAAACAATTGTATGAAATCTTAAGCATTCAGTTTTGTTTAAATAATAAATATTGTACCAATGTCAGCTGCAGCAACCCCTCTGGCAACTCTTCTTTTCCTCATGATTTTGGCTGCATACTCCACTCCAGTTTTTTGTTCCACACATTTTCTTACAACTGCAAATTGTCCTCTGAAAGAATGATTCTTTTGTAATGCAGTTTATTCATAGAAAAAAAACTTCACAAGATAGGCACATACTTTCCAATTTCTTCAAGCAATGTGTAATTTTTTTCAATTGGTTCATGAACAACTTCCAATAAATTGCTCCATTCAAACCCTGTGAGAAATGGTAAATTATTAATTATTACAAAATATTTCAAATTAAAAAACAATGAAATGACAATTATCAATTTTCATTCGCAAATCAAACTTTATCATAATCACAATTCAAACAAAGATAATTATAGGAATCACGGATAATTCATAACAACGAAATCAAGTCCAGAATAGATTAGTCAAACATCTGTTAAAAACATATATACCAAATAGAGGGAGGAAGCAAATGCAGAAAAAGTATAAGAGAAAAAGAGAGAGGAATAGCTAATTGTTAGTAGCCGAAAGTTAAAGCAAGAGGGTAAACTGCGCGATAGTCGGATCGAGGTTAAAAGAAAAAACTAATAGAGATCATATATACCATCGCCGCTCGTGCCCGATTGCCGCGAGCTCGTCGGCATCATCTCCCACTCATTAAGATCTACAAACAGGTTTATCACATCCACAATACCCGCGATATCACAGTTGGTCGCCACCGCACCAAAAATCCGTTACATCGTGGCACATATTTTTGTGTCTTGGCAATATCAAAGCATAGTCAGCAGAGCAGCAGCCACTGCCACTGTGTGCAACTACTGCCTCTGGTGTGTAGAGTCATCCGCCCGCGCACTACACCGGCCGCCCCACGCGCGCGCACACACACGCACATACACACACACACTATACCTTACGTAAATCGATTCACAACCCATATACGTGTCATATACATCGCGCTACTGCAGTCGGTTGTTTGTTTGTGTTCAAATGAGATTCAGCGAATTTATTCGGTAATGATCCACGTGTGTGCGTATGAGCTGCTGCTGCCGCTGCAATCGATACGTTTTTAATGTGACGCTCAGAATTTTAATTGCAACACAATTTGCATTTGAAAGATTTATGGTGTCTCCCGTGTAAGTGTGCGCTACCAGAGAACAACTTTGTGAATTCTTAGGCTATTTTCGTGTGAGCTGATGGCTATTTATGTTCACTCGTGAGTGCCTCGTTTTCATATTAGCGAGACTATCGCTAATTAACAGCTCAGATATAAATAAATAAAACAAAAAAACAATATAATCAGAATTATGGCTCCTAGACAAGCAAATAAAACTAACTACAACTTAAATTATATAAAAACCAGATGGAAAGAGCTACTAACATTTGCTACGGATCCAAGAAAGTTATACGTTCCTGCGCTACTGTTTGTTTTTTTAGAAGTGTTCATCAATATATTGGTGATTGAAAAAGTGCCTTACACAGAAATTGATTGGAAAGCTTATATGCAGGAAGTTGAAGGTGTTTTGAATGGAACATTTGATTATTCTAAATTAAGGGGTGACACAGGGCCACTGGTTTATCCTGCAGGATTTGTTTACTTTTTTTCTGCGCTTTATTTCATTACTTCTCAAGGATCAAACATTAAACTTGCTCAGTATATTTTTGCAGTCTTTCATATAGTACTGTTAATCTTAGTCTTCAGAATCTATGAGCGTACAAAAAAAGTGCCACCATATGTTTTAATAGGTGTATTTGCCACTTCTTATAGAATACACTCCATATTTGCTCTTAGACTTTTCAATGATCCTGTTGCTATGATTTTCCTTTATGCAAGTATCAACACATTTTTGGATCAGAGATGGTACCTTGGTAGTATATTGTATAGCTTGGCAGTTTCCATAAAAATGAACATATTGTTATTTGCTCCTGCACTATTGATTGCTTATATTTATAATTTAGGAATCAATAAAACAACTGTGCAATTATCCATTTGTGCATTTGTGCAACTGCTTTTAGGTTTTCCATTCATTATAAATAATCCAATTAATTATGTCAAAATAGCATTTAATTTAGGAAGGATTTTTGAATTCAAATGGACTGTCAACTGGAGATTTTTATCAGAAGAAATATTTGTTAACTCATATTTCCATATCACATTAATAGTACTGCACATTTTAACATTAATTTATTTTTCCTTGAAGTGGATGAAATATTATGAATCCTATGCAAAACTGAAAGCTATGCAAAAGGATTTTTCTAAACATATCAATAAAAACAAGAAGACGTATGTTGACATGTCCACTGTTTCACAATTGTTTGTTCTACCACTGTTCATGGCAAATTTTATAGGAATAGTTTTTAGTAGATCTTTGCACTATCAATTTTACATATGGTATTATCATACATTACCTTATCTTGCTTGGTGCTGTGATTTCAATGTTATGACTAAATTAGGACTCTTGGGACTTATAGAATTGTGCTGGAATACATATCCAAGTACCGTGTTGAGTAGTGCTAGTTTACACATATGTCATTTGATTTTACTGTATGGATTGAACAGCTACGTTGTTAAAACATTAAAAACATCTTGAATTTAATGAATTACTTCGCACTATTTTTGGATAGTAAGATGTTAATCATGAAATGCAAATACATTCAATAAATGTTTTTTGTACAGAAATATTTTGAGAGACAATAAAAGATTGAACATTTAAATTATAAACAAGACTTAATACATATGTATATGTGTAAATAACAACAATCGGAATAAATATTTTTTATACGATAACGAATTGACTTGTCTTCATTCAACACAATACTATTCCTCTCATAATTATCTATTAAAAGTCATAATTCAAATAGGCGCGATAACGTGATTTCGATAAAGATCGATAATCATCAATAATCGTTTTTTTCCGCTTCTGTACTGCACTCCATTTATATACTTCTAGTCGTCTGATAGCTTCGTGTTTCGTTTACTTTACAATAATAAATCACATATGCCAACAATTACTTTGAATTAATTAATTTTAAAGAAGATAATTAAACCTTATATTTAAAAATCGACTTATTAATGTTATAACGTGTAAAAGAAAACAGACAGAAGAAGACATCGTACAGCCTAAGAGTTTGTGGTATAACCAAAAACTATAAATGTCTTCAAAATGTTCGTAAAATAAACAATTTGCAACCATCATGTTTTTTCTACATGTTTTTATTCATAATTTTATACTTAACAGCTGCTTCAAAAACACGCAGCGTTCAGATTCCTCCACATTTGCAAAATTATATTACAACATGCAAAACACAGTTTAATGATCTTGACGATAATCCATCAGAAATAACATGTTTACTTTGTGATTCTATATTTGTTCTTCCAACCAATCAACAAAACTTCCTCACACATTTATTTCAACAACATCAATTGGTAATTGGTGATGTAGAGAAAATAGCAAGTTTGAAAAGGTAAGGTATTGTAAATGGTTGATTGAAAAATATTTTTTTAATCATTGCACATTTTAATAGTTATGTTCGATATTGGAAAATGCGATTTAAAGAGATGCCTATACTGAGTACATTTTGTGTTACACTAACTGAACAAAGTCTCAAATCATCATCAAATAATGACAAAGCTGCTCCAGAAAATTTGTACTACTTACTTTCAGATTATTTGTCTGAAGATAAAACCTTGAGATATGAAATATATAGAGCAAAATTAGTAAGTATTATTAAATAGAATTTGTAAATAATATTTACAAGTAAATGCTCTATTAAGTATATTTTGATTCAAAGGAATGGGTACTAGCTGAGCAATTAAAAGAAAGGACAGATACAACATTCAAAAGAGACTGTATGTTTTGTAGAACAGAGTTTTCAGGTTCTCGTATTGAATATGTGAAACATCTTTGCCAAAAGCACAATATTTTATTAGGTAAACCAGAAAACTTGGTGTTTATAGATGAATACTTAAATAAAATACAAAATAACATTGAAAAGTAAGTATTTTTTCAATTAAGTTGATTTAATTCACTAAGAATTTCATATTTTTCAGTTTTATATGTATATATTGTGAAAAGAAATTTAAAGATCGTTTTGTATTGAAAGAACATATGAGGAAAAAACTACATAAACAAGTAAATCCAAATAACAAGGAGTATGATAAATATTACATAGTAAATTATTCAAATGAAAAGTCTGAAACCAATAGCAGAAAACCTAGGAAAATGGTAAGAGTTTAACCTAGGTAAATGATATTTTTAACTTACAATGAGAAAAGTTTATAACATTTGTTTGTGTTTTAATCATAGCCTTTAGAAAAACCTGAAGATCCTTCTGGATTTAGCAGCAACAGTGAAGATGAAAATTGGTCAGATTGGAAAGGTGAAACCACAACTTTTATTTGCTTATTTTGTACAAAGAAAACAGATGATATTTCAGAAACTTTCGAACACATGAGAAATGAACACGAATTTGATTTTGAAGATATTACTAAGGATATGATATTTTACCATAAGGAAAATGAAGTTTTTATAACATTAATTTGATTTTGTTTTAATATGCATAACATTTGAATTGATTTCAGGTAAAAATTGTAAATTATATTAGAAAACAAATTCACACAAACAGATGTGTTTATTGTGATGCGAGTGTAGATGATCAACTAAATTTACATATGAGGGATCAAAATCATTACAAATTACCTTCTAAAAAAATATGGGATCAGCCAGAGTATGTAAATTATAAGTTGAATATTTATATTAATTATTTTTTGAAGCTCACAAAATAATTAATATTTTTTCAGATTTTATTTTCCAATGTTTGAAACTGACTCATTTTTATATAGCTTGGATACAAACAGTGATATCGAAGAAGTAGTTTCAGAAACACCATGAACGTTTTTAACATTTGTTACTAAGTAAATCATGTTACTTCTGTGAAATATATAAATCAAATAAATTATGGTTCAATTTTCAAAAATCAGTAAAAATTTCTCAACTTTTAATAAAAATAGCATTTACCTATGGACTAATAATAAAAGTTTTGTGTGTGTGTGTGTGTGCGTGTGTGTGCGTGTGCGTGTGCGTGTAATAAATTGAATTTGATTTTATACCTTTAACGTGGTTCTATTTGTACTGTGGAAAGTTATTAAAAAGTACATGCTCTTATATTTACAATATATCATTTTTTTAATAACGCTAGATTTGATATGCGCTTGGTTGGAATAAAAATGCACATCATGCTCTAAATCACAACAAAAATTCGAAGAATCATAATAATTTATTTTCCTCTCGTTTTAAAAAATAACCCTCTGCTTTTAACTTTCGAGGGGCCTCCTTTAATAGATCCACTAGTTGATGGTTCGTGATCTGGTTTATGTTTATCATGGAAAGACCTGTATAACAATTCGGCATCGCTTTTGTTACCGATCATTTCAGTTATTTCCTCCTTAAATAATAAATAAAAATTTATTCATTAATTTAATTTGCATATACTGCTAAAAAACTTGAAATAAAAAATCAAAGCTTACCAGACTTAATGAGCACATATGATCTAAAGAGCAACCTTTGTTCAAGATAACACGTAAATTTTTTGAATGCACGCCTGGTAACTTGGCTACAAAATCTTGAATATGACTGTTATATTTTTCAGCCATTATATTTTTGTCGTCACAATCATCGTCCAATCCGACCAGTGCAGCTTTTGCACCGTCTGGTTGAGATCTACCTTTCTATTAAATGGTAATATTGTCATAAATCTACTTAATTTATTTCAAACAGTATTCAATAATGGAAAAAATACCTTCAATTCTTCAAAAAGTTGTGCAGTAGCGTGAGGACTGGGTGACCACACTAATTTTAATCTAGGAAAATGAATTGTAAGCAATTGCAGTTTGTTCGTTACTTCAATGCTTTTTGTATCTCTGCTAACATAATATTTGCCCTAAAGTAGTGAAACAGTAAGTAAATAGAATGTTAAAAATAAATAAAAAATAATTCACCATAAATGTGCTATTGATACCTGAAGTCCAAACGGTTTATTTGGATCAAATTCTATAAGAAGCATAGGTTTCGCATAATATCTAGACATTGCAACAGCTTGATTGTATAATCTACCAGAATTTAAGGAACCAATCAGATCTGCCATACTCTTTCTCTCCACGCAAATGTCGGGTGACAATATGTAATCGCCAATCTTGAAACAAATATTGAAGATTAAATTTATGCTTAAATCAATCGTCGACAATTGTAAAGCTTACAAGTAATGTAACAGGTTCAATTTCCATATCACGTTGATGCAATAAAGATGGCAATTCACTCCTGAATTCTCTCATATCGACTATAACTTTATTAGGAATGGTAGCTTGATCCTTTTTCAATCCTCCTTTTCTCGTATTGTCATCTTCTACGATATCAAGTGTCGGTTCTTCTGATTTACCATCTTGTTCTACAGGAATAACCATAGTCTGTTGCAAAAAATTATGTCAAAAATAATCTTTATAAATTATCAGTGTTGAATTCATATTTAATAAGAAATTCATTTTCAATATAGAAAATAGACTTACAGTTTTTGCCATGACTAATTTGTCAAATGCCTCTTTTTCTCTACGCAATGAAGTCAAATAAGCTTGTTCTTCTACAGAACCACCATAAACCAAGAAGTAAACTTTCAAAGCTATCGATGGATGTTTATTTTGATATACCTGTATTCACAAATATTTTTGTAATTACAACACTCTATAATAAAAACTTACTATTTCAAATATAAAAATTAAATCGTACCTCAAGTTGACGAACTGCCGAGATATCAGCTGCATACAGAATAACATAACTAGGTAATGCTTCATCAAGAGTTTTGTTTAGAGATAATGAATCGCCACCTTTTTTAATTGCCTGTATAATTATCAGAGGCTCTTTAGACGTTATAGTTGTCAAATCTAAATCCGCAAGCTATAAAAAAATAAAAATGAAAAATTTTCCTTGATGAAATATGCAATCATAAATATAGTTGCTTATTTTGGCATACTCCTGAAAAATCTTCCAAACATTGACTAAGTGATGTAGAGCCTGCAAGATCTTCAGTATCCTCATTATTACCACTTGCTATATGTTGAGTTAACGTCAAAACGTAACTTTCCTGCTCCTCTTCCGTAATTTCTTGAGCTTCAGTTTCCGATTGTGAAATATGAGGTGAAGGTAATGTTTTACTACTAAAAAAAATACAAAATTATTATCATTGTCTGACGGAAAGAAATATTCTGATTAAACGAAAGTATACCTAGACTCTGGCTTTTTACCAGTTTGGATAGTTTTAGGCTTCAAGTGTTTCATTGCCTCATACAACAAATATTCTTTACCTCCCATTGTTAACAAGTTTTTCAATTGACTACAAGTTCTACTATCTTGAGTAAGAATAAGTATTTTCTCTGCATCATCTTTTTTCTTCTTTGCCATATCATGACGAATTTCCATTATTACTTCTGTTAATGCTGTCCACTTTGGATTAGGTTCTGGTTGCAGATCTAAAATAGAAATAGTAATTAAATAATAAATCAATGTTTTTATTCGTTATTATTTAATAAATTTAATATTACCTCCTTTTTCGTTATAAACTCTTAATTTAGCATTTTTGAACATATCATCGACAATGTCTAAAGCTGTCCAACCACTGCTTTTCATGGCATACTCCATAGTTTGTAAGCTATTAATCATTGAATAGAAAGAGACAGAATCTTGATGTGTCAAACACCTGTTTTACAGAAAAAATTATTATTTATCCAGTTGCATCAAAACATTAAAATTATTAAATTTACATGAGCAATGATCTTTGAGTTTTCAAATCAGACAGTAGCTGTTTGCTTTTAAAACTAAGTTGGTCCCAAATTGGATCTAGTTGCAATTGTATTTGTTTATGAAACTTTTTTGCTACAGCATTTTCAACAGTCAGTTCCTCCAAATCAATCTATGAAAAATATTAATCATAAACTTACTATTTTTTATCTGATTAACAATTTTATTATCGATATAACTATAAACTTACATATTTATTAAGTCTTTTCAATTCTTGAATCATGTAATTCATAACATCAAGCAATCCTGTTTGTATATTCACCATTTTAGGCGTTAATTTTGCATGTAGTTCCAATACTTCAGGCTAAAAATAAAATAGTAATACTATGAAAATCGTTAAACTAAAATAGTACATATAGTATAAATTGGCATACCTTGCATTTTGATAAGCTCTCGTTAACTATTTTATGGAAGCGTGGCCACAAATATAATCTTTTAACAAATAATTTCTTCATAACTTGTTCAACTTGTGCGAATCCAATGGTAAAAGCTAAGGCTGAACTGGTGAATGCTTTAATAAAACCAGTCTGCAATAATCAAACAAATGTGTATAAAATATTTATTATTGAATATGTATGACAAGAACTATTATAACTACCTTATTAGTTCGCCTATAAAGTCGAAGAGCAAAGGCTTCTTGATATGAAGATAAAATTGAATGGGCTCTGTATACGAGTATTCCACTAACTAGGTTCAATGGCACTCGATTTTTCAGTAAATCAACCACTAATATTCTTCCTGATATAAACAATACTCCTCCTTCAAGATATGTAATATCTCTAGAATACAATTACTTATTTAATACTAATGTTGGCATAATTATATTTTATAAAATAAATTAATATATTCAAACCTTTCTTCTGCTAAACATTGTGCTGTTATAACTCGAGGTAAATGCTGCACTCCTTGTTTTCTCAATTTATCAATAAAGTATGTTTCTTCATTATCAATAGTACCAAGAACTAGAACAAGTTGTCCTGGGTCAGAATACGCTTTTAAAATATTCATAAAGACAGTTTCAAGACCTAAACCCCTACAATTATTTCAAACAATTTATTTATTAAAAATTATTACTTACAAATATAAATATTCAATAATAAAAAATATGTATCAAATAATTCATTACTTTGCTGTGATAACTAATCCATCTTCTTGGAGGACCTCCAAAAACATTTGATTTTCGTACTCTAACATTTTGGAAAGCATTGGTTAATTGGTTCTAAAATAGAAGATGAAATAATAACTCTAGAAGTGATGTTAATAAGTTTATTATGAAAGGTCTTTTTTCATTCTGAAAATGAAAGTTATAATTTAGAATAAGTCTTAGAAATGATATTTTAACAATTACCTTTGGATTATGAGATTCTCGAACTTTTCCATTATCTATATTTTCATCGTAAAAAATATTTCCATCAGGATCTATGACTTGATAAACTAGTAATTTATAATGACTTGTTTCATGCGATGGGTGTCCATAAACGCCAATACTCACTGGTCTTTGAAAACTGTAAACCAAGTTACAAAATTGAACAATTATTAGATAATTATAAGTTATCAAAATATACCTTTGAGGTATGTAAACTATGTCTTCTCCACAAGTAGTAGATTGTAAACAATATCTGTCAGGCTCATACGTTGGTTTTGTAGTCGTTTGAGATACATATAAATCAGCATCCCCTGATCTAGAAAAATCAATAAGCTAATGAGCTTAAACTTTAAAGCAATTTCAATTTTATTTTAAACTCACTGTGTGTTTAAATGAATCTTGATTAAGCCATCATACATTAGACTGTAATATTTATAGGAACCACCAGGAACATCATCAATCACATAATGAAGTTGATTTTCTAATCCAACAATGTTTGATATCCAAGCCTAAATTTATAGGCACATATTATTCCATTGAAATTAAATGAAAAAAATTTTTACTTCACGAGTTTGTAAAACTTACAAAAATAAAAGTGATAATTAAAAATGTCTTCATATTACAAAAACATTATTTGATAGGTTTGAAAAATTGACTCTAGAAAGTCTTTTAATACAAAAATATAAAACTAGGGAATGTTATAAATACATTTTCAATCAATGATTGAACCTATGAACCGAGATTTTAATTTAACTGCGGATAAAGGAACTCAGTGGGAAATCGACGAAAATCGACCCGGAAAAATGATAGAAAAACTGAGCGCTGATTGGCAAGAATGGCAAAACTCATTAATAATTCCGCGCTATTTAATTTTTGTTAATAAAACAAATTTCAAGTTGAAAACTTTTGGGTCAATAGAAATTAAATCTGCGTAGTGTTTTAATTCGATTTTTATAGAAATGAATATGTTCAATTGTTAATAAAAATTAGTGCATTTTTTCGATCCATTTATCCAAGCATGCACCTGAAAGATCAGTCGGTAATATAAATCTAAGCTTTTGTGATCGATATATATATATATAATATGGCTGGGCAGTACTTCTTGAGTCTACGTTATCTACTGATTTTTCAGATGTAGGTATTGCTGTAGTGAGAATTAATATTTATTTCTTCATAACTGATGGTTATAATGATATTTTGATAGGATAGAAAAATTATGTGTGATTTTTTATAACTATTCAATACATTCATTTCTAAAAAAGCTAAATTAAAACTACGCAGATTGAATTTCTATCGATCTAGGGGTATTCAACTTTTGAAATTTTTTTAATTTTTAACAAAAACTAAATTGTACGGAACTATTAATCAGTCCTGCTATTCTTACCAATCATGTGTAGTTTTTTTATAATTTTTTCAGATCAATTTTTGTCGGTTTCCACTGAATTCTTTCATTCGTTGAATATAGCACAATAGCAATTGACAGACCATACGATATAGGCGTTGTCTGTATATAGTATATATATAAACTTGAAGTCAGAAAATTTCGTTAAGTGTAAGAGATGTATTATAAATTTTAATTTGTTGTAGATTGTAAAACAACTCTATAGTATATTAACAAGAATTAAAATTATATACGAAATATCAGAAGAGCGTCATGTTTTTCCCAGTTGGATGGCCACGAGTTTTACGCAGTCCAGAACCGGAAAAGATATGTTCAATTGTTTGCAATTATGAAAAGATTCTCTTTAGTATTCTTTATGTAGATGCCGTCACTATTTGGTATTGTAAACCCTGTGTGCCGATTACCCATCAAAGACGTACGAAAGAATCTTTACAAAAATATGGGAGAAATAATCTTCTTCAGTGGCACCCAGATTCAAATATGATTGTTATTGCAACTGATGATAGCTATTTAATATTTTATAAAATAATAAATCAATCTGACGAGACCAGATATCCTTATCAAGAGAGGGATTCCCCTATCAATGGACTAAAAAGAGATAGTGCAGAATTGTTTATTAAGGAATCAGTTCCCTCAATTTCTTTAAAATTTGATAAATGTGTGTGGATAGATGGAAGAATAAATTCTATAACGTGTATTCGTAATGAGTTGATGATAGCTACAAAAACTAGTTTTATCTTTCGGTTCAAATGGGATGGCACACAAAATCGAGATTATGCTCTAGACTTGAGGAGAATACCTTTCAGTATTGACCAACAAATATCAACTTTTGCAGCCCCTATAACTGACAAAAATGTACATGTTTCCAGTATTGAATATTCTGCTTTGTTTGGTGGGTTTGCAGTAGTTTTTAATTGTGGAAAAGCAGCATTTTTGACAGCTCAATCACCAAAGTTTGATCCAAATCAAGTGCAAGGAGTATGGGCTAAGAATATAGAGGATGCAACTTGTTTAGCAGTAAATCATAAATATCGATTGATTGCCTTTGGAAGAAAAAATTCAAGTGCTATTATAGTCTATATAGATGAAACCACAGGTTCATTAGAAACATGCCACAATCTGTTGTTGTCTTCTAAAGATTATCCTGGTACACCAGGGCCAGTTCTGTCTTTAAAATGGACACCTGATGATTGTGCTATTGTATTATCATGGGCAAGTGGGGGTATTTCTATATGGAGTACTTTTGGTGCTCTGTTATTATGCACGTTAAAGTGGGACTATGGATTAAATTTTGATACTACACAGAGTGACCCCTTTCATGTAGTTACAATGGAATGGTCATCAGAAGGTTATCAACTTTGGATGTTGAAAAATATTGATTTTGTAAAAGATAAACATTCAGTGGTCCAATGGGACTTTGTGAAAAGTCCTCTTACAGTTAATCCATGTATGTCTCATTATCAACATATATACTTGCAAGGAGATGACCGCCTTTATATCAATTTAGGACATAAAATTTTTTCAAGTAATGGAAAGATCCATTTTGCTAATGGGGAGCATGCAAATGAATTTTGCCATTATTTGTCAGGTACAAAGCAATGGCTTGTTATTCCTATTCCAAACGCATACACAAGTTGTAATTGGCCCATCAAGTTTACTGCTATTGATGAAGATGGACAGAGTATAGCAGTGGCTGGAAAAAAAGGTTTAGCTCACTATTCAATGTTGTCACGTAAATGGAAATTGTTTGGTAATGAATATCAAGAGAAAGACTTTATAGTAACTGGAGGTCTTCTTTGGTATCATGGATATTTAATTACTAGCTGTTACTCGATACCAGAAAATCAACATGAGATTAGACTGTATCCAAGAGACTTTCGATTGGATAATAATTATGTCATATCAGTAAAGATGAATTCAGAGATATTATTGCTAAATATATTAAAGAATCATCTTTTAGTATTTAGTATGGATCTTCAAATCAACATTTTTAATTTGAAAAGAAAAATTGAAAAAAATAATGACTACATTGAAGTAACACTTATGTACACTGTCGACATTAATGGTCTAAGTCCACATCCACTTTGTGTTGTTAGTGCATGTTTAACGATGATTCATACAGAAAAAATAGATAATAATTCACAGTCAGAAACACTCTTGCTAAATGTTTCTGGAAAACTTTTTATGGTACAAAGAGATCACTGGTCAAAGAAAACAGATTCCTTATTAGTATGTACAGCTCCAACAGTTCTAGCATCAAATGTTGAAAACTTATGGGTTCCTAGTGATTCAAAAAAGAGTAAACCTCATCTAACTGAAAGTGTGTGGCTGTTTTGTGGATCTCATGGGATGAAAGTGTGGCTTCCTTTGTTTCCAAAGCATGATCAGAACAATAAAATTTATACGTTTACAAGTAAAAGAATTATGTTACCGTTTAATTTGAAAATATACCCCTTAACAATTTTGTTTGAAGATGCAATCATACTTGGGGCAGAAAATGATACTGTTCTCTATACATCAGATACAAGTTCACCATTCATACTTCCCTTCAGCATACTAGGATTGACCAGTCAAGTTTATTTGCACCAAATACTTAGACAGCTTATTCATCGTAATTTAGGCTATCATGCTTGGGAAATTGCAAGATCTTGTACATCTCTTCCATATTTTTCCCATTCTCTAGAATTATTACTTCACGAAGTTTTGGAGGAGGAAGCGACAAGTAAAGAGCCTCTTCCTGATGCACAGCTTCCTTCAGTTGTAGAATTCATTCAAGAATTTCCTGGCTTTTGGATAAAAGCTATTGTTCAATGCGCAAGAAAAACAGAAATTGCTTTATGGCCATATTTATTTTCTATTGTGGGATCACCTAAATTGCTTTTACAAACGTGCCTAAATCATCAAGAATTAGAAACTGCTGCTAGTTATCTTTTGATTCTTCAAAATTTTGAAGCATCTACAATAAGTAAACAATACGCGACTTTATTACTCACTGCTGCAATAAAACAAGGAAATTACGAACTATCTCGGGATCTAGCTCGTTTTCTCAAAGCTGTTGATCCCAATGATATTGCAATAGATCATGATCTGTTAAATACTAATGATGTGATCATCAAACCTTAGGACTGTCTTTATCAATTGTTATATTTGTAATATATATATAATTAGTAATTGTAATATAATGAAAAGGATGTGATAAACATACTTCACTGAATTATTTATTGTATAATAATATGTAATTACATTTTTTATGATTAATAAATTAGTATATTTTGTTAACTTATATTATTTATCATTAATTAATGTGTAAAACATATAAAAATTAATTGATTTAAATTAAAGCGTATATAAATATAAGAAATAGTATTTGCATTTAAATACTGAGTAAAAATATAGTATAATTAATTATTTAATTTACCAACATTGGTGTCTAAAAGAACTTGAATAACTAGAAAAGAAATAAAAAATTGTTTTTCATGTTTTGCACTCTCATGCGAATTGAATATCGTAGTCTTATTATTTGTTTAATAATTTCGCTAATTAAAAATCTACTCGTGGGTATGTAATATTTTCTTTAGTTTCAATTTTGTAAGGGATAATTACATCTGTTTCACAATAATGTGAGCGTAAAAGAAAAGATATTCGTACATTCGAAAGGAGCCGCGGTCTCGAATGTGATCGTGAGAATTCTCGCACATACACTATTGTAGGCATACTATATATACGCACACGCATTTACAGCCGTTCTTGTCTTACAACCTTACATATACAAGCTATGTAGTATTATCGTTACATTACGCACGGTTCGCATGCGTATCCCGTATTCCCGTATTTTGTTTCGCGGTTTCAATAAACACATACATGTACAGCCGATGTGACTTGTTGCATTGTTTTATTTTGCATTCCGTTCAATTATGATTCGATCTGTGCCGATTTTTACTGTAAAGAGCCGTCTGAAATGAAACTAATTGTTTTGCTCTTTGTTTGCAATTGTTAGCATAATTACAGTGCTTTGATTTGACTTGATAAAATGGCTTCTACTGAGATAAATGAATTTTTGTGTGGACCATTAGTAACGTGGGTGAGTAAGTCTTTCAACAATAACCTTTGAAAAAAGTTAAAATACTAATTTATTCTTCATCAACAAATTTTTAACCTTCAAACTGACATTTCAGTTTATTAGTTGTTTGGAAGATCCAAACGCACTAACAAACTATGATGATCTAATTGATGGTGTATTGCTACATAACGTTTTTCTCCAAATGTAAGTACACCCAGAAACAATAACTATGAATCATGCTGACTAATCAAATGTACCTTCTAACATTTGTGTTTGTATTTTAGTGACCCTGAACCTCTGCATGATGGAGTCATACCAACGGGTGGAGATTTCAGAGTACGGATAAAGAATTTAGAGATAATTATTGACAATATTAAACAATTTTATGAAGAACAATTGGGCCACCTATTACTCACAATACCAAACATAATAAAATTAGGAAGGGATCCAGAGCGTAATGTTGCTGAAGCCAAGTTATTGTTGCTATTACTCTTAGGATGTGCTGTACAGTGTTCGAACAAAGAAGATTTTATCACAAGGATTAAATTATTAAATGTTGATACACAACTTGCAATAGTTGACTGTATAAAGCAAGTTACCGACTACCAAGACATTGTTGTGACTCAAGAATCCATGGAGAACGTAAATATGGGCAATGTTTTTGCAAAAGTTAAGAAGATTATACAAGAGAGAAATATGTATCGGCCTAAATTGAGGTATAATGCTAGCAGTAACAGCGAAAGTGTTGGAAATCTTATCAATGATAGTAATATGGATGATACACATGAAGATTTGGATATATCACAAGGTGTTTCCAATACAGATAGAGGAAATTTGTCGATGCCAAAAAAGAATAATTCTTCCATGACAAACAAGCTGGAAAGGTTGTTTAGCCCCAACAGTAGTGGCAAAGAAAGTAACTTCAGTAGAGAAGAAGTTCATCGTTATGCTGTTGAACTGGCAGATTGGAAATCAAAGGTAAGAAAACAGAGACAAGAACTAGAAGAAAAGACAGAAGCATTAGTTGAAATCAAAGAGGAGTTGGATCACAATAAGGCATTACTTCAAAAACTTCGAGAAGAGAATCAAGAACTGTTGATAGAAGCTCGCACTGCAAAAACATACAGAGACGACCTAGACGCCGCGCAAGAGAAAGCAGAAAGAGCAGATCGCTTGGAAGCTGAAGTAGCGCGTTACCGAGAAAAGCTCACGGACATTGAGTACTATAAAAGCCGAATAGAAGAATTACGCGAGGACAATAGAGTACTCATCGAAACGCGAGAGATGCTGGAAGAACAATTGAACTCGTCGCGAAAACGATCTGAAAAAGTACTGGAACTCGAGTCCGAAATCATCAAGTACGAGCAATTACTAAACGACATGGCACTCGAAAGCGTAGCGAACAAAGACAAGTACCAGGAGATTTGTGAGGAAAACGCACAGCTACAGCGTTTAATTAAGAGCGTGGCAAGCGAAGTAGCAAGTGGAGCATTGCCATCTATAGCAAGAACAGCAAGCGATTCTGAAGCTGAACACGGTGATGCTTCAACGGACAATCGATTGTCCGAGCAGCTGTCTAACAACGCACAAGCTCGAGCCTTGAAACTCGAGTTGGAAAATCGTCGTCTTACCAGTCTCATTGACTCGCTAAAAGAAAAATCTTTCCACGAAAGCTCTTCCAGGGTGCTCGAGTTGGAGAAAGAGAAGAAAAAATTATCGCTGAAGGTCGAGTCGTTGAACGACAACAGCGAACGACTCACGCAGCAAAACAAGGATCTCGAACTCGTTTGCAAGCAGACTCTCGAGGAAAATAAGAAGCTCCAAGCGGTTCTTTCGTCTCAGCGAAGCAATCTTGACAAGCAGCAGCAAGAGATTCAAACATTGCATACGAAGCTTGCCGAGGTCGAGAAAAACTACGAGTCTTCCATAGCCAAGGAACGTCAACGTCTTCAAACTTTGCTCGAGAGTGCAGAGAAACGTGCCGAAGACGCTGAAAGAACAATTGCCAGCAAGGAGCGTGAAGTGAACGAGCTGAAACTTACGCAGGACATGTCAAGTCGCGAGGTGAAGGAACGCCAAGAAGAATTGGAATCTAAGGTCGCTAGTCTTGAGAAAGACAAAGAAGTAACTCATCGAGAGGTGCAGAGACTCCGCGAACTCCTCGAACAGAGAGAGGTCGCGCTAGATGAAGCAGCAAACGAGATTGAGATGCTAGAAAAGAAGGTTGACGACTTCGAGCAAGAGATTGGCAATTCAGCGGCTCAAATCTCGCGACTGCGCGAGGTCGAGAGATCCAGCAAAGAATTAGACTCCCGTGCTGCCATCGACAGAGAAGCTCTGGAGAGTCTGCAGTCCAACCTTGTTGCGGAGAAGCTCAACGTCCAGCAGGTGCATGCGACTCTGGAAAAACTTGGTCTCGACGTCGACACCATCGTCTCCCTGCCTGTGGAAACAGTGCTCGACCGAATTGCCGAGATGCCAGAAGTTATCAATCGCGTCATTCAAAGGTCCAGCAGTAATACGGGTAATAAAGAGAACGCGAGAAAATCACTGGTCCAGTCGGAAGACCAGGAGAGTTTGCAACAGAAAGTAAACGTACTTGAGACTGCGGCTGAAATTCTACTGTCAGAGAAGGCAACGCTGCAAGTTCACGTCACGAGGTTGGAATCTCAAAGTGCTTCGTTGAGCTCGCAGCAAGCAGCTTTGCAACAAGCCAACTCGCAACTTGAGTCGGATATGGACCAATTAGCGAACAAGTATTCAATTCTTGAGCGAGATCACGAATATTTGAATCGTGATCAAAAACGACTCCAGTCGCTGCACGAACAACTCAACACGGAATATGAATCGTTATCGTGCGAGAAGGAGACGTTGAAGACCAACTTGCGTGATTCGAAAAACGAGGCGCGATTGCTAAAGGAATCCGTGGAAAGACTCGAAGCTAAGTGCATGTTATTGCAAGCCGAGAATGATGCCTTGCTCGCCAATGCCAAAAGTCTAAGTAATCTTCGTAGCGAACACTCGAAACTAAAGGAGGACTTCAGGAATCTCTATACTAATTTGGAAATTTTGAGAGCGCAATACAAGAGGTTACAGGAGGACTACCGTAAAACCAAAGTCGAAAATAACAGCATGACTCTCAAGCAGACGGAGGTACAAGGTGAATTGAGTGCCAAAGTTGATCGACTTGCTATTCTCGAGTTGGAAAATGAAAAACTGTCTCAACGATGCACGATGCTGCTACAAGTGAATACCAGCCTAGATAACGATCGCCGATCCTTGATGGATCACATATCAAAGTTGTTTGGCCAATACCACGAGTTGTTAACGCATTCGTTGGAGGACAAGGAGCACTACCATATGGAGGAAAAGATTTACACTGACAAGGTGAATCATTTGCACAGGCAAAAGGAGAAACTCGAGGAAAAAATTATGGAGTATTATCGTCAACTCGAGAGCTGTACCACAAAGAAGAAGAGTCTAGGTGCCAGTCTTGTGAGCCGTGTACGAAAAGCAAGCTCTGGCTTGTTCAACCGTACTAGTCGACGATCTTCCTGGAGTGCTAACAATACGGCGATGTCCGATGAGAATTGTCTTAAGTCTTCGTTCGCCAGCGAGGACAAATTTAACGATGGAGACGACGAGGATAATGTTTGCGAGTTGGACGAGGAGACAGCCAGACATCACGAGTCTAATTCCAGTGGTGACGATTCGCATATCATCGATACAAGCGACGTTCTTCGACCTGACGATCCATTGTCTTTGGCACATCCTGGTACCAGACGAACAGTTTACTATACGGATGACATCTCGCCGTCCTTAACTAGAACGACGAGTCAGGAGAAACGATCGGATCTCGATGACTCGTCACTCTATCATCAGCAACAGCAGCGCCACAACGAACAAAGTTACAGTGAGCCGCGACCTTTGCTTATCTACAATAAAGTCTCGGCGGTAATCAATGACTCGACAACCACCACTGCCAGCACTACGCCCAAGAGCGAGACCAAGGATTTCGATGGGTCCAACGACAAAGAGCGGAAGCCTACCAAAAAGCCCGTGTGGTATGAGTACGGCTGCGTTTGAGCTTCCAAGTATTATATATATATATATATATTTTATTCGCGTTCGTAGATTTGTTTCCTCATAAGCTGCTTTTGCACATTCATCGGTAATAATATCCATTGAATCGAAGTCATCGAACATGAGAGTATTTTCTAGTGTTTGCGCAATTGTTTTCTTCTATGATCCTCGCAGGGAAGCAGTGCTTTTTTTATATATAATATCGTATTGTCGTACAAAAAGCAGAAAAAGAGGTATATTTAAAACAAACAGAAAGCATCTAGGCGTGTAGTCAGCCGTTCCTAGACTTTAATGATAATAATAATTGTAATGAACGAGACTTTAACTTTTTTACTACTTTTTACAATTTGATAGATGACTCAGCAGATCAGAGTAAAACAAGTAGCCTATATTTTTTAGCCTGTTGTAACTTTTATACATATATTAGCGGAGAAATCTTTTTTTTAGTGAGAGAGTGTTAGTCTTTGAAAAAATTTGCATTTTTATATGATGAGCTTTATTGACCACGTTAGTGTCTCTTCCGCGGAGATATTCATTGTACGCTTTTGTTGTAAAGCTAGCTGGTATTTAAAAATGCGGCCTTATTATTATTCATCATCGCGGAACAAAATAGCGTTTATATTGTAACAGGCGATCGCAACGATAAGAATAGCATATCTGCGTGCAAGGCGATCATGCGCGCCGGGCGTAGCGAGGGCGAGAAGTAAAGGAGATCCTGTGGAAGGAGGGCTCGACACGCACTTCTCTTGTAGCCCTCTTTCAATTTAATTTGCGAGAAGACTCTCGTGCTCCGCTTTCATTCTTCGCTGTTGACAACGACAACGATCCGAGGGCTCTTACGCAAGCTCTGCCTTTGGCCAACAGGCCAGACTTCAGGTTTATGCTCAGAGTTTAAACTTGCTGCCTCGGATAGGGCGCTTCCCACTGCATCTAACGATCTAACGACTTCCGAGGCGCGAACGCAGCACAGCGTTGCGGCTTCTCCTACATTACTAATTCAACGGCTCGCAACTGCGTTATGTCTCACAACCCTCATCATTACACCCCTCACATTTAACGTTACAATGCATACATATATACACGTATATGTTTAATTGTGTAGGCTAGTTAATCCACATTTATTTTAGTACCACGAGATATGTACACCGTTTATAAATTAATAAGATATTGTACAAAGCGTTCAATCGACGAGAAAAAATGTTTTAATCCGATGTTTTTATTCCACTTAATAAAGAAACTATAAAACGCAAACTATAAAAGCCCGACTAAGTCTTTTCTCTTCGAGCAGTTCCTTCGAAATAATCGTACAAATCCAATCATAAACTTTTATCTCATTATCGATTCAGCAACAAAATACGCAACAAATTTCCAAGAGCGTTCAAAAATCAATAAAAATCACTTGGTTACCGCGCGGCAAAAGCAAGAAAAAAAAAACAAAACAAAAATCAGCCAGTCAGCCGCAGCAAAAACTCGCCCCTCTTGTCCTCATCCTCCTGTTCTCCGTCTCCCTCATTGTCGCATAAGGAATTAGCATGAGAAGTAAAAGTTTATTGTTTCGAAAAAGGAAAAAAAGCGGCGCTTCATATCCGGAGAAGCGGTCGCGAAAAAAAGTTCGGCGCGCTCGCAGTTTTTCGCGCGACGAGGGGTGGGGCTGTTTCGCGTACTGTATGGTGGGGTGGAGCGTGCGGCAGAGTGGAGGGGACGTAGCTCTTTCGGCCTGTCGAGGAGAAAGCCGCGAGCGCGCGCGGCGCCGCTCGGACAATGCGCTGCGCGCTGCCGCACGTGACACTCGCTTCTCTCGATAGCCGTGCACGCGCGTTTTTTTCAAACGCAACCAGCGACTGTTCAAATCTGTCTTTCTCCTTTTCTCTCCGCTTTTGCACGTCCAGCCTGCCGACTGTTCTGTCCGTCCATAGTAACTCGGCCTCTCTCGTAGTCGATCCTGCTCTCGTTGATGTTGGGTGGTTTTCGTTTGTTTGTTTGTCGATCGTCGGTGTGAGTTGTGTGAAACTGGTGCATGCGGTACGCTAGGCATTATCCCCGGGGCAGCAGCCGATGGAGGAGCCGGCCGCGACGACGCCCTCGCCGGCGCCTCCTCAGCAGCAGCAGCAGCCGGATCTGTTCACCAGTCCTCCGCGGGCAGCTCAGCAGCCGCAACCAGTGCGCATACTTGGCAGGAACGTCAACGGCACCGGTGAGTCTCGCACACACGCACACATACGTACGTCGGCGCCGTCGTGTCTGCTGGAAAAAAAAGGAGCGAGGGCAAAAAGCCTGGCCGCCCGCTATACTGCTGCTCTGGCGCTGCTCGAGACTAGTCGCAATCCTCGCGCGCGCGCGCGCGCGCAAAAACCGAATCTCCCGCCGCCCGCGGCTCTCCCGCGCGCACGCCGCTTTTTCTTACGTGCGCGGCGCCGCCGCCGCCGCCGCCGCCGCCGACGACGACGCCAGTCGCCCGCTTTTTCCGACCGACAGGCGAGAGCCGACGAGAGCCTGCTTTTCGTGCCATCTCCGCGGAGCGGCAGCTCCTTCGGGAGGGCCGAATTGGATTTGCTGCCCGCGAGCCGTGTTTTTCTCTTTATCGACTGCGATTCGTCGGTCAGCGACGTGCGCCTGTGACGTGCAGCCCGTGCGCGCCTACGCGATCGCAGGATCGCTCGCAAACAGATTTTCAATAAACGCACTCTCCGCTGGTGGAAGGCTTCGCGCACTCCATAAAAATTCTTGCTCGTTTTTCGAGCGAGCGCCGAGGCAGGAAGACAAAAAACAGAGCCTGTCTTTTTTGTTTGGCTCGGCTCGCGAGTTGGACGGCTCCGAGTTTTTTGCCCGTTACGTTGGGCTTTCTTGCTCGCCGCTCTACTTTTTTTTCTGACCGCCGCTTCGCTCTTTTTTTTTCGTTTTTTCCTCGCTTTCGTAGCTGACGGCCGCTCGGAAAACGGCGGTCATTCTTCTGATGAAAACGAGTCGAATAAAAAGCGCGCTGCAAAACAGTTTTGCAGCAGACGCAGAACAGCGGATACGGAGAGAAAACGAATCAAAAGCGCATTTTCAATGCGGATCACGTCCTCGTCGAGCTGCTAAGATTCTCACCTATTCGGACGCCTCACCTTTGCGCGCCAAATCAGTCGCGCGACACTGCCAATCGATTGCGTTAACAATAGATCGCCGTGCTAGCTCAGCCCGAATAGAATGCGGCTCTACCACTTTTTTTCGCGATTATGCTGACCTTTCTTTCACGGCGAGTCGATTAACAATGGAGCTCTTTGTACGAAAATTGTTTGTTGCGGACTGTAGGCAAACCTTTGACAGAATAGTTCGAAACTTGACATTGCACGCTCTAGCACGTCGACTGGTCAATCAGTAAAAGGGGCTGGCTAGCGATTTACCTTCCTTCCATTCGACGTAATCCGAGCCTTCTTACCGTTTCCCTCAGCTTTTTTTCGGCTTTATTTGCGCGCGATACGCCTTACCGCCCTCTTACCCATTTGAAGAAAAAACCTCCGGCTCGCGCGCGCACACACACGCGCGCGCACGCCAATGCGTACTTTCAATGTAGATGGACTCTCAGGCGAATTTCGCAGGGCGAAGATTCCATACATTTTTCGAGTCTTTGATAAATGATCTGGTCACTCCTTCTATATCCTCTTGATCCTGCCGAGGAACCAAAAAATGTTCATCATCTGCCGAGGAGGAGAAAAAAAACTTGTGCTTTTCTTTGCAGGCGATAGAAAAAACAAAGAAAAAAAAGCCGAGAGGCCGCGGGCCAATCGCATTCTCACCCGCTCGCTGAAAAAGAAAAAATTACCTAGGAATTTCTTCAAAGTCATCTAGTCCGCGCGTCCGACCTTGGCTTGTCAGAAGTGAGAAAAATCCACGCGTCTGCTTCCGCCGTTTTGCATCGAGAGGCTTCTTACCTCGATTGCACTTTCTTGACAAAAATAAATTAATTCGACGAGGCGATCGCAAAGCCCAGCGTTCGTCAATCGAAAGGCAGTCACAGGCCCGTATCTCGGGGGAGAAAAAAGCTGCACGCATGCAAAATACCAAGATCGCGGAGCAAGGGCGAACAATGCTCGGAGAGGAGAGCGGAGCAGCTGAGGGCATCAGCGTACACGTACACGTGGACGCGAACAGTGGCATTCGCGGAGTCTCGCGCGCGAGAAGGAGAACAGAGAAGTAATAAAAAGGAATATGGCTCGCTTGCCTCCGAGAAAAGGCCTTTTGCTCAATAGACGCAGCTGAGACAATAGTGCAATCTAAACAAGATCGTTTCTGTCGCGCTGCACTCGGCCGTGCGATTGCATCTGACAAATGAACAACTCAGCCTTTTTTCTCTTTTAACTCTTTCACGGTCGCTGCTATACTTTTTCGGGGGAGAGCGAGGGCTTTCAGGTTTCGTGCTGCGGTCCGAAGGCTCGGCGCTTTCGTGTGCCAAGTCATAATCGTGGGATGTGAATTCATTGTAAATTTAGGTGAACCCGACAATGTAAACACGCATCCTGGTCTTTCTGCAAAACCAATTCGGTCAGACTTTCATTGGCGGATATTTCAGACGCACGTTCCGGTCGCAGGTGGCGCCTATATTTTTTTAATCGAACTTATCGCACTTGCAAGTTGTATCAATTGCAGCGAAGGAAGCCATATGAAGCAACTTAATTAGCTGTAAGAGCGGTTTCAACGTTTCAGACTGCACCGGTAATGAGCTCGCGAACGTCAACGATAATTCAATTAAGCAACAAACAATAAGCATAACTCTGTGTTTTTTCCCGAAACAATAAGCCGCGCTCACTGTGGCAACGACTCATCGGCAGTGGCGACGGCGATTCGAAAGAAAAAAACTTAATTAAGCAGTAAAGCGCGCAAACGTAGTCGCGGCGCGTTGTTGACGCGCGTAAACAAAGGTGAGTCGATCAACGGCGAAATGACGGCAGTGCGCCGTCGTGTCGTAGCCGTCAACTTTCCCACGAGAACGAGCGGATCGTGAATATATTAAGTTTTTCGATGCCTTGTTTTTTACGCTGCGGGTACGTATGCCGCCTGCACCTCCGCGGAAGTAAAAAACTAGAAGAGCCGCGCGGCGAGCGAGAGGCAGGTGAGCGCTCACGCACGTCGCGCAAAAGGGGGGCAGCTTTTTTGCCTACGCCGTGCGCGCGCGCATACCGAGAGATGAGCTCTCGATGATTTTTTGCTGCGCGCGCGCTCCTTTTTCTCTCTCTCTCTCTCTCTCTCTCTCTCCTCGAAACTCTTTCCAGGGAAAATCTCTCGCAGGTGAATCGCGCGTCGCCAGCACCGATGGGAAAGTATCGTCGGACGCGAAATTGTTTCTGTTTTTCAGCTCGGACCTCGACGCCGCCGCGCGCTCCCTGCTCTCGCGAGGCCTGCGCGCGTAAAGGGGTTAAGTATGCGTGACGGTTTCTGTCAATCATCGTTTGGGACAATGCCAACGCGCGTTTGAGCTTGATTCCGGGTAATTAACACTGGCAATAGCGCGTGCGCTCGTACGTGAAGCGGCGTGCTCCGGCCATTCAGCTGCACAATCTGTATTTACACAGAGGCTAACGGATTTGACCGGTGCGACGCAACGGCTGCTTGCCAATTTTCATACTTTCAATTGCTCTCGCTGCTTCTTGCTTTAAGAGTACAGCTCAGCTGAAGTAATGATCGCTGCTTAGGTCATGTAATTACGTCCCGACAATCTTGTTTATCTGAAATTCAATTTCATTAAAGCCTCAGATTAGCATGACTGTCGTATCTATAAGCTAAGACAATTATCGCTAGTGCACGTCACGGCATAAATAACAAATACTTAAAATGAGGAACATTTTTATCCTATAATGGAATATCAGATAGATAAGAATATATATATGTACATTTTTTTGGGATACTTTTTTACTAAGTTTTCGAAAATGGATTTTTCAAAACTCAACAGAATTGTCGATAAACAAAAAAAATTTTCTTAGACATTCAACATTTTACTTTCTCACTTTCTCACTTTTTATTTTCTTTGTTCATTTATTCAGTTGCACAAATGCAAGTCAGAGGAGATCATAAAGCGCTCGTAATGATCATCAATTGAAAAGACTCATAGATTTATTATAAAAATGCATCAGTGCATGAGCAAAAATGGTAGTGTAACAATCGAGTACACACTTGTGTTAATATACTCGACGTGGCTTCAAATATTTTGATTAATGGCAGTGGCAGGTGTTACCGACACATATTCCACCACGATGACCTGTTTTAACGCAATAACTTTGACACTGTAACCCATCACAACCTGAAACGATGTTAGAAGCGTTCAAAGTTCCATTGTAATCTGGCTGTTACGAAAACTCCAAATGAACGTGGAATTTTGGTTTTGTTATGAACTTACCTTTTGACTGAGCCTTCGTGATGAGAACGAGAACGACGATGAGTAGCGGCAAGTAGTGCAAGAATTGCATGTTGGATATCACTTGTACTACGTACAACCAAATGCCAGACTGATCTAATGATATCACGCAGGTTAGCACACAAGTGTAACGATCGATCAGAGTCATCTACATCGCGCAGCTACACTGCTGTGTCACTGATTGCAAATCAGCCTAGTTTGTAGCACTGACGGTATTTACCGACATATATTCCAATTGGATTTGACACTGCGTTTTATCACAGCCTGAAATCAGATTATCAGGTACAATCGTTAGTTTGCGTTTGTCGAAACTCGAAAGACAACGCTGAGCACGCTCTAATTTACCTTTCGCCTGAGCGTCGAGTACGAGGACGAGGACGACGACGAGCAGCAAGAGGAGACCAACGAATCGCGTATTCAGTATCGACTGCGATTTATTACCGTCCGCGCGACTACCGATCGGACTTGCGCTCAAGCTTTCTCTGTCTATCTAACTTGGTCCAATGTGATTTTATGGGTCTCGCGCGTGAACAAGCATGGCTGGCAATCCTCCCACTGCGCGATCGCGCCGCTATCACCCACTGTAAATCCTGCACGAATAATCAAGACAACTTTTTCTCGAGACGCGAAAAAAATTGCTTTATCGCTATTCGTCGGTATCAGAGCTTCAATAGGAGTTATTGAACTTGTGGCCAGACTGGTCGCTCTAGAGTTACATCGTTGACCCCTGCACGCTCGCGGAGTGCATAGCTCTTTTTACGCTTCGCAGATTCACGTTCGCGAGCCCTCGATTTCTTTTCAAGTTGCAACGTTTCTTTCGGACACTTCAAACTGGTACATTGTCGTTGTATAAAAATATGGAAGAAATGTATTTGCGATTCTCTAGCCAATTGTCGGTTCGTTGAATTGATTGAATTGATTGATGTCGGATCGAGCTCAACAAGTTAACCTGTTCACTCGTCTTTCAGCACGCATTGTTTCAAAACTCTCGATACTATCGAAATTTGGAGTGCAGTTGGCCTATACTCGTGCAGTAAGACGAAGGTAATCTACGATAAATCGAATAGTTGTATTAGCGACAAAAGGACTTGGCCAACAACAGACTCCATTAACTTCCGAGTGAAAAAAATCCCCCGCGACACTGGCGTTCACCCCAAACCCCTTGCGTAGTCATCGGCCATGCAGATGCGTGCGCGTGCGAAGATCCATCGTCGTTTCGCAATAGACACGACACGCTGCGCGTCTTTTTTTCTTCTTTCGCGGCGTTTGTCGCACCTCTTTTGGAGCAGAGGTCTGTGTGCGCGCGCGCGCATGGGAAAGATTTTTTCCATCTTACGGGATAATGCTTGGGAGACTGGCTGTACACGGGTGGCGGCGCGACGACGGCATTTGCATACGGCCACAAGGGGTTACGCGACAAAGGGTGACCATCGCGCGCGCGCACATCACCCTACCGGATTATACTCGGAAAAAAACAACAACACTTTTCTCGTTGATCAGCTGCAAGTTAAAGGTCGGATGATTTTTTTTTTCGAGAGAAAATTGAAAAAAACGTACGTGAATCGTGAGAGAGCGCACGAGTGGAGGATTCTCCGCGCGTCTTTATGATGCGAAATGACTTAGCCTGGGCGCGCTGTATGTAAACGAGACGACGAGGGTCAAACGCGTACACCACGCGATGATATTTGATTTTACGCTCGTTGGAGTGAAGTGTGCAGAGGCTGCCCGGTGCTGTCGCGCGGCACCGATGGATAATACGAGCTGTCTGCCTGCTTGTTGATTGTCATCTCCGATTCCCTCGCTTTTCCTCGCACTAGGTTTTGCTTTCAAATACTCACTAGTGGAATTTTTAACTTGGCGAGCCGTTGCGAGCCGTTAAAACCAACAATCACGAAACTTAAGTCGGTTACGCCAATGAAGATGTTGTTGATATTTAATCGTCGTGGTTATAAAGATGGATTTTCACGAGACATCACATTTTAACGTTACGCAATTGCGAATTCTATGTATCTACGTTCCCGAAGTAGCGATTTCCTTAAAGTTACGTCTACTCGCTTTGCGCGAAAAATATATTAAAGGTCGACAATTACGATACGCACGGCCATGCCCAAGTTGTTAATTTTGGCTTATCGAAGGAATGTTTTATTTTTATTTAAATGATTTTTCAGAGGAACATTGCGATATCGCGCTGATGAAATATTTTCGCCTGAAAATGTTGAGAATCATAGCTACATTTAGAGTTTATAGCTCGCCGTTGTTTCGTGAAACATACAATTTCAACATCGGCTCAAACTGCACTTTCACAAGTCCCTAGTTTTTGCACCTATGAAATAATGATAGAATCATTTTGACAAATGACTTTTGATGAACCTTGACAGGAATTAGCCATAAAATCTAATATTCGCATAATAATGTAAACAACATGAAAATGGAACGATATGTGAATTTTTTATCACGAATATGTGAATTTTGTTCGTTATGTAGAAATTTTATGATCAATTACTTAGATGCTTTAGTGTTTTGCTTGTAAGTAGGCTAAATTATTTTGACAATTATTAAAATTAGTACATCGTATAACGGAAACGCAAAGTACGAAACTTCAACTGAAGATCTTAAAACAATTTGAATTATTCAAAATTGTTGTCACATTTTTGCTTTGATTTCGCAGGGATTCGCGCACGGTCACAGCATTTTTCAGAGCAAGTGCTTGTTTTGATTATTCCTGGAGATTCACATTGAGCTAAAGCAGTGTGGCTGTACGGTAGGAGAAAACTGGACCTTGATCATATGCTTTTAGAAGCTAGTTGGCACTTGGCTCGAGCAGAAAGTCTGAGATACCGGTATATATCATCGAAGTTGCAGGGTTCGGGTTTGGGATTACTGAAATCGCTATCGATATTAAAGATGTAATTGTCGCACTGCCCCTTGCTCCTCGTCTTTGTTCTCGCCCTTTTCATGGAGGTTCAGAGCTTCTTCGGTGAGTTGATAATCAAATAAAACCTGAAATTTGCTCTCAAGCTTAGTTGACGAATAGTTGATAATAATGGTAACGTACTTTCAAGGTACTCCCTTTAGATTATGCTAAGGGTGGTGTTTTTTGGAACATGTGCCAGGGACGGCCGCGAATGCTTTGTCTGATATCGCACAAGAATACTCATAAATTTTATAAACTTTATTAGCGCACTGTATTCTCTTAAGTAAATTAAAATAAACGCCTTTTGAGTAAATTGATGAACAATTTTGTCGAGTTTCGACAGATTACATTTTACAGATATTCGCCAATATGTACGACGCGCATTATTTCATACAATCAACTTTAGGCTGTGCATCGGCAAAAGTGTATTTGTTGATTCACACAATTTAAAGTGATACATCATACCGCGACGTTACTGACATTTTTTAAACAATAACTGTAATTACTTCTACATTAAAAGTACATTTGCAGTACACAAAATCTATCATTTCGTCAACGTATTAGGCTAAAACAATGCACTTTTGCTATAATATTTATTTACAGTACTATTTATGTTAAAACAATTTATCATTTATTTAGCTATGTTCGTGAAAGATTTAAAGAATAGTGTTTATTTGCTATCCTTTTGATTACTATTTCAGTTTAATTTTTCAAATTAACTTGAAATCATAATGGTACGTTCAGTAAACGGATACGCACGCTCTATAATTAAGTCATGAAAATTAAATTTTTTTTCAATCGTAATAACGCTTCGTTTAGCTTCAAAAACTTTCTACAGAAAGCAGTCGGAACACATTAAGTCACTTCACGAACCTATTATTCTAAAAATTATTCGAATGTATTAATTTTCATCACAAAAAGAAATGTTTGAATTAATTTTTTCAATATATCCCCCGCCATTTTTAATATCGTCTCTTTCGCGCCAATCCTTTCGAAACTTATTTAGGCTCCGAACAAAAAAAAACCATAAAGAAGATAAAAATCATGCAAATGACGATCGACCATTTTGTAATATCTTGTAACGTACTCTGGGTAATGTCGCAATGTCACCCAAAGCGTTTTTCACCCAACCAGCTTAGACTCTGCCCCATCCTAGATATCCCTCCGCATATAACAAAAAAAACGCATATAACGGTTGAAGACTACGTAATACAGCCTTGCGAATCCAGCGCAGATGCATCGCGCGTGCAAAACGTCGGCATACAATGGCGCGAATTCGCTTTTTCTCTCTATCTCTCTCTTTCTCTCTCTGGCTGCACACAGCCCACCATTTTCGAGGGGTCCGATGCCGTCGCGAGGGGTGGGTTTTACGTTGTTGCGGGGTGAGGCCCCGCCAGCGTGAGAGCCACCCAATAGGATCGCGGAGAATGCACGCAGCTCGAAAAAAAAAGTATGCACGTGCACTTGTGTGTGTGCGCGCGCTTGGTGAGGGGGCTCAGGCAAAAAGCTTGCTTCAGTCGAGCGACTCAGTCCATCTGCGACTACGGCGACGTCGACGACGACTCGGGCGGCGCGGTGCAAAAACTCGCCTAACCCTTCCTTGATTACAATGACGGCAAAAAGCGAAATACTAACCGCCGTCGGCGGCGGCGGCGTCGGCTCGCCGGAGAGAGAGAGAGAGAGAGAGAGAGAGAGAGAGAGAGAGAGAGAGAGAGAGACTAAGAAACTAGACTCGTTTTTGCTCGGAATATACGCGGCCCGGCCAAGACGCTCTGCAACGCCGAGTATCGCAAAGAAATGAGAGCTCCTACTCCGCTTCTTTTCCCTCGATTCTCCTGCCCATTGTCTCTCTCTCTCTCTCACTCTCTCTTGCGCGTGCGCGCATTCAACCATTATCTCAGCTCCGCACATATGCTCGCACGAAGGAGCTTCGCGGGAGGGCAACGACTGCCGCCGCAAGTTTCGGCGCGTCGCAAGCTCGCGGATAACCGTCCGGGCGAGCGGGCCGCGCCGAGACGGCCGAGGGCGCGCGTAACGCGAGGCCCGCCGCTGAGCGGGCTTTTTTGCCGCGCGCGTTCCTCGATGGTAAAGCGATCCTGTTCGTTTTTACGCGCCGCCCTCTCTCCGCGGAGCCCACTAATTTATACGCGTGCGTGCACGCGCCGCCGTTTCTTCGGGCCGCGGAACCGGGGCGTTCCGCGAAATTTGCAACAACTAATCGGCCGAGCTGTTTTTACACGCAGCCCCCTTTGGCTTGTCTTTCGCAGTGGTGCAGACCTCGATGCCACAGAACGAGGCCGAGCTGCAGCTCTACCGGGTGATGCAGCGAGCCTCGCTGCTCGGCTACTACGACACTCTGCTGGAGATGGGTATGCTTGGCGAGCCCCGCGCTCGGCGCCGCGTCATTACTGACCGGGTCTTTGCGCAGGTGGTGACGACGTGCAGCAGCTGTGCGACGCCGGCGAGGAGGAGTTCCTGGAGATCATGGCGCTGGTGGGTATGGCGAGCAAGCCGCTGCACGTCCGGAGGCTGCAGAAGGCCCTGCAGGAGTGGCTGACCAATCCGGGTAATTACCACTTGCGCGCTCGCTCTGTGCACGGCCGTTCGTGCCCGGAGCGTGCTTTCGATAACGAAAAGCGCCGCGCTCGCAGTGTTGTTTCAGACCCCGGTGATAGCGCCTGCGGCAACCAGCAGCAGCAAGGCCCCGTCCACTCCGGTGGCGTTCCCGTGCCTGGGAGGCGGCAGCGGTGGCGGTGCCTTCAACCCGCGGCCGCAGCTGCCTTCCTCCACCTCCATCACGGCGCAGAGCGCAAAGGCCATGGCGGCGGCGGCGGCGGCGGCGGCGGCGGCAGCGGTGGCGGCGTCGGCCTCGGCGACGCCTGCTGCCGGTCCGCAGCAACATCTGCCGAACCAGCCGGCCGCGGTGGCGAGTAGCGCCTGCTGCCCAGTCGCTCAGAGGAGGAAGAGCCTCAGTCCACCGCCGCCTGTGCTGTTCGCCGCCGGCGCCGCCGGACAGATGCACGCCGAGGTCGCGCAGCCTCCGCCGGCGCTGTCACGTAGTCCGGGAATCGTGCCGGTGAGCTGCTGTTTTTTGCCGGCCGGCGACCGATATCGCATGCCTCGGCGAGCCTCGGCTTTTTCGGTCGCGCGCGCACCAGAATTATTGTTTGATTAAGGGGGGCTTTGGACATTCCGGGCGCGGTTGGCGTTCCTGCCGCAAGACTCGCCGCGCGCCGAAGGACAACGGCCACGGTGCTTATAACGATCGGTGAGCGCACAAAACACTTGACGACGAGCTTTGTCTTGGTCGGAAGGTTGGCAGCTACGACACGAGCTCGTGCGGAAGTCAAGGCACGACGCCGAGCCCGACGGGCAGCAGCGCGATGCTGGCGGCGCCGCCGAGCCCGACGGCGATGCTCGGCAGTCAAACGACGCCGGTGCTGCTGGAGTCACAGGTGCAGCGACTGGCCGAGGCCGCCGAGCGGCTGGCCGCCAGTCTGCGCCCGCTCAATCCCAAGCCGTCCAGCGGCGTCAAGAAGAAGATGTGCAAGAACCTGGAGGTACTGGCCTCGGCGAGCGAACGAGGCTCGCGGCTCGACATTTCTGATCGAACGATTGCCAATTGCGAGGGCAGATGGTGATGGCGATGCCGGACAGCGAGCCGCGGCGCATGCAGGAGATACGCAAGTACGCGGCGATCTACGGGCGCTTCGACTGCAAGCGCAAGCCCGAGAAGCCGCTGACGCTGCACGAGGTGTCGGTGAACGAGGCCGCGGCGCAGATCTGCCGCTTCGTGCCGGCTCTGCTGACCAGGAGAGACGAGCTGTTCCCGCTCGCGCGCAGAGTCGTGCGCGACTCGGGCCACTACTACACCAAGGGCCTGTTGCACACCTCGTGAGTATGCGCCCCGTCCCTCCCACTCCCGCCGTAGGACCGGAGCAGTGCGCGGCCAATCATCGGCGATCTGCCACGCAGGTCGAGCACGTCGCCGCGGGCGGCGCGCGAGAACGGCGACGGCGAGCTGTCGGCCGGCGACGAGGAGGCGACCAAGCGACGCAAGCTCGACGACGAGCCGAGCGCCAAGGACGCCGAGTCCGCTCAGCAGGTTAGCTCATCGCCCACCCGCTCGCAACAGTAAGGCAATCGCACTAGCCGCTCGCTGTCGCACTTGCGCTGACTGTCGGCTCGCGAGAGCACGCTTAACGAACGGCGCCGCGCACTCGCCCTCGAGGACGTGCGCTTTGCGCGAGGCAACCGAAAAGGTCAAGTATGCATGCTGCGTGCGAGCGAGAGCTCTGGTCGTGTGTGCCTGGTGTGCCTGGTGTGCCTGGTGTGCTTCTCTGTGTGTTCTCACGTAGATGTAGCTCTCAGACCGTTTGGCCTGGCCTGAACTGTGGTGTGCCGCAAGCTTTCCTGTCGTTGCTGTGCTTTACCGCCCCATTGCCGAGCAGCGAGGCATTCTCCGCGCTCGCGCAGAATGCCCCTCTGCTCCCAGGCTGCTTCGTCAGTCTGTCGCTCGCATGCTTTTCGGGACGCGCTCGCTCCTCCCGTATCCGTTTGTAGCAGATACCTGCGTGTTCCAGGCGGACAGCGGCGCGCCAATCGGCTGCCTCGGCTTCGCGCGTAGCTCGCTCATGGCCATCGACTCCGACAGCAATTCCATGCACGTGCACCGCAATCGACATCGCAAGAGGCAGCGTCGACGCCGACCCATCAAGCTCCTGTCCAAGTCTTTGTCGAGGTCCGCCCCATCGACCGAGCCGCGCCTCGGGTTTCCGCGGAAGCTCGGCCTCCGAGCTCTTGCGAAAGCCTGCGACGGCCGATTTGCCATTCTGACGAACGATCGATTTCACAGTCCAGTGTGGCAGTCGTGCAGCGATAACAGCAGCATCGTTTTGGACGGGATCGGCGACGGACTCGAAGAATCCAACGATTGCTACTCTTCCTTCGAAGAAGATTGGGACGATTGCAATGAGGATGACTGCGACAACAATTTTGGGATCGAGTCGGACGAAGCCGCCGAGAACGACGGGGATGAGGACATCGAGGCTAGTTCGATGTCCAGGCTACACGTGAGTCTTGGACGGTGGAGCTGTCGTGGCAGGGGCCTGCCAATTTCCAATCGACGCGTGTGCTTTCAGGACGAGCAAAACAGACTGAACACCGAGGACGACGACGTCTCCTGTATGACTGACAAAGAGAATGATTTCAACCTCAAGGTACTCGCACGATTCGCCTTCAATGCTCCAAGCAAAGCTAAGGCGTTCTTATCTCTTCGCTTTCTTGCCTCTTTTACCTCTCAAGGTGATCGCCTCGTGCGGAGATAACATCATAGCCGTGGCCAATCCCGCGCTGATGAGTCGCGCCAACCAACAGCCGGCTGTGCTGACGAAGGAGCCGGTGCCGGCAATCAAGGAGGAAATTCTGCTGCGCGACAAAAGAGACTGAACTTTACCTACCGAGCAATAAATTGCGCTTTTTGCACTTTCATCGAAGCTTCCAATTGTCTTTTTTATTATTGTTTGGCGTTTTCTCTTTTGCAATATCGACCCGAGCCTCATGTACATATTCGACGGAAATTAAAATAGTTTGTTAGATAAAACACTTGAGTTTTTTCTTACCCTGCTTATCATTACTCCTATATAATTATATTCCTGAGATGCGTGGCCAAAGCAAATGAGTCAATGTATACAATAGCCAATGTATTGACAATCTATTAAGGCAGGGTGCATTGTCTTGTAAGTGAAAAATAACTTAATAAATACAACGATAATCTACTGGCATAATTGATTATCTCGTCCTAATTTACTACGCCAAGTCCAATACGTCAAGAAAATAAATACAGAACTCGCTTAGTATAGAGTAAACTGCGCGCATGGATGGCGGGCCAATCGCGATACTGAATGATCAGTGCTCACTGCGGAGGTGACGTCGACAGTTACGGCGTGTATATAGTAGTGCAGCTCTGAACGTTTCACTGCCACCTCATCGCGAGCAATGTTGACGACGAATATGTATTGAAAGTGCAGGATTTTGCGGCAAGAAGTCGAGGTGCGACAGTCATTTGTGTATCTTCACTCATAGTTCCTGCTGTTAGATGATCATTGGAAAAATGAACAAGAAGTGCGGAATTTTCGGACTGCTGTTACTGTTCGTAGCTCAAGCACAATGTATTATGTGGTATCAAGAACCAAATGCGATCAAGTGCCTCAGAGAAGAGATCCAAGGTAATGTTTTGGTCGTCGGAGAGTACGAGGTTTCCGAAGTTTTTGGGCAGAAAGTCAACTTTGTGGTAAGTTGAATAAGCAGACCGTAATTTTTTAGTTGACTTTCCAGGTTATGTGTGATAACCTTCAATATGTTCAGAAAGACAATTATTTATTTGTCGTATTTGTGTTTTTCACTGGTTGTTGAAACTTAAAATTATAACATATATCACGTAATTATTTCTGAGTATTATTTTGAGAGTTAATGAGTTTTTTCAGACAAGGGACTCTAAAGGACACATCCTTGCTCAAAAAGATGATGTGCAACAAGGAAAAATTTTTAAATTTTCATTTGTAACTGAAACATATGATACTTTTGAAATTTGTTTCACGTCTCATGTTCCACAACGTAAGTCATATTTGAATCATTCTTAATTTAAAGTTAATAATTCAGTAGTTATAATTGAATTCAATCTTGTAGATCAAAGAGGAGTCAAGCAAGAAGTTACTTTGAATGTCAAGAAAGGAATCGAAGTCAAAAACTACGAGGGAGTAAGTATCTTGTCAAGATTTATATAGAAAATTTAAATTCTTAAATAGTGATATTGTATATTTATGATCAATGTATTTTTCGTAATTTTTATTTCTTTCATATTTGGCTTTTATGGGTGAGCAGGTCTTGGTAAAGTCACTTTGATTTTGTGTTTATTTATTTAGCATGTTTTATGATGTTGCATTTGGGTAGTTCACAAATTCAACTTATATGTATTAGAATAGAGTTTTCTTATCATATGACAGTACAAGTCTAGAGCTGATGGCATGATAGCAAAACCAAAAAGATTATACTTGTAATCAGAGTATTAAGGAGTGTTTCCCTTTTAAAAATTGTTTTATTATAAATCCTAAGTCACTAAAATCTCACTAAAGTTTTTGAAGCTGTAATTTTTGCTCCATTGGTTTCACTTTTGCAGTATCTGTGAACTGATATTAGTTTTCTAATCATCAGTGGTAATCATGAAACTGTCTTTTTCAATAGATTGGTGAAGCAGCCAAATTGAAGCCTATTGAAGTTGAATTGAAACGGTTAGAAGATTTATCTGAAGCCATAGTACAAGACTTTGCAAGGATGCGTAAAAATGAAGAGGAGATGAGGGATACAAATGGTAAATAATTGATGGTAAATTTAGAATTTCTAATTACATAAATTTATTTTCCTATTTCAGAGACAACAAATTCGCGTGTACTGTACTTTAGCATATTCTCCATGCTGTGTCTATTAAGTCTTGCTACCTGGCAAGTTTTCTACTTGAGGCGTTTCTTCAAAGCAAAGAAACTTATTGAATAGTGATCTTGGTACTTTAATGACTTTTGCTGTGAGCCAAGTCTGGGAAGACTTGATTGCATGTCATTTTTTTAATGAACTGTAATGTAAGTTTATGGTGTGATTGAATTTTGAAAAAAAGGCTTGGTATACAAGTTGAGTAATTATAATTACATATATTGGAGAAATTTACATTAAAAGAAGATTGGTACATCATGTTTCATCAATCACTTTTGTACAATCTGCCATTTTTAAACAATTTATCAATAATAAATAATAATGTTGTACAGTAATTTAAATCGTTTAGTTTGTTCAGATTCATTATGTATTCAATTTTTACAGGACAAAGTTTTCTTTTCTGATATTGATAGTGGCTTAGAAAACATTGTGAGTTTTTTGTATTCAGTTCAAGTTCAAATGTTACAGTGCTAAAACTTTTGTTAACTGCAATAAAACTGGTAATTGCTTTCTAAAATTTGTTGGTTACTTAACACTATTCTCAAAAAAATATAATTGCTATATTTTATAATTATTAAAAATTATTGAAATATTTTTAAATTTGTGAATATCATTTGTATGTAGAAAGTATTAAAATGTTAATTAAATTAGGAAAATGAAATTATGCTTTATTAATCAATTATACAAATTTCTAATTAATTTATTAATAGAGTATAATAAAATGATTTTTCTACTTTACCAACGTGCTAATATTCAGTGTATATGTATATCGAATGATCCAGTTCATCCAGTACGCTTAACCATGCGGATATGTCTACATCAACATAACCTTAGTATATTATGTAGTAACATTCGTGTCTCACGACTTAATAATTATTTTAAAGTCTCACCGTTGGTTTAATAATGTCTGAGTCTACAAGTTTTGTATCAAGCCGAAATCGAGACTGTGCCGGCTGCAGACTTATCAGTGGCACTGGACTTATTGGTGCCGGGCTTTACATCACTTATCACGCCAGATATTTTGATAAACCAATTGGTCGAATGATCATGTTGGCTATTGCTGGATGTAAGACAATTCTTATAAGTTTTTATGTATTGTTTGTTTTCTTTTAAAGAAATTCAAATACTTTTCCGAGGTCTTTACAGCATCAATTGGCCTTGGGGCAGCACGAATTATGGATTTACCTCCGTTTCGTAATCAATTTGGACATGATCGAGAAGAAAAGGATAGTTTATGAATCCATGGGAATTTAATTTAGGAGTGATTTTGTATTTTTTCAATTATGTTGTGTTAATATTTTTTAAATAAATAACATACGTATTATGCATAATACATCATTTTGAGTTGATAATTATAATTTATTTTTATTGTTTATAATTGTTGCGTATTAATGAAAATATTTTCATCATTTATTTTTTAGGGTTTTCTTGAAATTCCGAAAAATTGACAGGTATTCGAAATTACAATATCACTTTTGTCGTGAAAATAAAACAATAAAATATTTTTACCATCAGTCAGTACTTGTATAAAAAGATCATATATTGATGTATTCTCTCCATTCCGTATGACCGTGTGTGTATACGTGTATGTGTATGTACGGGGCCGATTATGTATAACCTATATTCATATTGTTATTGATCGCAACTTTTTTCTTGCGAGTCAAATCTGGTCAAATAGATAATCAATTAAACATTTTAAGTATATAATAATAGTTTCTCTCTTCATTATACAATGTCGGAAGCTACAGAGTTGGAAATGTCTGAAGAGACAAAGATGAAATTAAGTAGATATGTTATTCTTACTGCAAGTTTTGGATTTATCATTACTGGCCTCTATAGTGTCTTTCGCATGAGATATTCTACTAAATCTGGCAGAGCACTTATGATGTTATTTGGTGGACGTAAGATAAATTTTATAATTCCAAACATAACTATTTATTTATTTAAAACATATATTGACGGTCTTTTCTTTTAATTTACAGTTCCAATTGGTTACGGGTTGTCACAAATTGTGAATGATCAACTGCGCCATCAAAATCCAAGTGAAAATCAGACTAATGATAATAAAGATAAACCGTGAAAAGTTTGATATTCAGAATTTCCGATAGGTTATTCAAGTTATAAAAATACTTTTGTAAATAAAGACATGATATAACGCAATAATATAAATATTCCAAATTACTAAAGGTTGTATGTATTATCGTACATACATGTATTTCTCTGTTGACTGATTCATAGTGGTTTACTTTTTTCATTTATTTATTCTACGTTTTTCCAGAAAATCCATCAATTTATGAATTTATAATAATTAAATACATATATTTATATATATATGCAATTAAATTTTCGTTACCATCAGATAATAATTTGATATATAATTTAATTAATGCAAGTTCAAGCAACGTTGCCATAAATAAAAATCACTGCTACCAACTCGACCATCGGAATATCTTGGATGTTTTGGCTTGCCAAAATGATTTGAAGCAATTTATTATTTCACCCTAAGAGGGTATACATATTCAAAATTCACTTCTATCATGTCAAGTTCAGTGTCACAATTATAAAAATAGAACAGTGATTGAACAATAAATATTCGACGAAATATCATGAAACAATTGTTGATAAGGTTAGAACAGATGATCATATTCTATCAGTCATCATAGAATGACGCAAAATTTGACATGACAAAGGTGCGTAGTCATTTAGAAAGTTTTTTAACGTATATAAACGTGGCACAGTACGTTCCATACTCACTGTTCTGTTAGCAGTAGCTTGTGCAATAACGTAAAGTAATAACAAATTATTTCTGAATTAATACATAAAAGGTATGTAACTCAGTGCCATATTTTATCAGTTAAACAAATAAAATTCGTCTATTTTATTAATTTCTTACGTTTTCTTATTAGATCTAATAAAAATGGAATTCCCAAAGTTGGGAGAGCACTGCTCAGAGAAAACTTGCAACCGCTTAGACTTTCTACCTCTCAAATGTGATGCTTGTCAAACAATTTTCTGCAAAGATCACATATCTTATGCAGAGCACTCCTGTCCTAGTGCTTACAAAAAGGATGTTCAAGTACCAGTTTGTCCATTGTGCAATGCTCCTGTACCATCCAAGAGAGGAGATCCTCCTGATGTTGCCGTAGGACAACATATTGATAATGACTGTAAATCTGACTATGGAAAGAGTCGTAGAAAAGTTTTTGCCAACAAGTGCTCATCAAAAGGCTGTAAAGTTAAAGAAATTGTTCCAGTAAAGTGTTCAGACTGCAGTAGGAATTTCTGTTTGAAACATAGACATCCGACTGATCATTCTTGCTTAGGTAAAGAGGAAGCTATGAGACTTAAAAGATTAAGTGCATTAAATAGGTCTACACTTCAAAATAGTAGCAATGCATGCAATTCACACTCACTTAGAAATTTGCAAGGTACTTTGAGTGAAGATGAAGCTCTTGCAAGAGCACTGCAAGCCTCTCTTCAAGATCAACAACAAGCTAATGAACCAGTGCCTTGGGCCAGTCGTGACAAATGTAGATTATCTTAAGTTTACTTTATTCTCATGTAGAAAATCTTACGTATAAATATGAAAGAAAATGGTAAAAGTTGTTTTTGATAAATTCTCGATCTACAGTAAAATGTTAAGTCTGAAAAAATTGTTTTATGACAAGTCTATTTAAAAATAAAGTTGTACCACATTCTTTATGTAATTTTGTTTTAAAAATAACTTAAGATGCAGATATTAACAATTTTAGAATTTCCATTTAAGCGTGGAATATTACATTTTACACCTATTAAAGATTCTATAATACAGAAATAACTAATTTTAGATATTTATATTTTTATGTATAGTGAATATTCCGCAGCATAACGAAAAATTTCATTTCATATATTTGTAATATTTTACTAAATTTAACACATTTTTAATTAAAATTTAGAAAATATTATATACAGCGAATATTATAAATTTCTAAAACTACATTTGAATAATGTGAATTGTGTAGCAGAAAAACTTGGATATTCCATGAAAGGTGATTGCCATATAATAGTTCTTCATTCCAAATAATGTTCGAGTTTTGATTATATTGTATTTATAACAAAAGTTTGTAAAATTTATAATCATTTGTAAATTATGTATGGGTTTTATTGCCATCATAAGTATAATGTATAAATAATGATAAATAAAAAAAGAGCTTACAATGTAATAAATTGAACATGAAATATTTATCTGCCAACTTTACCTAATTTTGTATCAGTTTTTGGATTAGCTGTAATAGTTTGAACGGTAACTATGGCCTCGTTTATTTTTGTTTGAAGATCTCGCAGATCTTGAATATACAATAAACTTAAAACTTTTGCTGCGTTGTTGAGAGCAGCATCACCCATATTAAATCCAACATCAGTGTCCATGATGGGAAAAGGTTTACCTCTGATAATAACAGAGTTAGGATTTTGCACTGCATTGTGATTCAGTCTTTTACAAATTAGCTTGCTACATGCTTCAAGTGTCACTAAATGGTTAGGATGTTGTGGTACTCTTAATAGTTTAGCTATTATATTTACACCATTCTTGAATTCATTACTTTGAACTGAGAATAAAATAATTATATTAGTTGTACAAAACAAAATTTCTGTGCTGATTTCATTGCCTAATAATACTTACAATCTAAATTATCTAGTGGATTCGTAGATTTAATGTTAGGAGCTGCTTCACTTTTACTCTTTTTGTTGGTAATCACACTCTTGTACTTATCGCCTACACATCAAGTTATAGAAAATTTTCAATCGTTAATAGTAATATACTTAAAAAAAAGAAAAATGCAATGGAAAATTTACTTACAGTTGTCCTCAAATTCCAATCTTACTGCTAAACCTACAAGCCATTCAATTTGATCTAATTGAGATTCAAATTTTGGACATCCAACATCCTCGAGATACTTTTCATAAACTTTTTGCCATTGATCAGATTCTATATTTTGTATATCTTTTCGATCTTCAATTTTATAGTGGCGAATTTTTTGATCCTCAAGCCATGGTATTAGTTTCTTAATATGTAACGAATCTAGATTAGAAAAAAAAGTTATCAAATTTATATAAGGTTAGTCCACGTTTTTTGGAAGCATTTTTGCACCTTACTCACCATTTGCATTGACTTTGTCCCAATCAACATAATCAAGAGCTTTGAGTTTTCGTTTGAACATGTTTAATTGAACTTAATACTAAGGAGTATTTGTTAATTAACAAAATGAAATAAGCTGCAAAAGCCGAAAATCGGCTACACTATTGATGGTATAATATTGTTGATACCTAAGATACTTAACTATTTATCTCAGATGGTAAAGCATTAGCAGACAGCTTCAGATAACAGATGCCGGCTGCCGCTGATAGACTTATCTCGAACCCGCGCAATTAATCCTCGTGAAAACATATGAGTCTATAATGTTATATTACTTAATAATATTTTATTAGTGATTTCTAGAGCGCTTATATTTTTCGTCTTTTCTTTCATTTATTTTAATGCACGATTATAAATTAGATCTTTTATTGGCGTAATGTAAAATTCGAAAATTCAATATGATTTAAATATTCCTTTGATTTAATATGAGATGTAGCCAACGATATTATTTATTGGTAAATAAATATGTAGTTACGTTGATATTCATGATTTAAAAATGCTATCAATAAAGTTTCAATTAGTTTTTATCATCCGACGAAGTTCCGTGTTGAAAAATCGTCATTCAAAAGTTTGAAAGACACAATAAAAATGTAATATAATTTCTAAAAACATTATAGTTTTATATAATCATATTCTTTACGATGTAAATAACAATTACTTCGGTATAGACGTTCACAGTTGTAATTAGTGTATTTTCAAAAAAATTGTCTAACAATTTACATAATTTAAATACAAAAAGCTAAACTTTCAAATAGAGCGAATTTCACTGAATTTTTCTATATTATAACAGTCGGTTTTTATTTTGAAGTTATTGTGATTATGAGATTAGTATGATGAGGTTAAATCAATCAGTCTATATTAAATTCATGTGCCAACTATACTGAAACTGATACATTTTTCGAACATTTAATTATTTTCGATAATCTGCAGCAATCTTTCATGAGCTACACAACATATACTATCACATAACAACTGATCACATGACTACCTTTCAGCCAATAAGATTGTACACGAATAAACTAGCTTTACTTTGTTAGGTTCTCGTTTTTATAGAAAGGAGGAAGAGGAGAATGATGATGATGATGATTTAATTATTTATGCTTTTTTTATCATATAATCATTTTTTGTAAATGTTTATAAGTTAAAATAAGTGTAATAATAAGTTAATTCGTCATGTTCCAACGAGGAGTTTTAAATATTTTTCCAAGGTAAGTTTGAGTATTTTTAAACAATTTTTAAAGAGTAAGTAATCAAAAATAATAAATTATAACAATTATTAAAGATTCATGGTGAACAATGTCTTGACACCAGTAAGGAATATTTCTATCAGTGAACCGTTATACTTCAATGGCACAAACGTTCTATTGTAAGTTTTTTATTTCAATAACTTAATAATAAGTTTATCACATATCAGCTATCATATTGGATAGATGATTTTTCTATTTGATAACAGTGGAGAACCTTTGAAAAAAAAAAAGAAGCTCGATCCAGCTTTAATTAGGGCTAAAGAAGAGCGAAGAAAAAGAAAGTTAGAAAAGGCTATTAGAAGACTAGAAAAGCATACAAAACAACTGAAACCTATTGCTGAACTTAATTTAACTATTGCAAAGAAAGCTGAATTAGAGTAATCATTTTATTTATCATTTTTAAATAGCAAATTAGCATCAAATGTTTATACTTAGTTTATTTGTATTAATAGAGCTCAACGTAAATCAGTGCAAGAGTTGACGGTAGAAGAAATAGAAGAAAGAGCACAAAAACTCAAAGAATGGAATAAATTAAAAAACATCGAGCATAAAAAACTTATGGCATATATCTATGAAGCTATTACAAAGCAAGATGAGGCTTATGACAAACTTAGGTTGGAATCAGAAGAGAAATATCAGAAAGCAATACAAGTAAATTTAATTTAGTTATATTTTACAATTGTATCAAGTTACTCTAATCAAAATTTAACTACATTTTCAGATCGATCCAACATTTTTACCATATTCTTACAAAGGTCCCCCAGAAACACCTCCTGTACCAGATTATATACCACCAGATGGTGATTACATAGACATTACCAGAAAGTTTGAGGGTGAAACTTGAAATCAGTGCAGAAATTATTGGCTTTTTATTTTGCTGCAAGAACTCCAAGTTTCGTAGTCATTTTTATTGGAATCATTAGAAATCTGAAAGATAATTTTTTTTTCTAAAGACTCTTTATTCTGAGGTAAAAAATAAACTTGTATATACAAACATTTGGTTATAATACATATTTAAAAACTCTTTAAACTGCTGGATTTAATGCTCAACCACGGTGTTAACATCTACTATATGATAGATTCAGTAACTTTGAGCATGGGATTTCAAGGAAAATTGTTTTTGTTTATCCAGGCTTATATTTTTCGAGAGTGCGCGATATTTGCATAAACATAATAAAGAATAAACAATTCAGTGCATCGATTAAAAATAATCTAATAGATTATTCAAATTCAGACTTGAAGCTTATTTGCTTCTTTTGAACCATAATTTCGTAACTAAAAGCTCACAGTAAGTTGAAACCGCTACTACTGCGTAACAAGTGTCTGACAAAATAAATTAAACTCGTGCAATTGAAACATCTTTCTGATTCAGCAATATCAACAATGTTCATAGTTCTTAACAGCTATATTATATCACAGGCACCTGTATTTCTAGTAAACTGCAGGCGCTTGAAATCAAGTGAAGGCGAGCTCTCTTTTGCAAATAGGGCAAGCATCGCTGGTCTTGAGACATTGCCTCAGGCAACTCGCGTGAAAGAGATGCTGGCACGGTGTAACCCTTGCAAGAGTCATTGGTGACAAGCAAACCGCGCAAACGTCATCAAATTTCTTGATCTCATCGGAGCTTGCTCTCCTGTATCTTCTCAGCACTCCAACTTCCTTATACAAAGCAGCCCAGTATGTTTGCACAAGCTCCTTCGTTCGCAGGTAGATGTTCAGGTAGGTGGCAACGAAGAGGAAACGCCAGGGAGCCCGAGGGATTAACAAAACGACGAACAACGTTGATGTGGAAATCGTAAATAAACGAAGGATCACTGGTGCGTAAAGTAACTCGAGACTCTCGAGAGCTTCGAATTCGAGAAAGCTCAGTAAGGCTGGAAACATGTCGACGAACACTTTCTCCGTGGCCATGTAGTACAGCCAAGTAGTCACCGTGTAAGCCAGTGTTGGCCTGCGAATATATAAGTGAACGAAAAGATTGATATATGTAATTGATAAGTACATTTCCAGGAATAGTCGATTGATTTGTTAACATGGAAATATTAACTATAATTATTTATGCATTTACTCAAATTTCGCGTCGCAACCGATAGATATATATACACATAATAATTATTTATTGTCTGTTGTGAACAAAATAGAAAGCATGTAGAGATAGATTAATCATAGTGTTTTTTTTTACCACTAAATGAACGCATATTTCTTCTTCCGCGGAAATAAAAAAATTAACCTATATTAGTCGACTATATTTCATTTATCAAAATTTTGAGATCCATCAGCGTTTTTAACATATTTGAATTTGGTACGTGGATAACTGTAACTTGTAAAGATATACAAAAAAAAATTTAATTATAGCATATCGACAGTTTTCAATGATGCGTTGCCTTTTGGTCTTTACAATTAAAAATGTGATTTTCAGCTAATTTTCTCCTGTAGAAATGATTCAAACGACTAAAGATGTGGTGTTGCAAAGCAATACTTCGACAATTTGTAATTAGCACGTGCGTGTTGCACAGATTTTCAAAAGTCATTGCTTATATTAAAGTACTTGATGACATATTTTTTTTTTATAAATCAATTCAAAATAATAACATACGGCTTTGTACACAAATAATACACTTGACTTTTAAAGATAGGGTTTTTCAATTCGAACGGTTGCCAACCGATTTTTCATAAAAATTGCTCGGAACAGTTTTTAACAACTTGCAAGAGAAAAATTGCAAGGAAAATCTACTTTTCGCAGTCGCTGTACAGCTTTGAAGAGCAAAGTAGAATAATATTTACGTCACGTGCTACTGAACTCTACGTTTGTGAGAAACGTTTAATAGTATTTATATGAGCACTAGTACTATGGGTATACGTATAAATTGATTATCATACTCATTAATTGTCGTTTTGATCAATTAAAAAGAATGAGCTTCTGGCATTTTGCGACATGTAGTCGTAAAAATGAATTACTTTAAAGTCTCGTACTTTTATTTCGGCCGAGAATGTAACAAAAGGAAGTCGGCAAAAATCAAATCTTACTTGTAATTCTGCAATCCCTGTTCGAGTCCGAAAACGATGAGGGTGAAGACAACGGTGACTGCGAAAGTAACAGCTTTGGTCCACTCGAGGACGATTTTGGTAGCCGACATGGCCAGATGCTTGATCCTGGAGGTCTCGGTGACGGTAACGTAAGGCACCCAGTCCTCCTTGGTAAGGAGTTCCCTGATGTAGCCGATGCAGTAGGCTAGGACGTTGTAAAACATAAGACTGTAGAGGCAAGTGGTCCTCTGCCTCGGCGTCAGTAGCAGCTTGTCGGCGAGCATGAGGAAAAGCAGCTGCTCGGCGAGCGTTGAAAAGTTCCTCATCTTGAGCAAAGAGCTCTCGGCCTTGTCCATCGGGGCGTATATTCGCCGGAGGATCCTACCGCAGTAGGCTAAAAATACGAGACAAGCTTGAGCAACACGCGCGCTCCGGGGGAGCGCTGCGGCGGAGGCATTAGCATATTGATGAACACGTCAAAGCTGCGTTTCGGCCAAGGAGCTAACGGGAAGAGACGCCTCGAGGTGACAGCCATCGCTCATCTCTCTCGCATGGCAACCGGGCGGCTCGTCTGCTCTCTCGCCGGGCCTATAAAATCCAGCGGCACCCTGCCTCAAGCATCACAGACACGACAACCCTCCTTAACTGCCAACCACTCCAGCAGTTCCCGCACGGATACTCTCGCTGCACCGGTGAGTTCGTTTTCTTCGTTGTCAAGATTACATTCGCACAATTATTATAGCTATAGGGCTTTTCCGAACTACAAGTTTTTAATAGACTTCTTTCTGATAGTTTTACCTTGTTTTACCACTTACACCTTTATTTAAAATATCACCGCTGGCGGCTTTTTTTTTTGCCGAAAATCGCAATTTTTTATGTTAAAATCTATCGATATAAGTTCAGCCTTTTGTTAATGTATACTATTACAATTCTTTCAATTTTTACGTGCTTGAAAGACAACGTTTGAATATTAAATTACTATAGTTAATGTTTGATAAATACGTGTTGTTTAGCTAATACATCTTTTACTTCCAAATTATCGAGTTCATATTTCATATAAATTCTTATTGAAAATTTCTCCAATCTTTTATGTTCCAACAATTTATTTCTATTTAAAATATTTTTTACTTTTTTGGGTTTTTTGTTATTGTACTCAAATACACGAACTAAAATTATTTCTTATTTTAAGTTTGAAATGGTACATTTTTAATTTTTATAAAAAAATTACATTTTATTCTTGATTTTCGTCATTTCATCAAAGAAATTTTCAGAATTTACCTATAAATTAGTAAAATGGAAAGTTTCAGTCGAAAAAAATTGTATATCTCGTATATTATCTGATAAATATATTATCGAAGTTGAAAATAAACAACGTGTAAATGAAATATTGTATAGCCGTACGATAAGTTTCACGAGATTAAATGAACACTAAAAATCTATCTTTGAGTGATAACCCCCCCTATCCCCAGGATTCGAAAAATAATCAGCATGCTCGAGACTCGTCGATAGGCCATGCACAACACGGCCACGCGCGGATAAATATCCACAAAGCAGAGTAGAAGAGCGCAAGAGCGTGCCTCGGCCAAACTTTCTAGAACAATAAAGTCGAAGAATCGCGGTGCTTGAGCTTCTTCGCCGCTAAATATACATCGATACACATCGCTTACTCTCTGTTCGGCGCGATTCGGCTCCTTGCGAGTCAAACGTCCAACCTAAAGCTACCGAGAGGGCTGATCGGCACGAGTTATCTGGCGATTGTTTACCTTGAACCTGAGCGTTCGCCTCCATAGCCCAAACGAGTCTCGAACTCCGTCGACGACAACAAAACTACTGCAGCAGTCGCATGCGCGCGAAATTGCGAGTTTTGGCTGTCGCTCGGGGCGAGAGGAGGGATGGGGGAGGGGGGGCGAGTGATACCTATATACTTTTGACTATTTCTAGCAGAGCTCGGCGAGCTAGGCGTTTCGCACGCGATCGAGGGTATCCCTTCGAGATGCGATTTTTTATAAATAGCCGCGGCGAGGGAGAGTCCTTTCGAGACTAGCCTTTCGCGGCGGCGCGCTAAATTGGGCGCAGGAGGAAAGTCGTTAGCCCAGAAAAGAGTTATTCTCAAGCGGGCGATTAGCCGCTTTGAAGCTCTCTCCCTTCCCACTCGACGCTTGTAATGTTCGCGGCGAACACACACGAATAGGTCGCTGTGGCCTTTTGGTCGCAGCGGGTAATCGTAATCGCGTTGCGCAAGAGCGAGCGATGACGACGGGGTGGGGAAAGTCGCGTTTCGGAATTTCGGAGTCAGTGCGCTTCGCTGCATAAGCGCGATATGCGGCGACGGCGGCGATGGCGGCGTGAGGCCAAGAAAGAGAGAGAGAGAGAGAGAGAGAGAGAGAGAGAGAGAGAGAGAGAGAGAGAGAGAGAGAGAGAGAGAGAGAGAGAGCGCGCGTAGACGAAGAGCGACTCCTATGCTCATGACGACCTTTTGCAGATCGCTCGCCAGACTAGACAGACATGCCCGGACACTACTCCAGCCTTCTCCTACTTCTGCTCTGCACGCTACCAATGTAAGTCCATTGGATTGTCACAAGATCGTGTTCCGTGTGAAAGCGTGAGAAATAGCATTTGTTTTGATGTGCTTGCATGTGCGAAGGTTCCTAGGACACCCGGCAATCATCGAACGAGCCGAATCCAAGTCCGAGTGCGAGGGTTGCGGTGACGAGTGCGACAAGTGCAAGTACGGCTCGGCGGTCTCTCGCTGGTGCGGTGTCAAGGAGTGTCTCAAGGTAAACACAAATTCTCCTTCTCTCGTTATTCCGCCTTTCGGCAAATTTCAGGGTTTTCCCAGGTAAGAGAGGCGTCAGGCCGCCGTGCCAGCTATCAGGTACGGTGCACCTGATTAGCATAGCATTTTCGGTGCACCTGGCTTTGGTCGCGCAGTAGCGCACCTTACGTGCATAGGCCAGAGATAACTACCTCTTTTATACTTTTTGGATTGGACAGTTACGGAATTGGAATGACAGCGCGAACGATTATACCGTTGTTAATCATTGCAATGGCAGCAATTGAATCCGATCACAATGTATCAGATGTATTACAAAACCGTTGAATTCTAATTAAACGAACATCCGATACATTAGTTTTCGAATTGAGCGAGCAATTAATGTACTTTGCAAATTTAACTGCAAGCAACTGCTCATTCTTGGTCACGAGGCCGTGTTTATGCACGAGTATTAATATAATTTTAATAAAAAATAGTTGCTTTTTTTAACTCTTCAATCTATAACAGTCGCGATATTACTCAAGAACGAAATGAAAATGTTTCTCAACGGGATTATCAAAACCTCATTAATTGTATTAATCTCAGAGCTTTTCTTTCGCTTCTGTCGCGTGATTTTTCAAGTTTTACGTTTGATAAACCGTCATTCCTACTCGCATTTTCTGTTGTAATCGATAAGCTCGTTGTATAAAAAAACGCTTCTATATAAATGCTTCAATCATTATGTTAAAATACGAAAAAATGTCAACGTGCTCGTCATTTTGATAATCGAGGTAAATGTATTTTTCATCGGTGATTTTCTTTCTGTGGTTTTGTAAAAAAGTCATTGGCATTCCAATATGAAAATATATCCGAATGCTATAATTGCTTTGAAAATTGAGAGCTAGAATAATAGCAAATATATCTCATTAGTTTATTGATTATTTAATAATAATAATAATGTATCATTACTAATTTTCCTTGAACTCTTTAGAAACTGGATCACGTGGTATCATCGTGTTAATTTGCAATAATTAATTATTTGTTTTTAAAGTAATATCGTTGGGCACTTGTGTAGACTATATTCATGAATATAGTTACACGAAATTGATTTTCATAGACACGTTTTCGCCATTGAAAGTTATTAATCTTACGAAGCAAGAGTTATCTGAGCATCTCCGGTGAATGTGCCTTTGTTACTCTAGTTTGTCCAACTAAAGGTGATGTCGTGTTACAATGGATCAGCGACAAAATGACTAATCTGGCAACTGGTTACGACAGGGTCCCGGCGAGATCTGCGGTGGTGCACGAGAGGACAAGTACGGAGCCTGCGGTGACGGCATGTACTGTCGGTGCAACAAGTGCACTGGTTGCAGCATCGACACCCTCGAGTGTTTCTCGGGCTTCTGTCCGATCGTCGAGCACCGACAGTTCCGCCAGGGCCTGCTGGGATTTCAATTCGACAAGTAGGCAACGCGAGGTGAAGGAAGGCAACGCGTGGTCGAGCGCGCCAGCTTCTTTGTTTTTTTTTTTTTTTTATTTACGCAATCCATTCTCATTCCACGCTATGACTTCGCTATGTATAACTTACTACTATTACTACTATAATTATTATGACTATCTCCAAGAATCCGACAAAGAGAAGCGATCTCAACACGATGACTACTTTAATTGTGATACGCGCAGCCTATTATGTATCTGTGTTACTTGTACGTAAGAAGATGTCTATGAAAAACGTCCCTTTATTCCGGCTGTGACGATAACTACACGCTCAAACGCCAACATACACACATATATGCAGATGTAAGAGAGAACCAAGGAGAGAGAAAGAGAGAAAGCTTGTTCGCGACTGAATTATTGTAATTGTGCTTCTTTTTGAGAATGATTGCTTCGATAAGTGACTTAGTATTTCCGGCATGCTGGTCGTGCGACGTAGGCCAGTGGTAAAAAGTGTTAAAAAACAAGTATCTCAATCGACTAGTCAACCAGTGTGCATTTAATCAATAAACGACCTTATTACCGAAGCAAAGTAACAAACATTCACGACTTTTGTTTGCTTATTTTTCTTCATGCCACCATCTTTTACACGCGTGTGACTTGTTTACCTTTCATCGCATATCATGCTTACTTATGATTTGTTTGACGATGTAAATTCATTTTGGCCGCCTTTTCGTTTAGACGCGTCGGCTCGCAATCACTTGAATATTTCAATTGTTGAGCCACTGCACTATATTATAGCCTTTAGTATTCGATTAAAGATATTTATCAAATTCGTTCGGCACTATGGATATATTAATCGCTGTGGCGAAATATATTTGGTTCAAATGTCTCGTAGGCGAGCTTTTTATTAGTTACGAAATTACCAAACCATGCATTTATTCAGTGCGTACGCGTCACATGTTTTGTCTAAAATTATTTTTGTCTTACCAAACAGCGATAAGAAATTGAAACGAATAATGCAGGCTGATCGTAGCCATAAGGAAATAAGAGATTCATCAATTAATTTCGCCGACGTACTCACGAGGAAAATTTCATCAGTCGTCGAGATTGCAAGTGCAAGCCGCAGTGCGCCGACGTCATCGGGGCATGCATAAATTTTATGGGGAATTTTATGGGAACGCGCGCTAAACCGGACGACAAATGTTTATACGATGCAAGTATACAAATGCAATGACGTGTGCTGGCGCACTGCGAAACGCGTTTATCCAGTGAATTATCTTGTGTTCTGTCATTCACGTAACTCCGTATATGTAATGCCCTTATTGTCGAGAAAAGAAATTGCGTGCGTTTATTTTATCGAATAACTCGCTCGCGGAAACTTCTGTCCGCGCGGGAGGAAAGTACGAAGCGCGACCGCGATAGAAGCTCTCCACGCGACGATCCAAGGGTTAACGGGTAAATAGAACAGGTCACAAATGCGCTAACAAAGACAACAACAAAAAATTATCCATGGATATTTTTAGTTGGTTTTTCTCGTTGCACCGCTTTACGACGACGCCCGCTCGTAAAGAACGTTTATTTTCGCGTTGAAGCGCGCGTACGTGTCATTGCCGAATGACTTTGTTATAATTACTTGTATTCTCGATGCGCGAGTAGTCGGCGTATATGTGCGTTTCGAAGATTCACTTTATATTTTAAGTGCGGCTCTTCAAAACTTCCGTTTGAGAGTGAAAACTTCGGTGCGCGCGCGCGCGTTGCTAAGTTTGTCTATTTACTCTAAGCTATTAATGGAAGCGAAAAAAAACTTTAAATTGGAACGTCGATAAATTCGATAGGCAAGTTCGTGAGCGACCGACTTTGCACCGATTGCTATAAATACAGGACACTACGAAAGAATGAACGAAAGCAGATGTATATCTTTTGTATTGATTGATATGTATTTCAGTCAATTTTATTGACATTCGCTTCGTGTAACAAGAATATAGATATGTGTGTGTGTGTGTGTGTGTGTGTGTGTGTGTGTGTATGCATATGCATACACACACATACACACATACACGCATTATATCTACATAAATTTTGGCTTTGGTTATACAATTCGACGATATTTTCTACAAAATTACGTACAAAATTATGTATACAATTCGAGCGCGACGAGGCACGCCTTTATGAATTCATTTGTTTAAAGAAAGAAAAAAAGAGTCTATCTACAAGTTGAAAGATGAGTATGTATTGTACAGATACAATCTAGAATTAGTATGATAATTCGTGCAAAAAAAATACATGGAGGACGTTTTACGATTAAACAGGACGTTATACTCGAGTGTTTGGTACAATATAATATATATAACATTTAACGAAATATATGTACAATCTTCGCGCTAAAATACATTTTTCTATAATATACGCGTATCTCACTCGGAAAAAATATCCAATTGTCTACTTATTAAGCGACATAGAAAAAAAAACAACGCGCACTTTGCGTTTCTGGAAGGCACAATTCAACGTACAGCTTTTCAGGAGACGCGGGGCGATCAATCGAGAGCTTTCAATCGTAGACGACAATCAATCGCCCGCATTGCTCAGCGATGCTAATGCACGCGCGCCAGCAAAGAAGAAAGATCGCTGCGCCGAACGTACCGAGGTACGTGCAACGTGAAAGCCTATTACTGTCCACTCTGCTTCAACAGCTTCCTCGTCCTGAAGCCGCGGAAGTTGGCCTGAATCTTGGTGGCAGCTGCTTGCTCGGTCTGCTGTCGTTTGCGTACCAAATAGCCGCGAATGCCGGCTTGAATTTTCGTCGCCGATTTGTCTTCCAGCGACTCCTTGTTCTCGTCCTACAAAGCATTGGAAGTCGCGTTCGTGAGATTTTTTGCTTCGACGGAAATAGACGTAGAGCTTGCGCGTGGAACGCCGAAAGTCGTTAATCAGCCGACTCGGCTCTTTGTTTTTTTAGCAGACAAATTAAATTTACTCTGGATTTTGTCACGCGAAGATTTTCTCGTGCGCAGATGTGGATGCCTATTGTGTTTCTAGGGATGGAGGAATTTTTTTTTCCGATTTGTTAATGATTCAATTGAATGAGAACGACGTTGAGAGAGAGAGAGAGAGAGAGAGAGAGAGAGAAAGAGAGAGACAGATACCGGTATACTTTTTATAGAACAGTATTTTATTTATCGGCGTGCTCGAGCAGCTTTTTCACTTATAGTTTTTACGTAAGAGAAAGACAAGCGATCAACCAGCCTTTTTGCTGCAATATTTTTACGAACGAAAATCTAAAGCACCCCGTAAAATGTTATTTTTTCTAGAGTTCAGTGTTACGTTAGAACGTTTAACGCGATTTTTTACGAGAAAGAGAGAGAGAGAGAGAGAGAGAGAGAGAGAGAGAGAGAGAGAGAGAGAGAGAGAGAGAGAGAGAGAGAGAGAACAAAGGAATGCATCGTAAAAAATGCGTAACGCGAAAGGACAAAGATATTCCGAGCAACAAAGAGGAATGCGCGTACTGTCACGTAAATGGGAAAAACAAACAGCCGAGCAAGTAGCGGTCTAATTGAGAAATGAGAAGAAAGGAAAGGTGGATTTGCGTCGCAAGCTCGACGTGACCGTGCGGAATAGCAACGTCGAGCCGTCATTCAGCAAAGGCGGAAGGTGAAAGAGAGAACTGAAACTGAAACAATTCACTCTGGCACAGCATCGGCACACACCGTATGTTCTCCCTCCTCCTCTTCCTCCTCGTCGGTCTTGTCCTCTTTGGGCACTGTCTTCTCCTGCTGCAGTCGCTTTCTCACTTGGTAGCCCCGAAAGCCGGCTTGGATCTTGGCCGCAGCCTTGTCAACCTTAGCGACGTCCATGGCTTAGTCTCGGTGCGGCTGAAAAGTCGTGCGGTGAGCTACTGAGTCGCGCGCGGCTCTGCCTGCTCGCTATATACTCCGCCGCCTCTGTGAGTCAGCCAGCGTGCGCATAGTAGCGGCTTTATTGGAAAGAGCGGGTCGACGCACGCCGACGGGAGGGTAATTAAAATCACACGACTCTTTGTTGCTGTTTTCTTTTTTGCAAAATATAATTGTATATTTACATACATGGGCCTATTAAAATACTGGCTTTTTTACACGTACGCGCGACGGACTTTTCACGTTGGGTTCTCGTCAGACTTGTCGTCGGCGCTCTTGTTCGGGCCGATCTGCATCATCATCGTCACGGGACTGCGTGTACGCTCGTCACCGACGGGACTATCCTGTGAGATGCTGCTCGAGTGCACTTGATCGACGCTGCCGAGCTTGACGTGCAAACGGTTGGACTTGCGCGTCGCTTCGTCCTCCTCGCCGAGGCCCAGGACTTCCTCGATGTTGATGGACAGCGGATCCTCGGAGGTCGAGATCGAGGCGACAGTCTCTTCGCCGTTGTACGCCATCGACGCTCGTTTCTCGTCATCCCCGGCCACCGCCTGCTTCGTGTCCTCGGAGATACTCTTGTTGCTCTCGTCGAGACTCGTTATCTCTTCGATGATGACACCCTTCGGCGTCTCTGGAAGATCGCTGAACACGTCCTCGACGCTGGTTATGAAGTTTAGATACTTGTTCTGCATGTCCGCGTCGGCGGGCAACAGAACGACGTCCACGAGGTTCGAGTGAGCGGCGAAGTTTGACGTCGCGTGGCCGAGCAAAATTTTCCCTAACAAGCGCTCGACCTCGCTTGCCTTCTTTTTCGCTTTCTCGGCTTCTCGTTCTCTCACTGATTTCAAGGACAATGCCTCGGCGTCGAATATCGGAAGTGGTATGCAGTCGTGAAATTCACCCGTATGCTGCAATTGATTTTCGGCAAAGGCGTTCTCTACCGACAGCGTTGTCCTCTGCACTGCGTCCTCGCGCCTCAATTTTTTACGAGCTTTTGCCTCGGACATCAACGCCGCCTCGACTATCGGCATTAATGCGGGGGTCGTCTCCACCTGCAACAGTCGTCGTTAATTCGAGCTTTGATAAACCAAAAATTCTGCCTCGCGAGATCAGCAGTTAAATTCTCCGACTAAGCGTGCATGTCCGCGATTGGTTTTTTTTTTTCAGAAAAAGGAGAAAACACAATAACCGCTATAGAAATAGAAAATTTAAAGTCGCAAGATTTTCTTCCGGCATTGGCGCGACGCGTTCTGCGTGTGTCGTAACGTCGAGCGATTGCGACGATTCAGAAAATTTTCGTTTGAATGAGCGACGACCTCACGTTGTTTTCGCGCACTCCAATCGATTATGCGCGCGCTCGCGGTTTCGTTATCTGCTGTCTCACCGAGTAAATGACCATTGGACTCAATTATTTGACAAAAAAACCGACGAGGCTTTCGAATGAGTTACTGGCTGCTCGTCTCGTTGAGATTCGTCGTCGTCCAGATATTACTCGAACGACATTTTCCATGGTGAAGGGAAAAAGAATTATCGTTGTCAATCTTACTTCGTTGAAGATTTCATTCGACGATACAGAGAAGAAAAAAATCGAGTCACGGCGCGGGCGCGACGAAGCAAATTCTATTCCGAGCATTTGCACTCGCGCGCGGAAATCGATATCGGATTCCATTCCCTTAATGAAATGACTCGTAAACGTAACGAGCGAGGCACAACAAAAACATTCACGGTGCACGAGCGAAACCACGATTTTAGTTTCTACAGTATTCGCGCTCGATCTACGAGTGATTCATCAAGAAGAAAAGGAAAAAAATGTAAAGCGAGCTTTTGCGTGTTGGTGGTCGTTACAACGACGACGACGACGACGACGGCGACGGCGACGGCGACGCGATACCGCTCTTCGAATCCACGCTTTTTCACTTTTTTCTTCGCTTCGTTCCAGAAAAGGAATTTTATCGGCTATTCTGGTCGTTCGACAACAAACAACAAAAAAAAATCTTGGTCACACGTATATAAAAGTCATTGTTATTCATAAATAAGGAAAAATTTGCTTTGCCCCTTTCAGTGCGCGTATGCTGCACAGGCGGCGAGTGCACATCAGAAAATTCGCATCGGAACAACAAACACGCGCGCACGCTCACGTACGGGAGAGAGCTTGCACGCGAAAATAGGAAAATCGACAATTTTAAATTACCCTGGCCTTCCGTACAAAAATAGAGCGAGAGCGAGAGAGTTGCGTGGATGCCTTCAACACACGACGAGTGACGTCACGCGGCTCACACACGCACGCACACACACACACAAGCACATACGCATCTCTCAATTAAGCTCAGCGGCGCTCGAAAAGCCCATGCGCTCTTGCATCGCGGGAGAAATGTCAAGTGATTGACATTATGCGCGATGCGATCAATTGCGAGGAGGATGTTACGCACGCTGCGCTGATGATGATGACGAAGAGCTTACCACGAAGCTCTCCTGGATGGATGGCACACTGTCCAGAGTCGAGCTGCGCCTCTGGCTGCTCTGCAGACGTCGGCGCGTCAGGAAGCCCCGCACACCTATCGGTCAGAGCATTATAACAATGAGCCTCGCGCGCGCGTAATTTGACGGCGACGCGGGGGGAGGGACAATGCCGAACCTCTCTCCGCGCGCTTACGTCAGTCGCGCGCGCGTCAGCGACACGGCTGTAAATTTTTGATAAGGTCACGACGAGATTGCGACTGTTATCGCGCGTGGGTGTGACGTACGGCTTCTCGATGCTTGGATGCTGCAAGCTTTTACCAATTTCCAGCTACGTGCGCATTCGCGCTTGTTTTCAATGGAAACATTCATTGCGCGATCGTATAAATATTGGATACGCGGCGCTCGAAAGACGCGCGAGTTTGAAGAGCGCGCGCGTGTCGAAAAGTTATCGCGATCAATTTTGATTGGCCGCGCTCGACTGGCTTGTCAATTAGCAGCAAAGCTAGAGCCAGAGATCATGCAAGGGAGTAACGAGGAGATTCGTGTCATTCGCTCGCGTCGATTGGCATTGTTCATATACGGCGCGACTCCTGCAATAGGCAAAGCACAATTACCAGCTTGAATCTTGGTAGCAGCCGACATGAAAGTGCTGGTCTCGCTCGACGAGCTGACGTCCTTGCTGCCGCTGGCCTCCGGTACGTAGATGTGATATGCTTTCTTCGCGGCCGCGTGATCGTCATCGTCGTCGCGATCGGCAGCCACTGATTCGCCTTCATTCGCATTGATTGAACCATTTGCCTCCGCAGTGCATTGACTCGCCGCTGCCAGATTGTTTTCGCTGCCTTTGGCCGAGTAAACAACATTATTAATATCCCGCGCTGCTGGCACGCCGATATCTGATGCAGTTGCTGGCCGACGCATCAGTCGCTCCTCGAGCTTCTCGAATTCCTGCGTTTCCGCCCGCGAGGCGGTCACGTCCAGCGAGTCCTCACGCTTTGGCGTGTCCGACCTGCTCGAGTTCACGTTGGACGACGAGATCGTCAAGTCCGGCAACGAGTCGAGATTCAATTCAGGCACGTTGGGCGCGGCTGCATCGAGGGATAAGCTCGAGCGATCGGTCGTGACCGACGTCTCTTTGACCTCGTTCGTCGACTCTTCCACCGATCTCGCCGTGCTTTCCAGTGAATTTCCCATGACCTCCTTCTGCTGCTCTTCCTCGACGAGTCGATCCACTCGAACGTACTCGACTTCTTCTTTCTCCAGAATTTCCTCGAGCGAGCTCGTAACGACTCTTAATACTTTCTCGTCCTCGGAGTCAATGACTTCTACCGCCTCGTCACGCTCCTCTTTTATTCGATCTAAATTCTCTCGTGACACTATCATATCATGACTTGCTTTAATTCCGCGAATGTACTCTATATCGACCGTCGACGGCTCCGACTGCTCGGCCGCTTCCACGGCCTCGCCAAACGCGTCGTTAACGCTGTCTTGATTTTCAGCTTCTTTGCAAGTTACCAGAGTCGACGACAGGATTCTGTCTTCTTCTGCCTCCACTTGGACAGTTTCGCAATCTGGCGACGGCCCTCGCTCGGGTATTATCACCGTTGTTACCGAATCGGGTATATCGCAGGGTGAACCTTCGGTCAGGATGTACGAATGAGGCGATGCTGTTCGAGTCGCTATTTCCGGTTCCTCGGAATCCACGACCAGTGCGTTCAAATGTACAGTTTTCACTACGGTTGTTTCATTTCGTTCGTACACCTCTTTCAATTTACTCATTTTTTCAGTCGTAACTACAATACTATCTTCAACGTCAATTGCAGTAGCGTCCGTTATGTCGGAAAATTCTTTGGTTATTTCTTTCGGAAAAATACTCTCGATTCTGCGTTCAGCTTCCTCGAGCTCCTGCAATTTGTTTTTAATATCGAAATTCAACGTTTCGGCGGTCGATTGCGAGTCTAAAATTTGCTCGATACGCTTCTCCGACTCTTGTATCTCTATAAGTTTGTCTTCCATTTTGGCGCCAGCTGTTGTTTCATCCATCTCTCCCTCGACGTCTACTTTGCTCATTTTAGTGTCATCGAGTACATCTTCTATTCGCTTTTGCACCTCCTCGATCTCCAGCAGCTTGTCTTTCAATGTCTCGAGAGGACTCGTATGCCCGCTGCTGTTATCCTCGACCAAAGAGTTTTCAAGCGAATCTGGTCTTTGGCCTTTCGTGTCGAATGGTTCTGGTGTTACATCAAGGCTGTCGTGAAATTCTTCTTCTTTGACTTCTAAAAGATTCGTTGTTGATACTTTGGCAATGATTTCCTCGCGTGACATTTGTTTTTCAGTGATAATGCCTTGCTCCATGCCTTCGTCGGAAATCTTGTCACTGGACAGTACTATCTCTTCGACACTCTGCACAGAGACCGTAGTTTTATCGTCCGCCACTTTTGCTTTAATGTTACTTTCTGAAAAAGGCGCTACTTTTTCGTCGTTAGTTTCCGCTGAAGGAATGATTTTATCGTCGCTAATTTCTTTAGGAGGCACTATTTCGTCAATTTCCTTAGAAAGCACTGATTGTTCATTTTCAATGTCTAACTTGTCTGTCGAAGGGATTATTTTCTCAGCCTCGGCAACAGCTTCTGTTTTCTTTTCATCAATATTTTCATTTGAAATCATTGGATGCTCGTCGGTCGTTGCATAGGAAGACACAGTTCCTTCCCCGACAATCTTCTCAGCAATCACAGTTTCCTCGACAACGTTAGCTTCGCCATTGTTTTCTGATGACTCAGTCACATCCTCAGCAATCTCCTCAACGGCCGCCGTCGTGTCATCGGTACTGGTGGCATCTTCCAACGAAGCAGCAGCACGCGGAGGTGAAAGCACAGGCAGAACTAGCTCCTCTTTGGCTTTCGGTGACTTGGCAGATTCCGGTGATATTGGTGGTAGAGTCAAGGCTATGTCCGAGTCGCTTCGTGCCGACATACTTCTCGAGGTTGATTTCGAGGAAAGTGGTCTGACGGCTGGTAGAGATGACTTGGATTCAGAAGCGTCGGAGGCGTCTTGATCGAGTCGAGCTTTGCTTGCGCCCTTAGAGTTTCTCCTCGGCAAGCTTGCTTCTCTCCTGCCACCGTCGGACTTGTGGGAGCTTCTGGAGCGATCTTCACTGCTGAGCGATGCCTCCTTCCTCAACTGTGCAGTCTTGGCAGCTCTCATAACTCCACTCCTCAGCGCCTCCACCTTCTCTTTGATAACTGGCGAAGTCTCGTCGATCACCTTTTGGACTCTCTCTACGTAACCCGGTGACTGCAATTCGTCGAAGCTCATCATGCCAATGACGTTTTGCACCACGTAATTCCTCGCGCTGTCCATACTTGCGCCTCTGGTGAACTTCTTCTCCTCTTGACAGCTGTAGCAACTCTTTGTGGTTTCGGTTCGCTTCATCGTGCTGCTGTCCTCGCTTCTCGAGCTTCTGCGGATTTCGGTGGAGCTCCTCTTCGTCTTCTCGAATGACGACTTCTTTGACGACTTCTCGACGATCGTCTCGCGGGTATACTCACAAGCGACAACCTTTTTCCTTTCGCGACTGCTTATTCTGTTTCTCCTTAGTTCCGTTTTGATGTCCTTGGCTATCGGGATCTGCGATAGGATTCTTGGAGCGCGCTTCGCTCCGTGTCTGGAAGCCTCCTGTGGACATTCTTTTCTCCTGCTCGATCCCGGGGCGCACTTGCAATTCTCTTGGCTCGAGCTGTCGACTTTTTTTTTTGGATTGCCATCTTGCAATCTGTCTCTCGGGATGAGCATCGGCTCGTTCGCTAGTTCTCTGATCTGCTCGGTGCTCACTTTCTGCCCCGAGTCGCCGAAGATACTTCTGTGCTTCTCCAGCACCTTGGCCGTTTCGTTTAGAGACCAAGCGCTTTGTCTCGCCTCGTCGTGTCGCTCTCTGATCGCCTCGTTAAGTTCGTGCAATTGCTTGCAACTCCTCTTGCCGCTCGACGATGGATCGCCGTATTGCTCGCGCAATCGAAGCAAATTTTCAAAGTGGCGCGCTGCGAACTCGTAAATATTCTCCGGCCGGTGACGTATCACTTCGCGAGTCAATCCTTCGACCGCTGCCGCTAGTCCTTGCGGTACCCTTGGCGTCAGGTATAGATGTTCGCCCAGCTTGGAGTGCTGCATCGTGTCGTCGGTGCTCAGCAAGCTAAAATACAGAAGACGAGCTTTTTTTATGTGGTGGTGGTTCGCTGGGAATTCGATTTTTGTACAATCGCGATTACGAGGGTGACGCGTGTGCGAGATTGATACAATTCTGCCGCTACTGCTTATTTTAGGAGCTACAACTGGGTCGACAAGTTTTTCGATTGCTCGCAGTCCTGTTTTCCTGAATTATTGGGAAAGCTTTTATCACGTGATTAATGACTTTGATAATCTAGTAGGTGGTTAGGCAGAGATAATTATAGGGGTGATGTGTTTGAAAAACTGATTTCACGTAAAATATGAGTCATTCGCACAGTTTATTCACACGCGCGAATTATTTTTCGCTAGCGCTGAACTGCGGAGAAAGAATATTCGCGAGACGAGTTATTGATTGAAAATGCAAAATTATCTATGCAAATGAAATGATGAAATGAAATTGCAAATGAAAAATTATCTATCTAGCACACTATTCATTACTTCGTCTCTCCGATTGCTTTGAGTACTGCGAATGAATTAACATACCATTAGGAAGTACATCCATTTCGTATTTTGAGTGACCACTGACAGAGTCGAATGAATGAAATAAAGGAATTCGCGTTCTTGCACTATCGGGTGAATTATAATTAGCAGGACGCTTGAAAAATAAGATAATCGAATTTGCGCGTTTTCAATGAAGCGGAGCAACGTCAAACAACGTGACGTAGACGTGGAAGTTCTCCGTAAGACTGAGGCACTCAAGTTTCACCTTCTCTGCTGCACAACGCGAAAGGGTCGATCGATATTTTTTCATTGATTCGGCGCCGCGGTAGCGGCAGTTTCTATGGTCGCATGTACCTTGACGACTCATGTATATCGTATATATACAACGCACGCGAGTGTAAGCATGTCGCCTGACTGTCTCGAGGGCGACTGTTACCGTTTCTTTTCTTGTTCCCTCTTGCTTATTGTTTACTATATGCTATAAGAGCGAAACAGTCCAAGTGCTTTTCTTTACTTTCGCTTGTATTCGACGATAATTTATTGAAATGATTTAATTGTGAGGCATACAATAATTGCTTTGTTGACAAATTGTGAAAGTAGCAAAATATTTATTAATAATTACAGTATATGATCGTATAGATATCACACCTGTTCGATTGCTCAAGTAGTAGTTTTTCAACATAAGATGAAATTATTTACACTGTGCAGTATTATTTGTGGGTAAAAAAATATTTTCATTTGTTACGAGGTATCCGACGACCTTCCATTCTTTCCTGAAACATAGTTATATCAGTGGCAAACTGTTTCACATATTCTATTTCAAGTGGGTGCAAAGGTAATCCAGGTATAATAAGGGTATGAAGAGGTGGACCAAGATCAGTTTTTTCCATTTCTGTCAATGTACAAACAGTGATCTTCTGACTATCAGATCCTACCCTTGCTAAGCCTACAACGTAGTTTTCTGCACTGATAACTGAAAGTAAATAAATTGAAATAAGGAACATTTTAAACATTACATTGTAGTTGAATGACAAATTCTTAATACCTGCACTGCCTTTTTTAATTTTGTTTTTCTGCTCAATAATTTTTAAAAGTTGACTTGCTGCCTCAGCTACAGACATGAACTTTGGTGGCATATAAACTTTTTTCTTTAATACTAAACTTTCTATTGTTGGTTCCTTAACTCTGATGTCCAACAAACATAAGGTGTGCAAACCTCTGTTATAATTATATATGATTCTCTCATAATAACTGTCTGGCTGCCATTTTTCTGTCCATGAAGGTATCGAAATAGTTTCTCCAAATGAATAAAGTTGCAACCCACAACAACCTACAGCATTCATTATTGATGCATTGTGCACAATTTCAACTTCAATGTTTTTTTCTTTGGCTCTGAGTGCAAGGTCGATGTGAGTTGTAGCAGTAAAAGGATCGCCAACAATTAAAATTGCAATATCATCATTCCTAGCATTTTCTAAAATCTCATCGGTAGAGCCTTCAACTATTTCTCTGTCTGCCACAATAATACTACGTCCGTAGAGTTCTTCCTGCAGAAACAATGAACGGTCCTTTAAAATGTTGTTTCACTTTATAATTTCATTTTCTTGAAATATCATAATGTGAATCTTAACGTTATTTTAATTATTTTACAGATAAAACAGGGTGAAGAAACAAAATGTAGCTATTTCAAAACAAATAGAGGTTAGAATCATCATTTACATTGTTTTTTAAAAAGCCGATGCAATTATTAAAAAAAGAAAACATAAGATTGTATATAGAGAAATTTACTTACAAGTTCTTCTTTTCCAACTGGTAGAATTGATGTATATGATTCCAAATACACACTTTTGCTTCTTTTTATGATTTCTAAGCCCTTTACTGTCACATCTTTAGCATTTCCTAATCCCAAACCAATGATATAAAACATATTTGTACGTTATTTATAAGAGTATAATGAATTGTACAATATAACTATAAAGAAAACAAATGTGTGTAAAAGAAAGCGCTGGGATAAAGTAAAAATTATACATGGACAAGATATATATAGAGTAATAAGATGAAGTCCGAAGGAAGCACAATGTTGTATGGAATTGTACATATATTGTTAGACTGTATACCATGGACTATGATATATAAGGATCAAGGACCCTATTCTGTAAGCATGTCGGTTGTCGGTCAAAATAAATGCGAGCGTATCACGTGTCATATATGCTCATATGAGGTGTTCACACTTTTACAGAATTATTCTGTAAAATGACATGAATTCTGACTCATGTGATTAGACTACTGCGCAGCAGCGCAGCCATCCGTGGGCAGACTAATTCTATATAGGGATTTAAATAAGGCCCGTATTTTGAAAACAAAAATGAACAATTATGAGAGAAACGTAAATTAATTAATATATATAGATTTTAAATTGAGTAATCTTGATGTAAAATCAATAGTATTCAATATTACTTATTTTACATTTATATTTATTAATTAATTTACGTGTTTCTCATAATTATTCATTTTTGTTTTCAAAATACGCGCCGCCTATAAATCCCTATATATAGAATTAGCCTGCGAAGTGCGCGTAGTGTGCACGGATGATTGCGGAGTAGTCTAATAACACGTGTTAGAATTTATGTTATTTTGAAAGTGTCAGAATTATTTTGTAAATACCCCATAGACAGTCTCCGATATGAGAGTCATATATGTAATTAGAAGAACACATTTATATACATTTCTTCTAGCGGAGAACGCCCGCGCCACCTTACGAAAGTATTGTAAATCCATTATTACCGACGGTGTGTTCTGTCGGTCTATAATCGGCAATGGTGAACATCAATTCATCAATTATATATTACATAGTCTCTCCGCATCATGTCTCCATGGTTCCACTCGGTTAATGTGATATTGAATCGAACGAACTTAACCTGACTTAGGTTGTTATCTCATGGTTGTTCTCGATAACGATAATAATGTTTATATCTTTTAATTAATATAAAGAAATATGTGGATTTAAAAAGCAATTATTGAATTGTTCTTTTCACATCTGAAAAGGTATGTTACCCATGAGTTTTCTTCGAATGAAATCATTGTGTGATAACTTCAATAACTGTAATCAAAATATTTAGTTCGTTGAGAAAACACCTTTACGGCGCTGTGGCTGTGGAAGAATATTGCATCGTGGCTGATATATACACATGTTATTAGCAAAGCTTTGATTGGAGAAGTTTTGACGTGGAAAAGTCTATGTAAAAATTTATTTACTGCATTTACTATTTGCACAAATACGAAAATGTCTACGAAAAAAGACCAAAAAGATAACGATAATGCTGTAAGTCTATGCACAGCTATTTTAAATTTCTATTTTTCAATTTGGAAAACTAAAATATGTTTATATTTGTTAATGTTATTACTTTTTACACAACCTGATTTTCACGTCTAATGGTTTTTATACAATTATTTTTCTTATATTAATGAATAATTTTATTAAACTTGAAAGCGATTTGAGAATATCGTATTAAAATAAAATTATTTTATATTTTGCAGATTATAAAAGTGAATAAGTGGGATGGAGCAGCTGTGAAAAATGCTCTAGATGATGTTGTTAAAAATATTATAACAAAGAAATATAATTATCATGAAAACTTTGCTTTGTTGGATGGACGGTTAGCAATATGTGGAATTGCAGTTCTTGTTGCTATAACTGCATTGATTTGGGATTATTTTCACCCTTTTCCAGCATCCAGACCAGTTTTAGTAGTTTGTGTATCTGTATACTTTGTTTTAATGGTGGTTTCAACACTTTACACTATGTATAAGGAAAAAGGAATTTTTGTAGTAGCAGTACAAAGGTTAGTTACACTATTTAGTCTAACAGAAAATTTGATGAATTTATCAATATTTAAAAATATTTCTTAAAAGTATTTAAGCATATTAATAATAGTACTCTACTGAAAGTTAGAGATAAGTAGCATAAAGAGCAGTATTAATATGTACATTTTTTTCAGGGACCCTGCTGGGTTTGATCCAGATTATATTTTGGAAGCCAGTTCTTATCTTAAGAAGTATGACGATCAATATACATTAGTTTTATCTGCTAAGAATGATGTTACTGGTGTTGTAAATGAAACATCAGTAACTAAATCAGTAGCTAATTTTATTGATGTAAATGGAGTAGTGATACCAGAATTAGTTGAAGCGATGGTGTTAAAACTGCATGACAGCTTAAGCAGCCAGCGCAAAGATAAATGATAGATTCATTTTTTACAATAACTATTTTGATATATGCTGATTTTCATTTTTGTTATCTGACTAAAGTTCCATATTTTTCAAATAAAAATTACTATCTCCTTAATTGATAGCATTTTTTTAAAAATTATTAATGGCATAGAAGAGCTAAAAGATTTATTTATTAAATAACTTTAAAGCTAAAGGTGTGTTTGCATGCATATGATAATGTTGTAAATTTTTAAAATGTATAGTGTATAATTTGTAAACAAAATTCTCAGAAAAGATTGGCTTTTTATTACGAAATTCAACCTATCAACAAGCTTTGAAATTGCCTTCCATTGGTTACTCTCAAAGTTTCTCGCCATTGGACGATTTTGAATTCCATTTACAACGTACACAAACGATTACATAACCTCCAAACCAATTACAGCCGAAGAATTCATTGGTATTTCAATTTTGAAAATCATAGCTTTAACAAAACGATTTAGGAAAAGATAAAATTAGTTGATAATAACTACTGATAAACTAAACCATCATAATGACGGAACAACAGCAAAAAACTAAATGTATTACACTCAAAGGATCTGCTGAATTAGTTAAACAATATCTCCGTGAGTTTATATAAATGTAATAAATATTTATTTTTTCTGTTGATTTTTATGATATTTCATTATCACAGTGTATGGAATCAATAATATTCTGTATCAACGAGGAATCTATGATCCAGAGACTTTTGAAACAGCAGAGCATTTTGGTTTGCACCTTTATATGTCTACAGATCCAAAAATTGTTAACTTCTTTACTGTTGTACTTGGGCAAGTTGAAGAATGGCTTGTACAACGAAAAGTGCAAAAAGTAACATTGATTATTTCTAATGTTAATACAAAAGAAGTTCTAGAAAAATGGGATTTTCAAGTTGATTATGAAACCACAGCATCAAATGGAAATACAGTAAATAAAGATAATGGAAATTTACCAGAAGTAGGAACAAAAGATGTTAAAACCATTCAAAAAGAAATTAGAGAAGTTATACGCCAAATAACTGGTAATTGCAGTAAATTTATTAAAATAATGTTTGGTACTCAATACTACGTATAAATGCTGACTGTATTTTTATTTTAGGAACAGTAAGTTTCTTACCACTTTTGGATTGCATATGCTCTTTTGATATTTTAACTTACACAATACCAGATTGTGATATTCCAAAAGAATGGGATGAAACAAGTCCTGTGTTTATAGCTAATAGCCAAGAAGTAAAATTGAGATCATTTTCTACTTCTCTTCACAAAATGGATACCATAGTTAGTTATAAAAATACATAATCATATTCCAATCATAATATCTGTCTAAGATTAGTGAATTGTACATATATTTTTATTTGAATTATTTATACTGTACTTTGCATTGTTCTCTGTGAGAAATAATAATTCTATAGTTTTGAAAGTGCACCAAATTATTCTAAATATCATTTAATTATTATATTATCTATTAATTATTTGTCAAATTTTCTAAAAATTTGTTACTAGACATAAAATTATTACACAATTTTTATCAATTAACTAGATTTTTTAGTTTTTTAAGAATGCTGTTACTTTATAAATCTGATAATTATTTATAGAATGAAAAATAGTGATAGGAAATAATTTGTATTTGTTGAAATTGACCAATCTTATTTTATTTTCCACTACAGTTTTCGACATTATTCATCTCTGTATTATTTTGTTTAAAATTTAACATACAAACATACTTGAATTTTTCAAATACATACTTTTATTCAACAATATCTGACAGATTTTCGATGTTTGAACGGTATATACTGTGAAAACAATTGAAATTCAATTGTTTGATATTTCAAAGTATAACATAATCAACAAATATTTAAACATAAAAATCCGATTAAATAACATCTTCATATTACCTATTTATAGTGAATGTAAATATATTTTGTGCGACTAAAGTTGGCTTGAATTCACAGTGCATTCATTATATCTGAATATTCTTAACGTACGCGCTGCATAGTTTCATTCTATGCAAATTCATATCTCATATACTAAGATTCAGAGAATTAGAAAACATTCTTTACTCTTTATTATTTTTTTATATACTAGAACTTTGCGTACGTTTTCCATTTATTACTCTATTTTCCGAACTTCACTTCCATTTTGTTAAATCTTGTAAACTTACCACGAAAGATAAATCAAAATTCATGAATTACATACAGTTTAATCCGCGAAATCATTAGCATTATTGACACAAATTCAATAGAAAGTATTCTAGCAACTATTGTGAAGAAGTATATTTATATATTTTTTTTCGTTCATTTCATTTAATTCTTTCATCCATAGATATCGTGGATTATAAGATCATTTTCTTTATTATTCATACTTATATTATAGAATTGACAATGGCATACAATCACGCGTTCATGAAGTAATTGCGACGAAATCAGACAAAAGTGTTTTTCTCATATTCATTTGACGTTACATAAAATACAGAAGAAACTTTACTAAATTTTTGTAATAATTGACATTAATTATTATATGTTATTAACCCATGCAATTGTACCATTGTATTTTAAAACAACGAATTAATTTCTTAAAAATTGACGATAATTGACGACAATATTGACGTTGTAAATATTTGACATACATTCTACCTTAATTTTCAAATTTAGCGAGGTATATTATAGTATTTTATATAATGGAAACTCGTACGATTTCATGATAATCAGAAAAACACTTTTAAAGTTAGCGTGTAAACAACGCGTGATGCATACAATATTGTATGTATAATAAATGCAGCATACTTGACATCATTACTACCTTTTCAAAGAAATTATCATAAAAATTAGTTTATAATTTTTCATGTTTGAACTGGAAAAATATAATACTATAACTCTTAATAAAGAATACGTACAATTGAAAAAGACAAAATTGCGTTTATCATGATTGCGTATTTACAATTTTTAGATTTACAATAGTTAAATGTGTATTTATACAATGTTTGATGTATAAATGTTTGACGAGAAACACTGAAAAAATAAAAAAATAAATATACAAAATAATCGAGCTATTATTAAAAACAGGCAAGTTACGGCGACGAGCAAAATAACGATTCGTGGTAATGTCTGTTAACGTGATTTAGAATTCATATCTTCAATAAATTTATTCATTATATTTCGGGTAAGAGTCAATTTCACACTTGCATATTGAACGAATGCAATGATAACAGATATAGTTGAGGACCAGTTAAAAACAATTTCATATACAAAGTTGATGTACATCGGATATATCAAATGTAAAAGATAAACAAAAAAATGTACACAATTTTTCTGAAAAAGGGTGTTTGGATATTAATATTGATTTTTGCTATAAATACACAAGTATACAGATTTTCATTGAAATTATTTCATTGAATGGTACTATACAGAGCGCAGATAAGGCGATTGGATACATTTTCAGAAGAGCATTGCATGATTGTGCAGACCAAGCTTGATTATTTATTCTTATTGCTTATTTCACATCATTATATTGCTATTTATTAATTAATTTATTTAGTATTCAATACAAATCTTGTTTCCATTTTTAATCATACATATTTGCAGTATTGATACTTTAGTATCATCCATTTTCTTTGTAAAATACAAAGGATTTTTCATCAGGGCCGTTTGAAACAGCATAACATCAAAAACTTTTACAATGTTCGCTGAAAATGTCAATATCATTCATCTGCAATTTGAAGTGAAATGAAATCAATCTTACTCACATTGTCAATTTATTGCCGTTTCTAGAAATATACAATTGATAAAAGTGCCAATAATTGACAAATTAGTGTATTTGTCGGAGTGTATATAAGTATGAAATTTTTTTTAACTTTCTAGTATATATGAATTATTTTAACATCAATACCATATTCGTGTGATCATTAGTCACTTGCGTTGAAAGTCTTTTTCAACAAACTTGGTAAAAATATGGTTATCTAGCTTGTTTTCTAACGACACGGCATATTATTATATCATTTACACAAAAAATATACATAAATGTTTACTGAGTGAGAAATAGTAAGATACCTTTTCTTTACAGTTTGATGAGTATTCACAATATTTCGTTCAATCCGTTCATTGCCTTGAATGTGAAATTATGTATGAGGACGTATTCCTTATATTTTCATGACATTTTTCCGTCGAATTTCAGTGTTTTACAACAACAGTTATTTTATCATTATGCTTATGTTATTATTTTTATATTATTTGCAGTATTATGTCAGCATGACCTTAGGATTTCTCAGGCCATTGTAGAAATATTTTGACTTTTATGTACAAAAATATAAACAATGTTTGTTATAAAATAAACGTGATGTTTATTAAAACAACTTGAAGTTAGAAATACATTTCTTATTCGATTGATCATTACTTCAATAAAATTTTAGTTTCATTGTGTACATATAGGTTTAGGCTTATCTTCGTATTCTTTATAAATATTATTGTACATGACACTATATAATAGTAGTCCACAAATTATGTGTCTTTAGAAGATTGTTTTTCTAACTAATTTGTTACTACCACAAAATTGTTTAGAACGGTAACATAAATTTTTTACAATAATCACATGAAAATCATATGACTTAAATAAATATTTAAGAATAAGTGAATAAAAAGTGACGTAGTTTTGTATTTAAATGACTAGACAAAACAGGCGATGGTCGAACACAGTCGTTATTGCCTGACGACGATAAATAAATCAATCAACTAATGTCTTATACAGTATGTAGAAATTTTGTACAAATTGCTTTTGTTGATCGCAGTCAACGAAGTGAACTATCTAGAAGTTCATTAAATTTACTTTCAGCGGCACTAGAAAGCTTGCACGGACATTTATAAAGTTATGGCTACATATATGTTTTATATGTGATGGTGCTTTATTTTTGGAAAAGTGGAACTCGCTCTTCGCTCTCACACACACATCCTCGCGTGATGATTCTTCGCTCGTCAGAAATTTTGCTCATCAGTTTCCTCGTTTCATATATAATATTCATGTTGATTCGTCCTGCTCGTTTCGGCGGAATAAATATTTCAAACGTCGAAATCTGGTTTGTATTCGTATTTGTTGCATAAATATGGAGCTAATTCGATATTTAGTAGTACGCGTGTATATAGAAATCTTAGTCGTTGTTCATTCTTTTGTATTACGTATCATCGTCGTTATCAATTCATTCAAAGATTAATTGATTATTCCATCCGCGATAGTTCGTTTGATAAAATTTATATAAGCTTAATAATTTATAATTGAATTTCCATGTGAATCATACATTAAGATAATGCATTTAATAACAATATAATAATTTATATTGTTCGACGACAAAAGTTATTTATGAAAGTTGCAGCATTACCGTTGATAAAAAAAATAATTAAAATGCAAGTCTATTACAAATTTCATTAAATTTTTCATCTCAATTTTCTGTCAAATACGCATAGAAATCAAATTTCGGTGTCTTTCAAACATAATCTAATTGAAATTTTAATAGTAATTATATATAAAGGTATTCTGATTCTTGCGATTGTGCAGTAGCTGCAAGCTCGTCCCGCAGTTTGTTTTTTACATATAGTGACCTGTAGCACGACGAGACGTGTCCAGAGAAGTATTGAAAAGAGAGAGAGAGAGAGAGAGAGTACTGCGGGGCAGATATGAGAGCGAAAGAGAGAGTTTCCTTCTCGTGTTTCCTTTCCGTGTTGTGGACGCAGGTCGACGTATCGGGCAGTAGTTTCTCTGTCTCTCTTTGTCTTTTGCGTGTGTCCCCATTCTCCTTCTCTCCCCGTTAACGTCGGCGAAAATATCATCCTATCCAGACTCCACGTTAGCCCTCTTCGCGGTTACTCTCTCTCTCTCTCTCCCGCGCGCTTCTCCGCATGGCGCATCGAGTTGCCAAGAGTTTATTTTCGACAGTCGTCTCTCTCTCTCTCTCTTTCCTCCATTACGCTGCTTTCTTCTTCTTTCGCTCCTCACTGAAAGCACAAAAAGAACAAGTGGACTGTAAAATTTGGCGTCGTCAAAAGTACTCTATCACTTTGAGATAAACAAATACATTCAGAGAATTACTGTCCTCACTTGTATAATATCTTGTATTCTTGCGTTATATTGTTATTTTTATGAATTTTATTTTTATTTATAATGAATTACTTGTCATAAAAATGATTTTTATTTTCCACAAATAGGATTTTTTTAAATCAATAAGAAAACTAGTCTATCTGTCTATAAAATTAAGTAAATTCTTTTAAAAACTATTCTTATTGGAAATAAGAAGACCAATCTTTACTTAAGTTAGATTCTTTGTGCTTCTTTACATGGATTTATAAAATATGTATACGATACTTTGATCTTATAAATCCACGGTAATTATGCTTATTTAATGAGATAACACAGTGAAATTGAATAATATAAGCAAATAGTTCATATTCATATAAAATTAGAAGCATAATGTAAACATATTGTAAGGGCGTTGCTTTCGTAAAAAATGTTTCTTCGACCCCCACGCAGGCAAGAGTATTTGTCAGTTGAAAGAATGAGACAAAAATAACAAAAAAGGAAATGAAATTCGTAGGCGAGCTTGAAATATACAAGGTGCATAAGTAACAACAACCATGATGTGTCGCTTACATTTCGTTTTGTGGCAAATGCAAAGTTGACACGTAAAACTCGTGAGAGAAAAAGTTTTTCAGTGGGCGCGTGAACGTAATAGTTACTGTTGCAGAAAAAGGAGCACAAAAAGAAAAAAAAAACTTGCGAAGCAAATAAGCCGAAAGCAAGGTGGGGATAAAGCTAACGCCTAATTTCTGGTTTTACCTCACTTCGTGCTGTGAGCTCGCGCGAACTCTTGGCCAACAACATGCTCGACGTCGGCAGCGGCGCCATAGTATAGACGTATATATATCTCATCCCCCTAATTGCGCCAACAACTCGTTGCCCGTTTCCAGTTCAACGGCCCACCCGCGCCTATTATACGTATATACCGTGTGTGTCGCTCGGCTTTCACTCACTTTGTGAGAACGTACAAAACAAAACAGGAAAATAAAGAAGCTGAAATGTATAGCGAGTGTGCGGAAAAAAAGCTGTCGACTGGCCTGCACCTTTTGTTCGTATATTCATTATATATACAGGCTGGAGGACGAACGATGTGCGACAATTTTTCAATTACAATGGAACGACGTTAGGTCACGAATGATTCTTACCACTTATAAAAATAAAGATGGGGGGAGGGGAGACAATGTAGGTTACGTGGTTTCTGTTTTGGTTTACGAGAATAGTTTTTTTTCTCCTTCTCCACGTCGGTATAAATTTTGGCATAACGCGAGGGCGTGTTTTTTTATTGTTCTCTTGCTCGTTTCCATTGTTAAAATCACTCGCTTAAGTGCATTATTGATTTGCTCGTCAATATACATTGTTTCCAGGTAACTGGCCGTGGAGAAACTAAAATTTTTCACTTTTCGATACGCTCGTACGAGCTTGTAAAAGTCTTCTATCCGCTAAGCTGAAAATAGCTCGAATGAAATAGAGATATTGTATAGCTCGTTAAGGAGAGAGTAGCGTCAATAAAGCTAAAATAGTCGATCCTCGTTAGAAATTTGGTGGACTTTTCCGCAGTTCTTTGCCATCCGAAGAGATAGTGAAAAATCTGAAAGTTCTATATATTCCGCTTAATTCGTACGAGCCGTTAACGCGCGCGCCGTGTTTGCTCACTTTCATTCATCTTCTTATTGTAGCTTACGCTCCTTACAAACAATCTACTCTACATAACCTTCCTCCCCTTTTTCCTTGATGCAGGCGCGCTATACATAATCCCGTGCAGCGGCAGCGAGGCTTTGTTGCCGCGATTTCTCGCGTCTTATTCCCGAGAGGAAAGCTAATGGAATCGGCGGGAGCGCTTGCGCGCGCGGCAAAAGCCGGCAGCCATTAACGAGCACGTGCAGCATGAGCGAGGAAGTTGGGCGAGGGATAGAAATTGCTCTTTAGCGCTGAAAACGCTCGTTATATTTCACCGCGGTATATGTATTCTGTCTGTCTCTCTCTATCTTTCTCGCGTGCCGAGGAAATAGGAAAGCCACTCGTCTACGCGCGCGCGCACGCGTACACACGCACATGTGCAACAAGGTTTTTCCGGTTCTCCGTTTTTTATGCGGCTTTCCATCCAGTCCCTGACAATTTTTACCCTTACACGCCTCTGCAATGCTTTCAATGGACTGAAAGGTTCGAATAACCCTCTGTAAGAACCACGTGTGGTAATAAATGATGTACACGACAGTTGACAATTCACTAGCTTGATAATTACAATTAACAAAGTTATTTAATGTGTTGTTAAAGAAATTATTATTATGTTAGTTGAGAGCTGAACATTGTTATATCAACTGAAAATGCCGTATTTCCTTGCTTAATTAAACAATTTACCAGCAAATTTATGTATCCACTTGGATTTCACTTAAAAAAAAATACTATTATCTTTTTTTTACCGCTCTATGATGAACAAATAATAATAATAACATATATAGTCATGGACTTCGTACATAAATCGTACAGTGCACAACTTAACGGAGATATTTTGGCAAACAGAGAAATTTAAGAACAAGCACGAATACCGCAAAGCGTATTCAATTTGATAGACTATAGAGACAAAAAAGATAGACACGCCGTTGTCTGCATTATCGTCGTTATTTCACACAGAAAGCACAGCGATGCGAACGAACAAAATAAAAATAAGTAAATAAAAAAGAAGACGGGTTGCAGGAGAAACCTGCACACATACTGAAGGAGAAAACTAGATGGAAACTGCCAGAATACTCTCTCTATATCTCTTGTATATATATCAGCTCATAGCAGTGGCAACCCCGTTGCGTCGCTTTCGGGTTATGAGAAAAGCGTTCATTTTTTTGCTTTTGCTGCTTATTGCCATTCCTTTTCTTTGCACCCTCCTCTCTCATCTCTTATTTGGAATTTCACATGTTCAACTTTACTGCTCGCTCGTTTCTCGTGAGAGTTCGATTTTCTCTTTCAGGGAGGCGTTTTGCGGCAAAAGTTTTGATCTCACCTGTCATCTTTTTTCTATGTATATATATTTTCTCCCTTATCTATACTCGTGCGATCCTTTACTTTGCTAGCTTTTTTTTGCAAACGCGACAAAATCACCGTGATCGTCGACTACTATATTTATATATATTTATAGATTGAGTCTTGTGGTAAAGAGAAAGCAAACTATATGTACTATTCCAGTGTCATACACGTTTCTTTAGGTAAAGAAAAACGCAAAGATCGCTTGTACGTTATTTTAGCGCAACAGGTGGAAAAGTCGATTAACGGGTAATCAGATAAAAGCAGTCTGAACGGCGTTTGTTTTGAATGATCGGTTGCCTCTGCTTTATATTATTATTTATTACTCGCGATGGTAATTAGGTTACAATAATGAATGTTTATATTTTAATAATCACCTGCCTCTTATTAACTTCCAAACTGGGTAATATTTATCTTGCTAATTATTCAGCTTTTCGTAATAATATTCTCAGCTCTGAAAGAAAATCAATTAACTCTTTCAATGCATCTCGCCTCTACCGTTCATTAAAGTTATAATTTTCTAACTTTATTATATACGTACTATGAATACATAAATAAGTTTCGCTCGTATTAAACCTTGTAGCGCAATGTGAATACGAAAGCGTGCATCAACATTTTAGAGCAAACGATATTTTCAAAGTGATATATTTTTGCATTGATAATCGAGCACAATTATACAAATGAAAGTTGTTATAATAATTATCCGAAAGATTAAATACGCCTGTTAAAAAAACAGTCATTAAATCACCCAGCGGAAAATCCAAAATATATCGTTCTCAAAGGGATACTAGGGCTTTGAAAACGGACGGTTCTACTCTCTGTAAACGGATAAACCTGCGCGCAAAGAGAGTTCCAAGTCGCAAATCAATTACGCGAGCTTTTTTCAGCTTGAAAATCGCACCACTTTATTCTTCGAAACGACGAGACCAAAAGTCAAGTCACCCTTTTGCGGAGCTTTCGCCGCGGCGTATAAATACATAACTATTACGCAGCCGTGTCATATCGCGTAATCCCGGCTCTCGAAAATGAAATATATATCGAGTAAAGAACTGATCTTTTCTCTTTTTTTTATCACCTTCGCAGCAGAATAGGTGCATACATGCATAAGCGGCGGGCGCAGACAGTTTCAGAGCTTGCTGCAAGTAGGCGGAGATTTAGCATGCACTCTGTTGCTGCTGCTGCTGCTGCTGCGAAAAGCTACGGGATTACACGGACGTGTGCTTTCGGAATTCCGGCGGTTGACTTTTTCGAAAAGTTCTCGTGTCCCACGGGGGTTGCGCACACCACCGCCGGATATATCAAGGGCTTCGGCTTAGCTTAGCAGCCCCATCGTACGCGGGTGTGCCGCTTTCTTCTATCCTTCCACCCCCATTCCGCTATAGTGAATCTGCTACTATTTTACACTCTCTAGCGACCTCTTGGCGGATGCTTGCGAATCTCCCCAAATATCACTGAGATGCCTCACTCGGCACTTATTCGAGAGTTGACGAGCTCGAAAATGTGCTACCTTTCTTTTTCTACGGTCATTCATTGTTGACTATGGTCATGAGATTTTTATATGAAATATGGTTCATCTTATTTTGAAGCCATAATAATTTGAAACATCACTTCATAAATGGATTTGCAAAAGCTTCTGGTAATAATTTTAATAGGTAGAGTAATGCGAAATCAAAACAAGTAACTTAAGAGTCGAGTTGTTAAAGCGAACGAAGCGGTTTAACAAACTTGCTAAAAACATATGCCCTTTACGTGACTTTCGATTGCAGTGGGCGGCCAGTATTGATGAGATTACGATCCTCAAAAAGAAAACTTTTGACAGCCTCTTCAGGCGAATTAATCCCGTTTGGTTCAAAGTGAAGCAGTCGCGCGGGAACTTTGCATTTCGCGGATCACGAAGTTGGCCTAGTTGCCGGTGCGTCGTTAATACCGCAGCCTCTCTTGTTCGCGTGCTATCATTCTATACGTTTAAGCTCACCTGAGTCAATTGACAAGCTGCTATATTGACTTTGGCAAACTAGTGCGTCGTGTACCAAGAAAATATCGTGTAATACGGCGGATCAGAGGTATATAAACCGCCGGTTTAAAACTGATGAAACTTTAATTTGACGTTACTTGGTTAAATATTCGTTTAAAGGTGAGAGAGAAAGAGAGAAAGAGAGAGAGAGAGAGAGAGAGTGTGTGTGTGTGCATGTGTTATCGTTTGTTATATGCCGACTAATTTGCACCGCTTTCTACGTATACTTTGACAAGGTAAATGCATAGCTAAAAGTATTTACGGGATAAATGGATTTTGTCGTTCATATAGCAATTAGATCCATTGTCGCGTTAATAACCTTTAATTTTGACTGATATTTTATTAGCAACATTGTCACTCAATATCTCGAATGTATTTTACTTACGGTAAAATAAACAGAGGCTGGATTCTCTATCAATCAACGTGCACATATTATTTTGTCACGTTGGAAATATTTTTTTCATTCGTGCATATCGTTAAAAATACATTCTGCAATGCAGCGTCAGCTCGAAACGTTGTTATTTTCTTATCATGCCCGAGTATGATCACGACATCGCGATTGAATGTAAACAAAAGACTTTCAAAGAGGACGAACAGAGTAATATTAAGCGCTTCTGTTCGGATGAAATGAGTTTTGCTGCATATAAGCGGCGAGGGGCGCCGCTAACACGTTGATAGAAAAGTAGCCCTCCATTTTCCAGTCCGCCTCGACCGACAACTCGTAAAAGAGTTAATCGCCGAGCAACCCTCTTAACACACTTTCCCTTGGCATAAGTCGCAAAATCCTTGAGCCTTGAGAGCACTAAACTTGGAGCACGTGAGCGGCGTGGTCACATAAAAATCCCATTCGCTTGGTCCAAAATTACAGGCAAGAATTAATGTTACCCGTCGTCCGTTCCAACTTGCCTCAAAACATTCTGTAGTTACAATGAGCAAATGCGCGTTACCTCAATAGTAATTCAAGTGTGAATTACGCTAAGTGCTGGTCTCCTTGTGTGCAGCTATATAACGTTTGCTAATATTTGAGCTTGAGAAAGCGAGAGCGAGAGGAGGAGACGAGGAATGCTAGTGAAGAGTGACCTACAGTGCTTCTGACAATTAGGCTGCTAACGAGCTCTCACGGGGCTTGACATTCTTTATGGATCACTAGCAAATCTACTAGTTCCTTTACTTTCTCCTCTACCTGTTATGATGTCGAACTTGCGCCCTCTCCTCGAGTTCGCGAGTTTTGTGCGAGCGCTGACGGTATAATTTGATCTCCGGTCACTTCTTTCGTTCGATTTATTTGTTTTTCAAATAAGTCAAATTGACTCGTCTTTATGTCAGCGCGTAATTACTTCGGCAAATACAAAACATTAAAAATTTTATATTTAACAATAGCATATGAAACTTAAAATTGTAATATCCAAGGTTTGAAAAAAAAGTTTTTTTTTTTTGCGACTCGTATAAGAGGATTTTAGTGCCAGACGAGAAAACTTGAATTGCACGCGAGGGAGAGAGAGCGAAAAGAGCTCTCGTATTATAGTATGAATTTTACATGAATTTCATGAGAGAATGTTTTGTGTGAAATGCAGCACAGCTTTTGAATCTTTTTTGCATCCTTTATTCTGTATATAATGGAAAGCGAAGTTTATTATTAGACTAGATTCAAAGTGGAAAATGTATTATAAAATGTTCTCCATTGAAGTTCCCATTGCATGGTCGTAAATACTGTTGCGTAAAGAGCTTAAAGATCTCAGCAGAGTTACGGGAATCCGTCGGCGTTAAACTGTATTGACAAAGACCTGTTTTTGTAAGCTCGTGAATTTTGAAAGTGTTCTTTCAACGCTATGCTAAATAATACAATGCCATCAAATATTCCAGGGACGTGTATTAATCACTCGAAACTGCAATGAAAGCGGATAACATTCTGAACGAACTTCGCTGTCGGCCCACGTCCGCAATGGCAAAACTGAACGTATCGCAGCGGTGCAACGGCTGTCAAAATTTCGCAAACAACTAGCAAACAAGCGGCAATGCAGTATACGACTCATAAATATGAGATCAAGTTCTGGTAGCACACACGGTCAAACAATATCATTTAATTACATCGAATGGCAATCGCGGCAATCTATTCAAGCCGTGAGAGGCTGCACGGCGCCGCAACTCGGTCCAAGTGGCCAACAATGTAAGGGGTTAAACTATTCGCGGCGAATAACGAGGGTCCCGCCGGCACGTTTGAGCTCTGCGCGCGCGCGCGGCAAACATGTCTCATTCCTCGGATGCTCTGCGTCGGCCCAATTTATGATGTACACCCAAATGCCCGTCACGCGAAACTGATATGCCGGTACACTGCCCCGCAGATAGAGAGAGTTAGCTCTTGAAAATTGCCTGTAGCTTTCACGATATTCCTTCCGTGCTGCTAGTGCCGCGGTTCCTTTCCAACGGCTTTAATACTCTATTATTGGAGCTTTAGCGCTCTATTATTCTGTACCGTTTATTTATCACTCATAAATAATCTATTCACTAGTGAGACACACTTATTTAACCGGTATGTTTAATTAAGCTAAGGTACGGGAGCATCATGCATATTTTATGTCGAAGTGCCCTCATAGAGTCTAAATTTGTCAAGTTTGATCAATTATCATTATGCACGTGATCTAAATTTCATGAAAATCTAGATATTTTCTACCAGTGAAATATTCCAATGAAGATTACTTATGGACTCGCTTTTGTTTGTCTGTTTCGAGAATGAACGACATTATGAATTACTAATGTACATCGTTTTCAATCATCATTTTCAGTTGAAAGTTGAAATAAATTCGTAGTCTAAAAATATTCGAAGCTCGCTCAAAAAATAAGACAGGCAATCTTAAACGCATAAATATTTTGCGTACCAGTTAAAAATGTACTAATACCTTGTGTCTCTCTTGAGATGACAGAAAAATAAAATTGAAGTAACGTACCTCAAAACTCGACGAGTAAAAGCTGCTTGCCGCATAAGAAGAACTTTGTCGAGCAGCAGCAGCAGCAGCAGCAGCAGCAGCAGCAGCAGCAGCAGCAGCAGCAACATACGTAAAAAGGAGCGTCCAAATGAGAAAGAGCGTTTGCTTTTTCATTGAAGAGGACGAGGTGCAGCACTAGACGTAGGTCGCTTTATCGAAGACCGAGGAGCCGTGTGACGATGACAGCACGCGTGTGAGTCAAGAAGAGGCCTGGTGGTTGTGCGGTGTTGTCCTGAGCGAAGAACAAGAGCACGGGATAAGAACCTGGATTGGGTTGGGGCTACAATAAAACAAAACACGATGAATGTCCTGGTGTGCAAGCTGTAACAGAACAAGCAAAAGGCCCCAGGGCGGCATTAGTATAACGAGCTGTCTCCTTTTTATAGATGCGCTTTTCTCTCGCTGGATTTATCGCGACAGAGATTAGGACTCTTCAAGCTTGTACTAACGAAAAGCTCGCGCCATGCGTTACATTTCTGTTTTACAGCGCGCGGATTTGCATAATCCTTTTACCCTCGTGACAAGCAGTTTTTCGATGCGGCAATTGAAGCCTTTCCAACACTCTACAACTTTTCAATTTTCGCGGGCGACATGATGTGCCTAATTTTTTTTCAACAAACACCGAATGATCGTGTTATTTAAACATAATTATATCACGCGTATATTAATATTTGTGCAGGGCACAATACATATAAGCTGTTAGATTACTGATGAGTTTATTGATTGTATGATAATTTAATTTGATATTCCAGCAATTTATTACAACATGACAAACTGATCTTATTGCCTTGAAATCGGCATAGAAATCAAAACAAATGAATTAAACGGAATTTCGGTTGAGAAAAAAGCTTTGTCGTCGCGCGTTCACTGCATAAACGTCCGCGTGAAAATTGAAATGGCGCTGGTCGAAATCGTTTACAGGGGGTTGGAAAAAATTGCAGCGCGAGTGTATTTTGAATAATTGTCGTGTTGCAGCGCGCATCGCATCGTCGACGTGTTTCGAATCGCGGCGAAAAGCAAACAATGTAATGTATATAACGCGAAAGGTTTTGCGCCGCTATGACGTCGAGAGCGCGCCGGAAATTGATTGTTCGTGCAATTCACCTTGACAGTGCCGCTAGATGCGCTAGAATCGGGCCAACTCTAGGTCCTCGGTGAACGAAGAGAATTTGTCTATGTCTTGAAACAGAAAGAGAAGTTATAACCATTAGTTTGAGGTAAAGTTAAGTTTAACTCTGTATATAGTTTCTTGCAAGCTCCCTCATACTGTTGTTTCCAAACATTCGTTCAATTCAGAAATGTACTCAGACTTGTTTACATAATTTAGCGTATTTATCAAATGTCGCGTAATTAGCAATTTTCGGAGGATGAAACAATTTTTTAGCATTGTACGAGTCTGTCGTCGATATAAAACAACGTTCTATACACTGCAGACTAAAGAAGTTTTCATTGTATGACATGTTACAATAACAATGTCTTCGCATCTTAAAAGAAATGTTGCCCTTCTATTCGAGAGACAGAAAGATATTTATGAGTTATCATATTATTTTTATGGCAGAAGATGTATTACACTGAACGTGTACGGGATACTCGCTGGGGAGATAAGGCATCGTGTAAAAGTTATATGTTTTTTCTTTCTCTTTCTTTGCAGAAGAGCAGAAAAGCTTTTACGCTTTATTGTATCTTATAAAAATAGCCATTTGTGGCCGAAGTGGAAAAGCTGCCTTTTCGAAATATCCAACGTTTACGAGCATTCATGTGTAATAATTTTTGCAGTGATGCATGTCTTCGATTCATTGTTGTATAATTATCGATATTTTCCAATTATTTTTTGATTGAATAAACATCATTAATCCATTTATATTCCATCGCAATAAAGCACGCGTTAGAGCAATTTTGTAATTCGTGCACATGTATGTTGACACGAAAATTGACGTGGAAAAGCTTGTATTGAGTTTTTATTTAGTTCTTTCTTAACGACACATCCTAAAAGTAAAATTTTTCTCGCGTTACCGTTGGATTCTTTTTATAAAAATTACGTTATTATGAGCTTTTTCTCATACATTGGTTAACTCACATGCAGCATACGAATACACGTGCATAAAATGATGTTGCTCGTAAAAATAGCATATTCGCGGCCGAGTGACTGCGGAAAAAATAAGGATTATAAGCGAGACAGCTTCCTTCTTTAAAGTCTAATCATTCACAACAGCTTAGTAAACCAGTTATCTAAGCTCGGTTGATTTTTGCATGACTGTCCATTGATTGTACATTGGATTCTTTTTCATAGTTGTATGGTAAATAAATGCCAAGAAAATCATCGTTATAACAAAAAAAAGATTATCAGATCGATAACTGCGAAATGCAAGCCCAAAACGGTGTTCATACATTGTAAAGAGAAACAAATCAAAGATAGTAAGGAAACCATAAATAAGCGCAAAGCTATCCTAAATTCTGGCAGCAAGAGAGCTCTTATCAAAGCGCAGCAAAAGCGCACACAGGTGGTAGAGTTAGATATACGTATGTAGAGGCTGAAATCTGGTCTACTCTTGTATTCCAGCTCAGTGTGCAAAGGGTCATCAGGATATCATTGCAATGCTCCTGCTACTCCATAGCTATTCTTAAGCTCTCGAATATCTCACCCTCTTTTGCTTGCTCGCTCGCGTGCCTACGTTCCTGGTGGTTTTGAGTTGCTCCCAGCGTGTTATACCAAAGTGGAGAGGTCCTCATTTCTATTTCCGTCGCTCGTGAATTATTCTCGCTCGCTATTAATATGTGTAGCGGCCTATATGTCGTCTATGCCAGACTTATCCACACATGTACCTATAGTTTATGGCTGTGAGGCATATAAGCTCGTCTAACAAGGGAAAATTCCGCCAAACGTCCGCAAGCTCTCCAAGGAGAAGTCATTTTTTTCCAGTGTCGCCTCGACTAAACCCACCCATCCTTCCTTTCCCTTTTGACTAAGACGCCGCGATGAACACGGGCGATGATTCACGCTCGCGTCTCTCTCTCTCTCTCTCTCTCTCTCTCCCTCTCTCTCTCTCTCTCTCTATCCCTGTCTTTCTCTGTATCTGAGGTGTTTACTGACTTTTTGGACTCAGTAACTTCTTTTGATTGAGATTAAAACAACGAAAAGAACATATTTTGAAAATAAATATCCGATATATTCTACAATTATAATATAAATAAATCAATAAATTCTTAAATGAATGTCGTACTCGCTATTTAATATCAAGTAATTGGGTTAATAATTAGCACATTATTAGCATATGAATTATTCATATATTTTAAGTCTGTTAATTTTCCGTTATGATAAATATTTGCTTGTTTCCGTCGTACAATTATACTTTCATTAAAATAAATTAACTTGCGTGAGTACAGGAATTCACGGGTAGATAAGCTATTATTTAGTTAATGTAAGTTACGTATTTGAAATTCAGAGGCCCAAGCCACTGAATGTGATTATCCCCGAGAGTAAATCTGTTTAATCGAAATATTCATCTTAATTTTAGACCATCCCGCAAAGAGTTTGCGCAGCGCATGTACGTACGCCAAGACTTCGCGTGCATCTGCCTTGTTATATTCTGCAAACTATTCAAAAGGGTGGATAATTACCATAATCATATTCTGTATTATTGTTGTCCGCAAGACAACACGATGAACCAACTTGATGGTCGCGTGTGGAATAAAAATAATATAGATTTATTTTGTGCCGCTATTACCACAAACTTGAATATCTAATAATGATTGTCTTACAAGGCTCGAAGGAACGCCAGAATTTCAATTTTCCCTTCGGTGCGGTGAGTTGAAATGCAGTGACGCGCAAGTGTTGTACTGCATGGCTTGTTGAACGTTTTCACGATTTCAGTGCGCACAATTAACTTGGGCTTAACTGTTTTCACTTTGCTAATTTAGTATGGAATAATATCTAAGTTTTGGCGGGTGCTCGTTATCGTAACTGCACCATCGTAGATGGTCGAGTTTGCTTGTTAAATTCGGTTTAGGCCGAGTCATCTTTTACCAAATAACTAAGCTAGACGTACAATATACCTTAGCGTTAGCGTCGTAACAGTCGGAGCTTTTTGATCACAAACGCCGCATAATTATTTGGAATTCTCTTCAAGTGCCAGTCACAACCTGGAAGCAGGCATCGCAATGGGTGCAATTAGCGATCGTTTGAAATCTCGATAAAGCCCCAGTGTTTTCATTATATCTCATTCATTAAAATAAGTTTGTCATTGAGCTCGATAAAAGGTATGCACGCGAGGCTTTTATGTCTACCCTTTAATTTCGGAACTTTTTAATTTCCATTTAAAACTAAGGCGAAAGTTGCTCGCGGCGTACACACACACACATGCGAGTTTTTTTCGCACAATAAAACTTTTAAATTGAAACAAGACTTTCTTTCTCTTTCTCTCGTGCACGCGCGCGCGCGCGTGGCTGCTCGAGTGCAATGAAAAAGGAAGATGAGGAACTCGCTCAGTTGGCGTCTAATTAAAAGAATTTCAATTAGTCAGTGCAGCGCTCGGTAATACGCAGATTCGTCGGATTAACATGGCAAATGGAAGCGCGAGAGAAAGGAAAAAAGGCTTGCGGCACTCAGACGACAATTATGGTTTGCGTGCCTGAGACCTAGAACGCATAGCTGAGAGTGGCGAGGGCAAGTGGAGCACAGGGGCCTCGTAATACGGATTAGACTACATTTCACGCTCGATCGAGGCTTTCTCTGCCGCTTGGTGGGCCGCCCCGTAGACATTTTCCCAAAGGCTTTCAGCTCTCGATATAATGGCTGTGCGCAGCGGCAACTGCATGGCCGACGGTATAAACTAGCCCAACTGGCGCGTATAGCCAAAGTCTCATGCCCTGCCAACTACTAGCTCATGCCGCTTCATTGCATATCTATATAGCTATACAGACATGTAATACGTGCGTTTGAATTAACTATATATCCTACCGCTTGAGTTTGCCCACTTTCAGATACCCGCCTGTAACGTTTAACCTGCAGGGTTTTCCTTATACTTCGCTTTCTCCAGTTGACCAAACTAATCGCTCGATTTTATGCTTCTTTGTTTCAAATTTTTATGTTTCAAACATAAAACTAGTCTGCGTTAAATTTTGTAACTGACTATTGTATAGTTGCATTTAAAAAGCAAGGTCTTTGTAACGATTTCTTAAAAATTATTGCAAAAATCATGTAACTAGTTGAAACTGAAGATAGTTGTAAATTAAAAAAATTAAATAATGCTAAAGTTTGAAAAGAGGTATTTTTGCATCAGTGACTCTTTGTACACGTACGTTCGAAGAAGCATCTAAGGTAAGTAAAAGGCATCCTAGAGTATCTAACAGTAAGTCCGATTTGAAAATTGGACTTCTCGGCACGTTCTTGGCTCAATGTGCCATTTCACTTGGATGCCCCGGTTCTTCTCCCTTGTTCAAGTGATTCTAGCGCTACGCGCAATATTCTAGCCGTCTCTCCTTCATTCTCCTTTATCCTCGGTTTGCTTTTTCTCTTCCTCTTTGGTTCGTGTCTCGCTTCTTCTCCACGACGATCGATATTTCACTCTCCCTCTCGCTTTCTTTCTAGTTTTATCGATTTACGAAATTCCGGACACGTCAGTAATAATGTTTACCGAGAGGTTTCTCCGTCTTCTCTTGAATGCGCTATCCGTGGTTAAGAGAGCTCAGTGATAAAGGGTTTCGAAGTAGTTATGCAAATTACAAGATTCATTAACCGGCTGAAAGTTTATTATTCTTTTCTTAATTGCAGCAATCGGCTCAGACTAGCCACGTTTCGGTGACACTGTATATCTCGACTTGACGTTCAGATTTTAGAATCAAAATCTGATCTTCTTTTCTCGACTAATTTGCCAACGTAAAGTAGCTCCGTTCTCTACATTATCCCGTACTTTTCAATTTATCAAGAATAATTAACTTATAAAAGCGAATTTTCATTCGGTCTTGGTGAATTTTTTCAAGCATTCACTAAAAGAATGGTAGTTTTGCAGATGATCCAAAAAAAAATATTATTTAATTATCCTCTATTCACACTTAAATTCATCAAGAAAATAAGCAAGGCATTTTTGTACCAAAGACTAAGCAAAAAAGCCGGATTATTTGAACGAGCGTCAGTGATTAACAGAAACCTTACCTTAGTAAGAGCTTAATCGTTTTTCCAT